AAACAGGCGCTGCATGAAATAGATAATATCCTCCAGCTCTTCAAAGTACAGCTGTTCATCGCAGTGCAGTGCATACTTATTTTAGATACGAATTTGTTTCATAAGAACCATTGCGCTTGAAAAACTTGCTATTGTAAAGAAACACATTATGTTCAAAAGCTTTGAAATTAGGATAATAACTAGTGGGCTTAACAAATGAATGAAATAGGGAGCATTGCCTAATGACTGGAGTCATTAGAGAGAGAACTGGCTGGTCCTGCTGTTTTCTAAATGCACTTAGCCCTTTGCCAAATTGATCCCTGTTAGCATGGTGCAGAATAAACTGCCCTCTCTGTTCTGTGAAGAACATGTTTTTTCACGGTCTCTAACTCTTCCCTCCCTGCTTCTCTGTCTGTGTTCAGGCTTCCCTTACGAGAAGGTGAGAGAGCGCACTCTCTACCTTCAGGTGTTGGACTACGACCGCTTCAGCAGGAATGACCCCATTGGAGAGGTGTCAATCCCCCTTAACAAGGTGGAATTGGGCCAGATAAAGACCTTCTGGAAGGAGCTCAAGCCCTGCAGTGATGGAAGTGTAAGAGAGGGAGGGATGGCCGTCTGCCCAAGCGATGACCAACCCAATGTTTTCATTCACATGTTGTTAATAGAGTTTTATCCAAACAAGAGGGATGTTGACTTCTTTTTTAAAACGTGTGCTTGATTGACATCAAATTAGAAAGAGCATCGGGCTCCGGCTAGCCAGCCAGGTCACTGCACCGTCTGTGTTTGACACACGGAGTTAGAGCAGAGAGGGCAGTGTTGTAAGATTACACAATAAGCTAGTGAGTAATCTGGAGTTTGTTATTCCCTGATGAAATGTGATCTTAGTCTGGGTGATTCACACTCTATTGTGTGTCCGTGTGTGCTTATGTGTGTGTTCCTCAGGGGAGAAGAGGAGACCTGCTGCTGTCTCTCTGCTATAATCCAACTGCCAACACCATCACTGTGAACATCATTAAAGCGCGCAATCTCAAAGCCATGGATATCGGGGGCACCTCAGGTGGAGAATCTTCCTTGTTTGTTTAGTCTTCTCTGTTTCTGACCCTCGCTCATCAGTCTGATGACATTGGAAGCTCTGCGGCTTCACAAACAGCTCCCCGTCCACATGTTGGCAAACTGACTGACCCATAGCTTTGGCAGCAAGGTGACATTACCTCCAGCAACTCCTCCTTTCCCTTTCTCTCCTTCTTCCTGTATATCTATGAGGATCTTCAGGCTGTCGGACAAATCTGTATCAGCTCAGTCTGATGCTGGTTTGTACAAGTATCAGATCCCACTGTTAGACGCTTCCTGTGGATTATTTTGTAAAAATGCAGTAGTATTAGCAGTGTCTGTTAGCATTACAGAATATGCTAATGCTCCAGAATTGGTGGTACAAATCCCAGGCCCTATTTCCATAAATACTTCCTCATTTGTATGTTTCCTAGCTCAGGGGATGAGTTGACCTTGAGCTCAAACTAGGTATTTGCTTCCCTGCTGCCTTCCCTGACTTTGACAATTAAGAGGGTAATTGGGAACCTGACCCACCGTGGGCATCTTGATCCTGGCTCTCATGTAAACTGCTGTTTCTTTTGCGCCCACATTGCAGATCCATATGTGAAGGTGTGGCTGATGCACAAGGACAAGCGTGTAGAGAAGAAGAAGACAGTAACGATGAAGCGCTGTCTGAACCCCATTTTCAACGAGTCTTTCCCCTTCGAAGTGCCCGCCCATGTGCTGAGGGAGACCACAATCATCATCACTGTCATGGACAAGGACAGGCTCAGCCGCAACGACGTTATAGGAAAGGTAAAGCTTCACATTCTCTTTGAGCTCATCATAGAAGACTCTGCAGCTTCCTTTTTTACGTGAATATGCTGTTGTCGAGTCTGATAATGAGTAAAGGAACCACAATGACAAAAATGACAAGAATAACCTTCTGCATCAAACACATTTTATACAAATTTGGGAACAGAAACAACACTGGAAAGATTTTCTGTTAAGGGATCCTGAAGAATAGTTTGTTATATTTGGAAAACACCAATTTGCTTAATGGAATGAGTAGCGTCAGAGGATTGATGCTGTTCTCCTGTCTGATGAGGCACATTCAGATAGGGCCAGCGGACAGTTAGCTTAGCGTAGCTTAGCATAAACACTAGCCCTTTTCAATCCGGTTGAAGGCAGATATTACGCCCATGTACAGTCTCACCTTCAATGTAACGCCAAAGAGGTGTGATGGTGAGATCACGTCGTCCCACCTGTGTGTGTCTGTGTCTGTGTCTGTGTGTGTGTGTGTGTGTGTGTGTGTGTGTGTGTGTGTGTGTGTGTGCGTGTGCGTGTGCGAGTGTGTGTCTGGCTTTTTCTTCATACCTTGTGCTTCTGCAATGCTGTAACATGACTGTGAAATCACACACTGGGACACAAATTCTATACAGTAATAAAGGCGGAGAGTCGTAATGGCGCCTCAAAGGATCTACTGAATCCTGGTTCGAGCACCTCAAAGTCTACTTAATTAACCCGTTTTACCTTGTTTGTTAAACTGCTCGATATCAGAAGTGTGTAAGAGACAGTTTTCCGTTTTTTTGGAAGGTTATGTGCTGGACTATTTCTTGACTTGGAGCAGTTTCCAGGCAACCGTGCTCGAGGGAGTTAGTGCTCCCGGCCAACAAATAAGCTTCATTGATTAAGGTTTCAATGGAAAAATATGTTTTAAAATCCATTCGTTATGCAGCGTGTGCGAGAACGCTTTCATTTAATCACCTTTTTAACGCGTTCCCCTGCTCCCTCCTGTGTACCACGTCAAATATTGCTCGGACATTTTGACCGTTTTCAGAAAAAAAAAAGTGGTTTCTTTTCTGAATAAAGCTGTAAAGTACATAACTATATCAACATATCTGAATGATCTTTCCTCACTTTTTCTCTCCCCCCACCTCTCAGATCTACCTATCGTGGAAGAGTGGGCCAGGGGAGGTGAAGCACTGGAAAGACATGCTCGCTCGACCGCGTACTAACGTGGCCCAGTGGCACGCTCTCAAGGCCTGATCGCACTGCCCAGCTTCCTCCATGGCCCCTTCCCCATCTCCTACTCCCCCTCCTCCCTTGCCTCCTCCTCCAACTCCCGTCCTTATGCACAAGACTGACTTGCTGCCAGGCTGCGAAACACGGGTACAATTAGCCATCTGCTCTCTTAAACCTTTAAACTCTTGTGGTTTTCTTTCAAACTCTTCTGTTTCCTCCTCGTCATACAAACGTGTCTTAATTTCTGCGTCCCACCACTTTGCCAATGGTCCCCCTGTTTCTGACTGTCTGTGTGTCTGTCTTTCCTTATGCACTTTGCCTGTGGAGGTCTGATTTTCAGTTTCTTTGTCGGCCCCTTGATTCTGAACTGCACTGCAGCCCCTGACCCATTTACGGTGCCAGTCCCATGGGATCACAGAGAATCTTAAGTAGTGGTCTAATCTCGTATATTCTTATTGTATGACTATTCCAGGTACACAATACTATACAGTATGTACTATATGTACATATACATATGAATATATTAGGCGTAGAGATTGGCAGAAGTCCCCCTATACAAAAAGTCGTATACAGTATGTTATTCATAGCTTGTCTGCTGGTTCCTTCCTCTCTGTCTCCTCATTTGTCTTCTCCTCCTCGTCATCCGTCTGAAGTGTACGATATCCCTCTCAAATTTCAATCCTTCCTTCTTTTACTCAAAAGTGGTTTAATGTTCAGGCTGAAGTTGTCGAAAGCAATCAATACCTGGTGTGTGAAACCAGCTGAACTCAAGATGGAGTTGTTGATACTGCTGTCTCTTCTCTCCCTCCTCTTTTTTCTTCTCTAGACCCTTCTTTATCTCCCCCCCCCTTATTGTTCCCTCTTTCTCTTCTTCTGGCACAATATTAGTGGATTCCCCCTCGCTCGCTCTCTGGACTCTTTTCCTGTGCCCCCCCTTGTCGTCTGTGTGCTGTGGGTGCTGTGCTGTAGCTCCAACAAAAATAGAGATTAAAAAAAATTAAAGAAACATCTAACTGAACTTTCCAAAGCTGGGAAAGCTGGGAACACTACAAACTTGGGAAAAGGATCGCTCCTGATTTTTCCAGACATAAAGCCCTGACACGGAGAGAGAAAAAAGAAGATGAAAAAAAAAAAGAAAAAGAGGAACATGACAAACAAATCCCCTCTGATCGATGATGTCATTTTTCACAGCATCACCAACTGAGGAAACCAATTTAAAATCTTCTTCCAATGTTAAGATAAAAAAAAAAAACAGAAGCAAATGGTGTGTGTTGTTTGTGCACATGCACACTTCTGTATGTTTATCGATGCTTCAGATCCTTTGTTCTGCCCTGTGCTCTTGTTTTGTGCTGATGGGGATCGATCTTCTCCAGTTTGGACTGTATGGTGTGCTGCATAAATGTGCGCCTGTGTGGGTGTGTGTTTGTGTGTATGCGTGCATGTTTTCCAGGGGCAACGGAATCCAGACTAGGCAGAAATCCTCTTCTCTTTTCTCTTTCTCATCTCTTCTTGCTCTTCTTACTGCCATTGTTTCCCCATCCTCCTTTACTGCCCTGCCTTCTGAACGAGGGCACGGGGAAGTTCTCTCTGCACTTTTTTAAAATGTAATAACAATAATAACGCTGATGATATTTTTGATGATGATTACAGTTCTGGTGAAAATTAAGGGAGGAGAGTCTGAAAGGGTGAGCAGCTGTTGGGGAGAGGAGACATTCGCTCTGTGATTTCAGGGTTTGGAGATGAAGTGGAGGGCACAGAGGACGGGTGTAGGGCTCTCATCCTCCTCTTTTCGTGCCTCTGTTTGTCCTCGACGTACCTGTGTACGTTTCCGTGTGAGAGTATGTGAGTGTTGGAGCACGTGAGTGTGTGTCGGCTACCAGACTCCCTGCGGCAGGCTGTTAGTGTCTGAAATGTCAGACGAGGATTGAGAGATCAGGCTTGTGTGATCATCACATAGAGAGGCCGGACATCACATCAATGCTGCTGCACAATGTGCGCCTGGATCATGAGTCTGTGATGCTTAACAGTAAGAAAATTGAAAGGAGAAAAAAAAAGATAAGACTTTTCCTGAAACTACGAATGGCCGTATATTTCTGATGCTGGGTGTGATATTAGACGATGTTTTGATTTGCTGCTATGAGATACTGTAGAAGCAGATTAGACATTAGCTCTACACTGAGAGCTTAAGAGCACCACAGTGTTCTGGTAGCTGGTAGACTAATATTTCTGTAACATAAATAAAACAGTCATAAAGCAACAACATGAAAACCGTCAGCCATTAAGAGCTGCTCACACTCACTCACTCTCTCTCTCTCTCTCTCTCTCTCTCTGTGTTCTCTACTAATGTCTCTGTCAGTCTATCTGGGTTTTTTACATTCAGAAAGTCCTGTGAAGCTTAATCCTGTCAGCTATTCAGGAATTATTTTAGTGAAGCAGCTTCTAATTGAGTATTTAACCTTGAGACATCTTTATAATTTGAATAGCTTAGCAAGCAAATATAATCACTTATTTGGACTTCAGTCGAAGCATCACTGCCTCTGTTACTGCATCATCTTTAGTTTATGCTAACTCAAATGCAAATTCTTTGACATTTTTTCTTATTTACTTTGTTTTGATTTTTTCGAGAAGCCAGATCACCAGATCACCAAAAGACAGATTATAGTTCTAGTCTAATCTGCACCAGGCTAGTCCTCGTCTGGAGTCGGTGTGAGCCAGTCTGGTGAGCACACTGTGTCCCGGGTAGTGTGCTTCTTCGTGTGTGGACTCGGTCCTGGCTCCTTGTGATGCACTGATCCGGTCCAGCACCCTTCAGAACAATTGGCCAGCCGTAAAACGGGGCCCACTGTTTTGACAGCCACTGCCTGCGGTGTCACAGCACATTACACTCCCATTAGGTGGTCTAAAAGGAGCAATATCTGCTTCCTTGGACCGGGGCGACTCACTGTTTGCAGAGGTAACGCTCGCTAATAATAATACAAAACATGGACACTCTCATTAGTAACCACGAGGATGATGGATGAGGATAATGGCCCGTCAGTCAGAGTGAGGAAAATAATTAGGAGGCGATGGTTTCTGAAGCTCTAAAAACAAATCGTGGTTTGAATTCGCAGGTGTGCAGATGATGAGTCAGCAAAATACCTCTGCCAGTTTCTTTCACCAAGATTACATGTTGCACAGGCAGTGATAAATTGCTGTGCTACAGGAGTTTACAAAGCTTAGTCATCAGTGACCCTGTAAACTGGAGGATATGGTGTTATTTTTAGTAACGTGGTGCAGAGTGCGATGGAGCTGATCCTCTAAGGTAAACTGGAGGCTGCAGGGCTACAGGGTTAGGCTTTTAAAACTAACAACACTGAGTGCTTACACAGACTGCTTCATAAATTCAAATGTAGCGCTTTGATTAGACAGGAGGCTTTCTATGAGTGCTGTTTTAGAGTACAACAGCACTGGGACTTTAAGATATGTATATATATATATATATATATATATATATCTCAAGATGTTCTGAATACCACTTATTGACATTAGCTAACACTTTGGATGATCAAACTGGTACATCACATGTTACACATCACAAATGCAATGAAAACAAGAAACAACTGACTCTGTCTTCAATGGTAGATTGATGATAGATGGGAACTTACAGATAATTCAGCAAAATACAAAGTTTCTCTTCTGTAGTTACTTCAGTGTGTTGAGTCATTGAAACAGTTTAGGGATTTACTTTACTTTACTATTTCTTAGCAACAGTCCAGTCCATGTCAAATTGCAGAACAGTTGGTGTTGATGGAGCGAAATAAATTCTGAAAAACACAAAATACACATCTGTTGGTAGAAATCTTTATTTATAACTGTATAAACCGCTTATAGGTCTGCCTAACTGCAGCCAGGTGTCCATTCCTGGATCATAGCCGTGCTGATATTCAGTACATCAGCACTCCCGCTAATGTACTTCTGCTAAATAAAACAAAAATATGAATATTTATCATAAATATTTAAAAAAACAAATATGAATATTAAAGTATCTTGCAGTTAGCCAGTGACACTGATAAATGCAGTTACAACACATTCTAAAGCAGCTCTAGCATTAATGTATAATATGAAACGATGTGGATTGACTCGAGTTCAAGCAACTAATTCTATACACTTAAGGAAACACAGAAACACAAAATTCATCACAAAGTATCCAGAAAGTGGCACACTCCTTCAAACAACCAGTAGTCCATAATCTTCTGTCCTCTTACTGCCAAACTGCAACAACATTAAAGTGGATGGAAAGCTCAGTGCCAAACAGTACAAAGCAGAAAGCAATTTCTAAATCCCACTTTTATTATACTGCCACCTGTCTCACACCTCCTAACGTTCTGCGTGTTGTTGGCACCGGATCTCTCAGCAGTGACCTTCAACTACACTGTGCTCATGAATACAGTCAGGCAATGCTGCAGATGTTCCCAGTCAACACTTTTTCATTTCAGACTAACTCTGTATACTGTCTTTTCTCATGGTTAGCCTCAGCTAAGTCTTTCATTAGTTTTCTCTGATGAAGCCAACTGGTTCCTGCAGGTGTGGATGATTACTGTTCAATTAAAAAGGTTTCCCTAAAGACGACGGACACAGCCCACACTGCCCCACCACTTTGCCACTGAATTAAAGCCTGTCAAAATGGACTTTGGAGTTATGTAAATGATACTTTTTCCCCAATTTGTTTGATTTTCCTCGAGCTATTGTTGAACCTTTTAGTGACTGCACCATGCAACGTTCTAATTTATCAAAGGCTGTGCAATGCATTGTGGGCTTTGTTTTCAGTGGACAGGTACATTACAAAGACACTAGGGTTATAAAAATGCATTATAGCACTGCTCGGTGTGATATCTGTACAAAATGTAATTCAATTTTCACTTTAGACTGCAAGCCCTGTGATTGGTCCACTGGGTATTGCACGGTGTGGTAGGAGTGAGCTCACTGCAAACAGAATAAACACAGCCTCATTTGAATGCATTCAGTGGAACGTAAAATAACTTCCTCTGAATGACTAAATAGTAAATACAGAGTATGTCAGGAAGCCATGGTTATAAAGAAACCTGTTAAACATCAGCATACAAGCACTAAGAATGGGAACATGTTAGAATTTTGTCATTTAAATGAAAACAAAGGAACATAAACCGTATTTCAGAACAGCTAGCATGGTTGTAAACCCTTAATGATGTTATCGCTTTTGTTATCGGATTAGTCAGCATTTTTTCTTCTCCCCTCACCACATTAAAACTCTAATTTGTTCAATATTTTTGGTTTAGTCCAATTACCTGTAAAACAGCCTCAGTTTCATTGGAAGTTTTGTACAATTTAACAAATGTTCGCACGCTCAAAGGCTGAAGCCCACCTCCTGGAATTTAATCTTCTCTCAGATGTTTATTCAATTGTGTATCTTGCCAAATGCATCATTGTCACCAGCAGACTTCCACTCTCAGTTATTGGCTGAAGGGGTCACACCTGTTTGCCAGAGGATTAGTAAGATATTCTTTGGAGCCTGATGGTATTGTTTGTCCTTGTCATACTCTCAGCCCCTTCCTTATTCTGCAGTGATAGTTTCCCTTGATGGAGAGGCGTTATTTAAAGACGTGTGTCAATGACTCACTCTGTTGGAAAGGTGCCTGCTTTGCTGTAGTTTGTGCAATATTAAATCAAGGCTACACAGTGCTCTAGGTGTGTGTGTCTTTGGATTAAAATCAGGCTGTAGTAATCTCATCCTGGAGGGACTGCAGCTGCGGTTTTATTCTGCTGAATCATATTATGACGGCTGGGTCAGCACAGGAGTCGCCTCGCTCACCTTCCTCTTTTGTCCAGTCAGTGGTTGTGTGAGTCTCGCCCGGCACAGACGGACCTCCCCTCCCCCCGACTCACCCTTTCAATTGTTTTAAGCATCCGGTGAAAACAACCTGATGTGACTCCTCCCAATCAGGGTTAAAGTAAGCATTATTTGAATGGTAACAAAATGGTTATGAAAAACAATAATGAGTAATAATATCTTTTTCTCTTTCTGTTCACATTTGACTGTTAGTCAGTGTGTATGTGTGTGTGTGCTTGGTGTTCTTGTGTTGGGTTTATTTATTTACAAAAATGTGATAAGAAAATCCTTCTGTTTTTGAAAAACTTTATGTAAATATTGTTGGTGAAAATTAACATATGTTGTACGCCAAGTTTTCATTTGTCACTTGAAATGATGAAGAAAACAATGATATTCCTGAATAACGATGGTGATGTTGATGATGCTGAAGCTGATTATACCTGCCCTTCTTGAATAAGGGCTTTTGATGTCCGCTGTATTTTTGTTGGAGGCGCTGTGAGGTTGCGGCAAGAGAGATACAAAGGGAAGGAGTGATACCCAACACATCCCGGGCCCACTGTAGCAACACTGCCACATCCCTCTTTAACCCCCCTTACACCTCCAGGTAATAGACCTAGAGATATGTGACATCAATTGTAGCTTATGTTCTTTATGTCACACAATATCTTTATATTTGAACTACAAACATGAAAAAAAGAAGCTCCCCCAGCTCTTTGAGAGGACTGTTCTCCTCCCTGTGGAGTCAGTCTGCCCCGGTCGCTTGGCATCACATCTCACCCTGTCTGCTCATAGGCACAGGGATTTACTGTAATGCCATTGTGTTAGACAGGATTGGCCCTGTACTGACACTGATGATGCCTTCCTCATTGAATTTGGAGTCATTATTGCTCTGCTGGAGGCCACACATGGGGACGGGCATGTATTGGGGGAGAGAGTGGAAGGACGCACAGCATCCTTCTGACCTCTTAAAAGACGATTTGCATGCTTGTGGTTCAGCCTTTTTTGGGGGGAGGGGTGGGGGGAGGGTTAGACTTATGATTAAGCACAACTGACTGCCATGAACTCACCAAATAATAAACCTGTCGTCTGCTTAGTCAGACATTTGTAAGAACTCTCCAACTCCGAGCAAGAAAAATCCAGGATTAATGCAAGAGCCAGACTATGAATGGCCATTTCACAGACAACGAGGAAATCAGGGTTTTTAATCGTTTCAAATGCAGCAATGAAGATTAATCTTTCCAAAATGTCCAAAATATGCCCTGTGCCTTGTCAGCAGGCATGCATTCAGCCAACTGCCACATCCAAAAACAACAAAATGCACAGGGCTGTAGTCCAGTTTTTCCCTCTGCAGGTGTCTGGACACCCACTCCCCCATTTTCAATGTGCCGTATGTTTCCGACTGGGAGTGTGTACAGCGCAGGGATGGAGTTTATCAGTTTCACTCAGTTTTACTTTTAGAACCGTCTCCAGCACAGACGTCAAACGGTACAGCAGATACTCCCTGCAGTAGTCTGCAGGAAGGACACAGGATACGGTCCTGTCTCATTTGTAATACCATCCTTCAGACGGATTCTCAAGATGAAAATATAAACACACACACAAACACACACACACACCCTCCATCTGTCGTTTATCGATGCACTGAAAATAAATATTCCTTCTTTTTCTTCCCCTTAGACCAGGTCCTTCAGAGTATTTTTCTCTCCTCCTCGCTGGTTGTAAATAGACTTTGAGATTCAGTTAGAGCATCCTCTAACTCCTGCCATAATGTGGGCATCTTGAATCAGGTAGGTAATAAGCAATACATGTAATTGATCTAACGCCATACAGAGAAAATTTTACTCACCGAGTCTGATTGTGACTCTGATTTGCGTTGGGGGATGTCGAGGGTAACACTCCTGTTTCTTCACCTCCTTTCTCCACTTGCCATGGCTCACCTCTTCAACAAAGAGTGCTCTAACTTAAGACACACAATTGTGATGTGTACAATCTAATTTAATGTATTTATTTATGTATTTTTGCCAACTTTGTATAGTGTATAAATATCTATAAATATATGAAAAATGACAGTACTGTATAGATTTTAGCTGCCTGGTAAGGTTAATAGTATATACTTGGTAGACTAAAAGAAAAAGCGTAGAGCTGTTCAAAAGCCAGTCATTGAGAAAATGCTTTCTGTCAAACCTGGTGCCACTGGCCTTTTTTATAATCTAGGTTTCGTTTCTGGTTTTACTTTTTTTTTTCCTTTTTTTTTAAATTCTTGCCAGTGGGAACCAAAAGTGTGTGTTGTTCTTTTTTCGTCCGTTCGTTTGTTTAATCGGTTGGTTGGTTGTTTTTTAATTTATTTTTTTTGCCTTGACAAGACACAGCGAGATTCTGGCAGCCAGGAGAGTGCAGTGGAACGCAGACCGGGACCCTGTGCAGTAGTGTGTATGTGTGTGCGTGTATGTTCGGTGTGTGTCCGTCCATAGTAGTGCTAGTGCTCTCTGTGCAGTGCCTCCCTTCTCCCTTCTCTCTCTCTCTCTGATGTAGTTTGTCATGTGATGCAGAGTGTGTTAAGGTACAGGATGACTGTTCACTGAAGCCGGCAGATGCCCTCTTTCTCTCTTTCTCTCTCCCTCTCTTTCTTTTGCTCTCTCTCTCTCTCTCTCTCTGTCTGTCTGTCCATGTCTCCTCTGCTTCTTCATTACAACTCTTCATTTTAATCCTCCACCATGTATAGATTTCCACTTCCTCTTGCTCGATCGTTCATTTACTCCCCCATTCAGCTGGTAATGTGTACACCAGCAGGGTCTAATTTTCCAGTAATCCATGCTTTCTCATCTATCTGTGATTTTTTTTTTTTGTCCATTAGCAGCTCTCATCCGTCATTTTAGAGCCCCCTTATTTTGTCCTGCAAACCTCTGCGGACTGGAGGAGGATTTAGCACACACACACACACACACACACACACACACACACACACACACACACACACACAAAGAAAGAAGATCCTCGCGGTTTATGCCTGGTCATATCTTTTATATTTTTACTTTAATCTGTCTCTTTCTTCTGTCTCTGGAGGAGAAGGGCAGCTGCCGGCTCAGCTCGCAGAAACACAAAGCAGCCATATTCAGATGTCAAGCACAGAACTGTGACTCAAATATCCGTTGTGGTGGCATCATTGCCGCCATGTTTGTAGCAAGAGCAAGGGAATAGCCTTAAAGATTGGACAAACTACATGTAAAAGAAGTGGGATATGTGCATTTTGTAGTGGACTATGATTGCCTTCCCTTTTCCCACACCAGATTTATTACTCAGTATTCTGATGTGTTGCTTGGTTGCTCTGTACATATCTGTGTAGTACTTCTGTTGATGTCCCTGTATTAGTATAGTAATGGGTTCTTACTGGGCGACCTTTGCAGAAGTCTGCTCCCTCCTGTCTCATCTCATTTCCTCAAAAACTTTAGACATTCCATCTGAATCTCAACTTGAGAAACATTTTAAAGATGATTCGGTTTTTCATGTAGCCTGGGAGCAAAAGGACTGAGTCACAGACATTTCCGCTGGAGCCATGATAATAACCAGGACGACTTGTCTGTGTTCACGTCTAACTAACAGACTCGGTGTAAAGACCCTGACATGTGCCTCTCTGCTCCTCTAAACCCCGCCTCCATACTGCTACCTCACCTGACTCTGAGAGGTCAGCGGGTCACCGACTGGTTTAGGGAGCCTTCGACCTGCAGCAGGTGATGGTGGGTGAGGAGGTGGGAGAGCCCTTTGAGGTGGCAGAGAGGCAGCACGGTCTCACCCTGGGTCAGGAGGGGAGGGAGCATGGGTGTCTCAAGGTCACACCCAGTAGCACTTCGGTTTTGCGTTCCATGTTTTTTGAAGCCTCTCCTGTTTTTTGGCCTAGCGGACTGTGATCTTACTGGTTGATTTTTCTCGTTCTCCTCCACCCATCAGTGTTATAAGAGTATGTTGGGTGGGTGGAGCCATGGAGCTGAGCTCTGATTTTGTTCCATATTAAAGAATCATTTTTACAACACTTGTGTCCAGAGATTCAATGCTCTTTCTTCTGTGCTTTAGTTCCTTCGTAAAAATAAAAGGGAATTGACATGACTTCAAACATGCAGACACAAAAACATCACACTAAACTAAGTGAAGCTGATAGGTTGCTGAGGTGAAACAACTGGTGTTTTAAACTGAACACCAATAGCCAAAAGTATTGAATAGCAATAATGGCTCAACTGGGATCGAACCCTCTGACCTCAGTGATCCCCTGACTTTTCCTCTGGTTCGATTAGAAAGTAGAATTGTTTTTCGTTGTGAGTTTATTAACTTACTTCTATGGGATTTATTTGCATGACATTTTTGCAGATTAAGGTCGCAGAAATAGATACAATTCATATAACTCTGGTGATCCATTCAGCTTCCAGCAAGTTCAATTTGCATAATTATTCAATACGTTTTAATTTGTTTACTGCCAAATCACAACAAGTTGTGTCATTGCATTAAAAATATGGAGCAGGTCTAGACTGCACTTACTATTTACCCAACGTAAACCTCAAACACCCTTAAAGTTGGATTGAGATAGAGGGACAGAGAAAAAAGAGGAGACACACAGACAGCAACAGCATCAACAATATAATTACTTATAACTAAAGAGCTAAAATACATATGCCTGTGTTGAGTGCTAACATTCAGGTGTTAGTGTCCTAGAATGCCAAACTGAGATACAGCCTTAAAATTATACCTACTGAACATGAGCATCATCACTAAGAAAATGATGGTGTGATTTTAAATATAAATAAAATATTGACTTTGTTGGTGAAGTGAAAATGAAAATGTAGTTTAATAGAAAAAAAACCAAAACATTTTAATAGAGCTTTAGAAATGTTTCCATAGCTTTCCATAGGTTGCTGCATGGCGGTGCTGGAGCCGATCCCAGATGTCATTTACAACATATCTATTTTTTATTTTTAAGTAATAACGGATCCTGAAATTGTATGGTAAAGCTCTTATTATATATTCTTCTAGAAAATGTGTTCTTACCTGAAATTTGCCCACAAAAGCATCAGCGTGTGAAGTCTTCACTTAAATTGGGTGGTACTGCCAGGTGCACACCTTGCACGTACACAATTGGTCCGATCATTTAATTTGCGCAAAGCAGCGTTGTCAGGTTGCACAAGGAAAAGGACCCTCCTCAAAAATGTTATGTTGTGATGCAAGTTTAACATTCATGATCATTCAAATCAAGGACCTTAGCATACAGAAAATGGAAAAGCAGCAGCAACATGTGGTTTTGACATTATTGCAGCGTGTGTGTATCTTAGACAAACATACAATGTAATGTCAAAATGTACAGTAAATAGACTCTGTAATGACACCGTTCTGGTTTCACATGGTCCACAATTAACTGATAAAGACTGTAATTTTCTATGGTTGTTTTTGCCTTTGACACTAATTAAAAATGTATAGTGGAGCATGACTTTGAGCAACACATTAGTCAGCATGAAGGTAAATGAATCTCAGAGCTACATGCTACACTTCTTTCATTCCTGTTTCAAGGAGGATGACAGATTTACTCATTAATTAGCTGCTGCATTGTTCTTACAGTCTGCTTCTCTTCTGACACTGTGTGTGTCAGTTCAACAGCTGTGTGTGTGTGTGTTTTCAGGTTTAATCTGACAGACACGAACAGTAAGTGATTAAACATTCAAAGCGTTTCTTGCAACAACACGATGGTGAAAAGATTGTTTTTCTTTGATTTAAGTTAAGTTACAGAATAACCTGTCTTGTACACGTCAGGAAAAAAATCTGTTATGACTTTGAATGTCTTACTTTACGCTTGACTCCCCCCCCCCACTCTTTCTCATCCCAGCCTCCTTAGCATTACAGTACACTCACCACGGCTGACTGTAATATGAAATGTAAAAGGATGACAATGCAATTTACTCCGAGCCATCCGTGCTAGATTTGCCTATTAAGTCGAGAAGTCAAAAAAAGAAGCAGGAGGGAGATAAAGCTCAGAACAGTGAAGCAGAACGAGAGCACCTCTGAGACCTGACACACACAAAGACCAGTCCTAGAGCCTGAGCTGTCTCTTTATGTCTGTCTTAATATTGCTTCCATGCTATTCTATTGCAGACATAGAATCATGATATTGAACTGACAGAGAAACCAGGAGCTGTAGAGGATCAGGAACAGATCTGGACAGGAAACACAAAAAAAGCCCCTGCAGAGGGGGGTCCATAGTTTCGTCCCTCCTTGAACTACAACAGACGGCTGCAGGCGAGCTGAGCACATCAACTCGACGGGAGACCCTTGCTTGCATCACCTCAGTCTATTTTTAGAACCACTGCACCCACCTTTTTTCTCCTCTTTTAAGCTCCCTCTGTAGTCTTTGTGTCATCTGAAGTGCAAACTGTTGCAGAAGATGCTTTTTAAAAAAAAAAATTTATTCACAGTATTATTGCCCATTTGACAAAGAATCTGAGCTTGGCTACAACACCGCACATATTTTGTAAATGGATTAATCAGATTGCAGTATTGCAGAGGTGAACAATCACGTGGAGCGCTGAGAGTCTGCAGGCGAGTATAGCAGGTGCTTCCACTGATCAGTTTCTCCTCTGTGACTCTCGAGGAAAAGTTGTTCTCATAAGAGAAATCATCTGGTGCCATCTTTGAGTGGAATGAAAATAGATGCCTGGTCTGTTCCTGCTGTATGAAACCCTCTGAAATTGGAATTAGAAATGCCAATTATGTGCACATTGTGTTTAAGAGAAAAGAAGTGGGAAATGAGACTGTCACTTTCAATGATGCAGGCGTGGCCCTGTATTTTATTTCAGAGAAGATAATGAACAGTCCCAGGCTCGGCACGACAGCATGTCAAGCAGGACAGACTGTAGAACGGCAATGTAAGCAACAGCTTGGTAAAGATAGGCTCCACCGACTGCCAACGCTGGACAGATGGAGGGAAGAAGAGGAGCAGTAAGAGATGTGACAGAGGTGAAGATGCAGTGTGAGTCCAAGGATATGTGATGAAAAGATAAGCAATGGGAAGTGAGAATTAAAGGATACAAAGATAGTTGTGGAAAATCTCCAGCTAGTCCTTCTTTGTGCTTAAACAGTGAAGGAAATCACACTGTGTTCACAGTGTTCGTGCTGTGTTTGAAGAAGTCAAAAATAGGATTCACAATTCTACTTGAAACAAATGAAATCTTAAATTGGTGGCATATGAGCTGTTGTGTTTGTCCAGGAAAAATGGCAAGCTCAGACTGTCCTAAATACTCAAGGAAGGAGGATGAAATTGAGGTGATTATGTCGATTTATGGGTGTAGATGGTGTTCAGACGCTTTCCTAACAGCGTTGGGAGATATGTCCCTTTCTCGGATGGACATTTTTTTTTATCATGATGTGATGCAAATTTCCAGCTATCCATCATTTTTACATAAGCTTATACATTGGTTCAGAGCTAGACTGAAGTCAGAGTCACAGTGGCATCACACTGCCATCCAGTGGACACGTGTGTTACCTGCATTGTTAAGGATTCAAAAATCGTCCAGGCAAGGAAGTTCACATTATATAGGCATGAACTCAAGTTGAATAATTAGTATTTTATACATCCAAACATCTGAAATGTTCATCAAAAAAGGTTGAACAAGCTTCACAGTATATCTCACCCTTTATGTTTATGATTCATAAATAAAATAGAAGACTCTAATGAGATCAATCAAATGAAACGAGCATTGTGTATAGGAAGCTGTGTATATCATAACGAATGTTTAACATTATAGGGATGAAATATACATCGAGCTATAGTACACGATATGTGCAGAGACGTTACTACTTTGCTTCTACAACAAAATGTGTATCTAACAGGCACTTCACTGTAATAATGAATCAAGTTCTTATCCATGTTTGAATTACAGTAATATGCAGTAAACACCATGTGGCCATTATGCTCCAAATGTGACCCCTGCTGTTTCATCATTTAATAACCTAATGGTTTTTTTTATATCACAGTATAATGTAGGTCAAAGCAGAAGATCTTTTTAAGAGGATCATGAAGAAGTCCACTACAACTTCAACTCTTTACGGTAACATGTAAATACTGTCGAGCACTTTAAATGTCTTTGTAAATGTATTTTTCATTATGATTGGGTTAAAAAAAAACATTCATTTGCTTTTAGGACTCAATTCAAGTGACACATCGATTACACATTAGGTGGATCTTATTCTAGTTACGGTCACAGAAACCCAAGAACTCCTAGTTTCGGTACAGAATGATGGATCTATTACCAACCCCTGAATACCAACCACTGAGGAGAATGTGTGAGAGTTACCAGAGAAGTGCTGACGAAGGGTTCAAACTTCCTCCTTCTGCCGCAAAGAACGCCATGAGCTACAATCACAAACTTTAACATAAAAACCTACTGAACCGAAAGGGACACCACACTTAAACATACCTTAATCCCTATATCCAGTTATATATACACAATAGTGTTAATCAGCAAAAGGTTGAAAAGTGTTAAAAGAAAACACATTTAAAACAAATGAGGTCATGTGACATGCTGTATCTCCTAGCAACAGAGATTTGTTTACCTACAAACGATGACGAAACAGAGGTGAACTAATAACCTGGAGCTGCAGGTATGATGCTTTTCATTTGCTTTTAAATGTTTACATGTTGTAAATAGGAATATAACTCTACTGCAGTGCGGTCACATCTCTTCTCCTCTGTCAGTCTTTGATAAGGGAGCACTTATTTTCAACAAACTCTGTGATCCCTTTTTCTAAAAGAGTTTCGAGTTCTGTTGGATGTCATCAATCCTATAATCTAAGAAGTAACACCACTTTTGCTGCTTTTATCTGGGGATACAGCTCTGTGCACATGCCCTAGGATTTTTCTATCCATCACTGTTGTCAGAAGGGGTTTCCATTACAGCAGTCTCAGATGGATGAACAGGGAAGGATAGTCATGCCGACTGTCGCAGCAACAGGCAGCAGAGGACAACTAACAAGTGACAACAGCACCTCTTACAGGGACTTTTATGGTTACAAAGGTGAGAATGCATCATTTCAGAGGAGGGCTTCTTAAAAGTCTCAGCATCAACAGAGATACCTGTTTAACTCAAATAATGATTCAGATTATTATGTCTTATTTTTTAAAAGCTGTCTTAGAGGCCAGCATGGAGAACTTCACTTCTCACCTCAGACATTCCAGCAGCTCAGGTTTCACAGCAAACAACAGACCTGCCATTTATTACAAGCCCAGTTTGGACCTCATTGACAACCCTCACATGGGGTAAGTGTCATAATCGTGCTCTATATGCTCTGCTATATATTTTTTTAATACATTTTTTGTAGTTGGCCTAAAACGTGGTTTCAAATAAACTGCTCAGTGCGATTTAGTCAGGTGTAAAAAAAAAAGTAATTTTCTTTTGGGCTCGTGAGACGAGTAATAAAATCTCTATGGCTGCAATCTTAAACTGGTTGAAATCTTGAAATGCTAAAAAGAGTCTTCATTACTCCATTTCAGTATATCGTTCAGCATGAAATGAACTCGACTGTAGGACTAATTTTTGACGAATCCACTGCAGCCTCTGTGAAAAAAAAATAACAAGACAAGAGTGTTAATTGTCACAGGAGAGTAATCTGTCAACAATGACTAAACAGACACCACGGGTAAAATCACCTGTGTCGGTATAGGTTACATGTGTGTGGTGGGTGTTAGTGTTTAGTGAAATCACAAATAATCCGATATCTCCTTTACAGCATCTGCCTTTGCAGCCAATTATTTTATTTTTATTTTATTTTCCCAGTTTTTAAATGACCTTCACACCCACTGAGGTGTACTCAGTTAATTTTGGTAATTAAACCTCAGCAGGGAATTAAGTGAGGTTACTTTTTCACTGAAGTTATTCTGACGGGTCACAAGAAGAAAAACCCCAGCAGTAAATGACTAATGATAATAATGGCTGAATAACATTGAGCCTCTGCTGAGATACTCGCTCCTCACTTACTGTTTACCATTTTGTTCATCTGTTTCCTCAGAGTTTAAGGTAGGACTTTTCTGTAATAGAACAATTTCACAAACGATGCTACAATGTTGTAAAAATACACAGCTTAAGTTAACATTCAATATAACTGTAGGATAGAAGTAGCTCAAAGTTACCAAAACAGTTTGATACTGTATTGTTGGTACTTTCAGCTACAGTTGCCACCTTCCATGCATAAAAATAAAGGACCCCCCCCCACACACACACACACACACACTCCTCAGGGCTAGGACCACCATGGGCCTGAGGGATGGGGTGCCAGACACCAGTGGTAGTAAATCATAAGTAAAAATAATTGACGTTGGCTGTTAGCTAGCTGACGGCTGAATGGCAAGTCGTTAACGCCTAAAGCTGTTTACAGAAAGTAGTAGAATAATATTCAGTCATTGTCCAAAGAAGCTAATGGTTAGGCTATATTGCTATATATGTTGTTGATTTAAAATTAAAGCTTTTGTCCTCCCTAATTATAGTCTTTCAATTTCTTAGTAATCAGTTGAACTGAGATCACAAAATATTACCTGGTAAACACAGTTAAAGCTTTTTAGCTTTCCATTCTCAGCTTTCTGTGCAAATCTTAAGTGAAACAAGTTTTGTTTTACTGTTTTGTTTGTTTGTTTTTTTTTACAATGAAGTCAAAATGTCTGCTATGGGTAAGACTGTGGTTGACAGTCTATATGACAAGTTGAAGCTATGGGGCTAGATACCTTTAGAGTCTCTAAATCCAGCATATTTGTGAAGCAATCGAGCATTTAGACACTGTGGCATATTTTCTTTGGTGTTTGGATTTTTTTTAAAACCTTTGAGCGGATACATTTGTTTCGTTCTTGTCTACAGATTCATGTTGTCTGATAACTTCACGTCTCAGACCAAACAGCACTTCCAGCCTCACATGCAGCCTGCTTGTTCTGGTTCTTTGCCAAACCTGCTCAACAAATGTAAAGCGAGCGGCTTCCATCAGCTGACATGTCCTCCCCAAACGGCCATCTTGGAGGAGAAGGCATGTCAGAATAATGCAAAAACACAAAAGCACATTGGAGATAATGAGAAGCGTCGAACTCTGACAAGTCACTTTCTCATTCTCTGCCTCCTCTGTGTGTCTTTTCAGACAGAATACCAAAGGACATATGCGCCATTTACTCCAACAGGTAATACAACTTGAGTTGAGTTTTGAGTTTAAAAACAGGGCAAAGAAGATTTAAAAAAACAAAAACCCATCATAAAATATATTTTTTCATATTATTCATGATATTATCTGAAAATAATGTGTTTATGATGTTGCATCTACACCAGTTTCCCAGAAACATGTGAATGTTGGTCCAAAATCAGAAAGTGGATTCACCAGGGAAAAAGATCGACAACCCAGAAAAATCTCGATGGCAAGTATTGTAAGAAGTCATTCTTGTACAATCATTTAGGTAAGAAATATGGGCCTGGTATCATTTGAAATATTTCAAAACATACAAATATTAGAACCTTTAAAGTGATACAGACAACATAGAGTTCTTACTTTGATACATTGTTTTCTAGTTTATTTTATCTCAATCATGTAAAAGGAAGTATTCAGTTACAATGTCACTCCCCCTCCTCATATAATTTAATTTAACACAAATACAGTCTTTTTTTCCAATCTGGCTACAAAAGATCACATTTTATATTTACACTGAGTTATTCAGTATTCCTCTTCAGAATTATTCATTGATATCCAGACCTAAATGAAATACAATTTTTAGTCTCTATTCCCATCTATAATAATTCTGGTAGCTATAAATGTTTTTTTTAAATCCCTATGTTATGTCTACTGTCATGTTTTTGTCTTGATGTCCAGGTTGAACCTCACCAAAGTCACAGCTCTGTGATGAAAAGTGACTTCATCAGTCCAGCCTTTCTGCAGGTTGACCCACAGTTTTGTTTGAAGTTCTGAATTTTTATAGCAAAAAGGTTTTAAACTATTAACATGAACGTAAAACATGTTTTCCTGTGTTTGTTCATGAGGACAATGAGGCCACACGAGGCCTGTGTGGCCGCTCTTATCGGGAATCAGGATTCACTCGAGGGGCCATCGCTCCCCTGGCATGTGACCCAGTGAGTACTGACCCCCCCTCCCAGTCAGCTAAATTATATTTAAATAATTATTATTTTCCTCTTGGATCTTTCTGTCTCCTCTTCTAGACCTCCCGCCTGTCACCATTCAAGACTAAAAGTGAAGCACCAACTAAGAAGACCATTGGAAAAAAGGTGATATACTTGACCTTAGTTTTTTAAGTGTTTGCAGAACCCTGTTGAGTACTGTTGAGTTTTGTTTTTACTCTGTTGTTGTGTTTTCCAGGAGCTCACAGGATTTCTTTCCAATGCTTCCAACAGTCAGGCTTTCCCTAAAACACCTTTCGATTGTTCACAATTCACCACTCATTATGAAAGCAGGTAAGTGTGTCACTCTTTTAGATAATATCTATCTGGGATAACAGCACCTGATAAGCTTAAAAATATTGGAAAAACATTACTTTTTCAGGTTCTGTCACCCTGCTGTTTATGAAAAGTTTAAACCTGCCAATGCTCAAGCAGGTATAATGAGCACAAAAATGGACAATGGCTACAATCGTCAAGGCATGGACAGGTACACAAACAACACACATGCATAAAGTCTTAATGTGCATATATCTGTTTGACTTACACAAGTCTTCTCTGTTTCACAGGTTCATCTTTATGGGCTAGATGTTCACAGAAATATGATAGCATCTATATAACCACTCTTCACAATCATTTTGTTTTGACACTTTAATATAAAAGAGCAGTCATTGGCACAAAAAAAAGCTGTTGCTGTGTGAGTCTGAATTTTTTTAGCATTCATTTTCTTATAATCAAATCCTGAAATCCTCACTCCCCCGTCTGTGTTGTTTTAAAAATAATCCTGTCAAAGAACGTGTAATTTTCATCTCTGTGTGAAGTCCCCTTTGTGTGTGATGAAAGCGTCCTGTCAGACAGTTGTGTACAGTGCGTCACGTGAAAGCCAAAGAGGGAGTGAAGGAGATTATGCATTGTTTTTTGACCGCCCCACTGTCTCTGACCTACAGAGAATGAGAGGAGTGTAAACTAATGAGCAGAATAATAACACTAAGACTGAGTGCCGCGCTGATTCTCAGTGTCGTCTGTGGTGTGTCAGACTGTTTTGCCACCCACAAAAATTTAAGATGCAGCAGAGAGCAGAGCGAGGAGGCAGGTTTCAAAAAGCATATCATGTCTGTAATGAAGCTCAATAGTATCCCCCTGCTGTGGGCCAACTCAGACACGATGGTGATTTTAAATGATCAACTCAAGTCAAATAAACACAAGACTGTGTAAAAACAAGAGATACACAAAATCACAGGGGAGCTCTGCAAAAGAAAAGATAATAGATCGTGTTTAAATGTATGCACAGATGTCTCTTTGGGCTGGACATTAAAATGATTTCATCTCCTGCAATACTAATGTTAGTGTAATGGTCTGTGGGTTTGTATATCCCTTTACTTTACTGGATGTTTCTTTTCAAAGGTGTCTTTTTGCTAAAAAAAACAAAACAAAAAAAAAACAGTTTAAAATGTACATACAGGAAGTGTATGTATGTAGCCTCTTGGGATCAAAAGTGAAGCCAATGCAAACGTTCCTTCCACCTGCATTCTTTCATTTGGCCAGCAGGGGGTAATTATGTTGCTTGCAAAAATGAAGGCATGCCACCAGATTAAAAAATTACCCTTGTTCTCAGTTGATTTTTCATTGTGGGAAAAGTTCTCCTAATTGTTTTTTGGTTTCAAATGGAAGTTGCAAGTCCTCTTCAATAAAGTATTAATAGTCATGTTGTAACCTATGGTCCCATTTAGAGTAAAATTAACAACCAACACCAACTATAGATACATAAAATCCCAGAGAGGCTCTGCAAAGTTCAGATGGTAGATCATGTTTAGTTAGCAGCCACTGTATCTTTCTAAGCAAAATAAAATCCTCAACAGAAAACTAACATGACCGGGGTGGCACAAGCTTAGTCTGAGGGTTTCTGGTCTAAATCATGGATTGGACTGATGTATGGAATAAGGGACTGGTCGCTGGAGAGGTGCCAGTTCTTTTCCCTGCCCAGGTGGCCTTGAGCAAAGGACCTGACCCCTGACTTCTTTGGCGTTCAGTTGTGTGCAGCCCCTCACTCTGACATCTGAGTGCATATAAGGGCTGTCAGTGTTAACTAGTTAATTCGGATTAATAAAGGTCTGAAATGAATGCATTTTTTTTTAAAATTGTGATCGCATGCTATTACGACCCTTAAGGGTCACCGTGGACGAGCCTATAGTGTCTCCCTGTAGTCACAGCGATGGAAAAGAATGACACTGCTGCATCTTCGAATGTCTCATTTCACTTTTAAAAACTCAGACAGCTCAGCTGACGAGTCAAATGAAACATCAACCTTATGACATCAAACATTTCACTTTTTTTTACCAATACTATTAGCTGTTTTTATTTAATTTTGATCGTTAATGAGTTCATTTTGTCAACGGTTAAGTTAACTCCCTCAATCTACGAGAGGGTCCTTACTTTATTTCAAAATAAAGGCATGGTTGAATTTAAATGGCAAGTGAAGTTCTCTCAGCTTTAGACAGCACAATAATACATTTTTATTTTTTAATGCTAATAATGGAATTTCATTGCATTCAAAAATGCAATTAAAACTGTGATTCATTGCAATTAACTATGTTGAGATAAATGGCAATTAACACGTTTTTATCATTTGACAGCCCTAGTGCATATCCATATCATCCTGTTGTACATGTGTGGTGGCCATTCTGGTCTATGTGAGTGTAACATGTTGAGTATAAAAAACTTAATTTCCCCTTGGGGTTTAATAAAGGATGTCTTCTCCTTCCTCTAACCTCCAGTTAGTACTCAAAGTACTTTGTCTAGGAAAGGATGGTGGTTTGGGTTTCATATCAGACAGTATCTTGGGGCATGTGCTTTATTTTAATCTATCAAAAGCAGAGGGGATTAGGCTGAGCCCTTTTGCAAAAAAATGGGAAGCATCTTGCAGTTGAATGACTGCATGTAATCAGTGTCGAGGTGAGCATGTTAAATTACCAGCATTAGCTAGCCACAGCTTTTTTAAATGTCTATAGGTGTTAGCTTGTTGATCAAACATCAGAAAAACCAAAATTTCACTGCTTTGACCAGTTGTAAGTCCATCAGCTAAGATGCTGAGAAAATTAAAAAAATAGACACATACTACAAATATGAAAGCCTGAAGAAGCCATGAATAAGTTGATTTTATACAACCAGGTAAAATATGGCTGTTTTTTTTTTCTTGAAATAACAAATAATCACCTTGTGATTTCAAATGATAGTATAAAGAATTGTAGTAAAAAGTTAAAAAAAATACTCATTGCATCTGGCCGAGACACGACACCCAACCCTCACACACATGCAAGGGTTTATAGGCATATAACCATGGGGATTGTATTTCACTTTTAGATGAACAGTCTTACTCTGCTCCGTTTGCACAGCACAGACACTGCAGTCGTAATGTGCCGACACATGAGAACAGGCATCAATATTTCAGCACTGGGATAAATATTTCACTCTTTCAATGTGATGTGAGAAAAAGGTACGTGGAGGGAACGAGGATTAGATTACATACAAGCCCCTCATGAATAATTAGTGGGGAGATGAGAGGAGAACAAGGGCCATCCTGCTTAATTTTGGAGACAGTGGTAAGAAAGGTGCCGTCACCGACTAAAGAAGTATACACAGGCCAGAATGGATCTGAGTCTCTGATCTACAGGTGGCTTCAGGTTTTTAGTTTAATAGAAGAAATATGCTTTATTGAGTATATTTGATATTTAGAGGCTAACTGTGGACAAACCTTTTATGGTGAGGCACCCCAGCTATTCATTCCTCTAATAATCCTGCTTGTCTCCTTCTCTTTCTTGGCACTGACGCCCGCAGGACTGCTTACACAACACTGACAAGGGCTGGGGGCTTGTGTTTGGCGTGTCATAAATATTTCGTAAATCTAAATCCAATACACACATTTACATGCACTTGCAGGCTCGGCTTTTAAAAATAGAGATGAGTCGAGGTGCACTGGCGGGCACATAAAACAGACACTGGCCCCGATGAGTGGAAATACTACTGTGCTTCAACACAAGCTGGTGCTCTCACTGGTTAGAAATAAAGACATCTTTTCCAGTAAATGATTGACACCAGCTTCATCAGCTGAGTATGTATTTATTGTTGGAAGACATAGTCTCTTGTGTACTAAAGTCAAGAACAGCCTTACTTGCAGCTCATTTTTTCAAGCAGTTATCTCAAGATCACAGGTCATCCCAAGATAGAAAAAGATTTTTCTTCTCATGATTATCCATTCATTTACAATTTATATCCTTAAAACTATTCCTGATATAATGCAATATTTATACAAGAGTAAATAATGTTTTTCAAAGAATTATGGGAAACTTTTCCCATAATTCACCCCAAAACAAGCGAGACTGTGGTGGGGGAGGATTCATAGAACAGTGATTGAAATTCAGCCTGGTTACAATTAGTTCTCCTTGATATGACATTTTATGGCTTATATTAGTCCTATGATTGTAAAGATGCCAAGTAAGTATGCTGAAATAGCATTTTTTATCTCTTATAAAATTAAAACAACAATAGCTGGTTAATTTTCCAAGTGAATGAAATAATAAACTTGTGATTTGAAGAAAACGCCATAAAGATAAAACAAGGATGGCAGCCCTTGACTTGTGTACCAGCACACACTCAGAAACACTCATTTTAAAAGAGCCTAACACATTGCACACACGCACACGCACACACACACACACACACACACACACACACACACACACACACACAAACACACTCCACCTGAGTCCTGCTCTGATGTGCTTATTTTGAGTTGATTGAGATGTCACACTCGCTGTCTTTTAAGGTGTCGTAAATCTACTTTTCACAGTTTACATTAAAATTGAGAATTAGCAGCACAGCTAAGAGAGTCCCACAATCGACTTCACTTTGTGTGGATTGAGAGTCATCCACCTCCACCTGCCTGCAGAGTGTCTGAGTCTGGTTGTATTTGGGGCTTTTTTACGCCCCTTCATCTTGTCTCTTCATGTTCGTACTCATAGTCCATCTGAGCCCTGTCGTACTCCAGCTGATCTCCTTCATACTCGAGCCCCTCTCCCTCACATATAAACTCCTCTGTCTCATATTCAACCCCCTCCTCATCGTATTCAAGTTCCACACCGTCGTACTCAGGGAACATCTCCCCGTCTTCCCCATTTGTTCCTTCGTTTTGAACATCCGCGCCTTCTGAATTCAACGCGGCTTCGTTGGCTGCTTGTTTTGAGCCGCTGTTCTTAAGAATGCCGTGAATCACCGGCTCTTCTCCTGCCAGAGCCGACTCTTCGGCCTCCAGCTCCGCGGCCTTCCGTAGCCTCTCCCTCCTGGCTTCACGTGCCTCCAAGAACTCAGCGGCACCTTCCCCGACCACGAGCACCTCATCGTCCACTTTAGGAGGTTCGTCCACGGGGTTGTGGTCGTAGGAGAAGAGGCGGAGAGCTTTTAATCGCTTCAGGCTGGGAAATTCTGAAATCTTGTTACGGTCCAAATCGAGTATCTCCAAATGTTCCATGCGCAGCAGGACCCTGGGGAAGGTATCAAAGCGGTTCCCGTACAGCCATAATCCCCTCAAAGCTGCCATCCGCCAGAGGTCAGGTGGCAGGGTCTTCAGCCGGTTGTCCCCTATTTGCAGAGACTTAAGGTTGGGCAGGTCGTACAGCTCCAGGGGAAACCTCTGAAAGTAGTTGCTCTCCACCCACAGACAGCGCAGACTCTGCAGGTTCTTCAGCTCAGTCGGGAGACTCATGAGACGGTTGCTGCCCAAGTAGAGGCGGGTGAGGTTAGTGAGCTGGCAGACGGCCTGAGGGACATCCTCCATCTTGTTAAAGTCGAGGGCAAGGATCCGCAGACCCTTCAGCTTTGAGATGTTCTCGGGCAGAGTGCGCAGACTGTTTCCGCACGCATACAGCTTCTCCAGATGCATCAGTCCACAAACACGTGCAGGTAGGCGCTTAAACTTACGATAGCTCAAGTCCAGCACGGGATCTCCACTCTCAAACATCTCCTCCACTCCCACTGGAAGCTCTGCCTCCACTTCCTCCTCCTCTTCCTTCCTCTTCTTCTTCTTCGCTGTAATCTCTGCGTCCTCGCCATCCTTCCCCCCCTCCTCTCCTTCCTCTTCTTCATCTTGCTTGCTGGAGGAGTTGCCCATGCTGTGTGGCCTGCAGCCGCTGAGTCCTCAGTGCATCAGGACAGAGTCATTTGATGAGGTAGTATCTGTGACAAGTTAACGCTCAGCCTTGCGGCTGATGCTGGTTTTGGGCTGATCCCTCCGGTGTTGCAAAGCATCATGGTGCGAGCCAATCAAAACTCTGGCGGCCATGTCACAGCTTTTTGTCAGGTGTCCGTTCACCCCTTCATTAACCGGCCCATCGGAAAACTCCGGAAGAAAGTAAGCAACTGTGGAGTAATAGTGATAATAGCAGTAGTTATAATAGAAACAGTAGCAGTAATAATCATAGTAATAATAGTAGTAGTTATAACAAGGCAATAATAGAGATAATAGTAGTAGTTATAATAGGCTATAATAGAGATAATAGTAGTAGTTATAATAGGCTATAATAGAAAGAGTAGCAGTAATAATCATTGTAATAATAGTAATAGTGCTGCCGGTAGCTGAGCTCAGCAAAGTACAGCTGAATTTTGAGCTGAAATTGAATTCCTGCAGTCCTTACCCTCTCCTTAAACTTCCTCGAGGCTTGAGAGGTCGCGCGCAGCTTCGAGGCCACCTGCTCACGTGATCCGGCAAAGGGTAAAATGAAGCACTTTTAAGGACTAAAGAGTCCGTTAGCTTTGCCCCTCTGCCAGCCTGTGACGGGAGGATTTCCACAGTGAGTGCGCAGCTCGGTGACCCTGCCGGCGGCAAAGAAAACAGTGGAATCCAGTCTGTTAGTTAACGCACGTGCACCCCCATCACAGGCCGAGGACTGAGGAGTTAAGATCCGCGCGCGCCGGAGGAAAGAAAAAAAAGTGCACATTAGAGGAAACTGCAGCGAGGACCGATGAGTGAGTCTGTCTCCTGATGTTCCTCCATCAATGACAGGGTTTACATTGAACTGCTGCCTCCCTCCCTTCTCTGAAACCGGAGCAGAGGGCATTCACATCACATGGTCAGTGTGATGTGTGTGTGTGTGTGTGTGTGTGTGTGTGTGTGTAAGAAAAAAAAAATAACACGAGTTTTAAAAACAAGTGCTCGTCATTAAGCTTCCCCAACTGTTTAGATAGCAAATGTATTTATTTATTTAATTGTTTTGCCCTTGAAATGCCTAGAATTGAGCATACACACAAACATACACACACACACACACACACACACACACACACACACATCTATTTCCCATGAGTCATTCTGTATTTGTCCTGCATGTCTCAGCTATGATAACTATAATCATAACTTTTTTTTTGAATAATCAGTCAGGTCACCATCCAATGTGATGGTGGATGGTGACTTTGAACCAATAATAGTCCAACAAGAAAGTTTCAAACGTTCAACAGTGAAATAAGGCAGACAAACAGAAATAAACACCAGTGGAAAGTACCTGAACAGCCCACTTCTACTCAATACTTGATCTGGGAATTATTGTCTACTATGCAACTTCATACTCACACTCCAATTTCATGGCAGTTTAGTTAAATTTTGATTTTGAAGTCATCAGTTTAAGATCCTGTGAGAAGATCAGAAAAATGTACCCTCAAGTAGCTTCCCCCCAAAAAACTGTTACACTGAAGATATAAAAAAGATGGCAGGAATGTTGACAGTACACCTTAAAATTTTAGTTTTATGTTTTCATATTTAAGTTAATGTGTCTATACAGGAAGAGAGTGCACATCATTCTATTTTACTCTAAATACTTCTTCCATCTCTGTGAAGAACCACACGCATAGTACATTGAAAACCAGTAAAAGACCAGTAATCATCACACAGTCATTCCTTGACGCTCCAAAGATGGTCTCCTCAGTGCTGCTTTTATCACGCAGAGAGGCACATTAGCTTCAGCAGGTTTTTATAGACCAGTTAACACACAGTCTGTGGGTGACGTTCTGCTCTGACACAGAACAGACACAAAAATGACCCGTAAACTCTTTTTAACTGCTCACAAATAACACAATGTGAAACGTGAGACCAGACTCAAACCATGTTCATGTTTATTATTATTATTATTAATAATAATAATAATAATAATAATAATAATAATAATAATAATAATAATAATACATTGGTTTTTTATAGCTCTTTTCTAAGAACTCAAAGATGCTTTGACAAAATATAAAACCATAAAACATAACAAAAAACGACGAGGACAGTACAATGAAGATGTAATGTGGGGGAGGGGGGGGGGGGGGGTTAGTGGTCGTAGGCAATGTTGAAGAGGTGAGTTTTGAGGGATTCTTGAAGGAGTGAGTGTGGGGGAGTCTCTGATGTTTTTTGGGAGTGAGTTCCAGAGGGTGGGAGCTGCAACAGAGAAAGCCCTGTCCCCTCAGAGCCAGGTTGTGAAGGGCTTTGTAGGTGAGGGTGAGGAGCTTGAAGTTGATACGCTGGGGGATGGGGAGCCAGTGGAGGTCATGTTTTGAAGTGTAGTTGTGAAGTTGTGTGCACAAGTTTTTATCTTGTGTGCGCAATATAAATGATCTTGTAACGATTCACTCAACTCACGATACGACTCTTTCACGATTTATTTTACAAAATGAGAGTGAAGACAAATTATGAGAGGACTAACAAAGATTCCTTTAATTTTTTTCATGAAACACAAATGCACCTGTTAATCTCTTTGGCTCTTGCACTCGTTTGGGCGAGCAGGGCTGCAAACCTGCTTGTTGGTGTGGTTTGGCCTCGGCAGCTGCCATGATAACGACTGCTTGTTACAACCAACAGCCCCGCTCTACAGCAGCTGACGCTCACGATATTACTGCGATTCATTTTTAGTACCGATGTGAACCTTGACACCTGTGAATCGATTTTTAACTGCCTCACGATTAATCTTTACATCCCTTTTGATAAAAAAAAAAAGATAAAATACTGAAACAGGTCATTCTCATTCCTAAAAAGTGCTATGAATTATTACATCTGTGCTTTCACTTTCATCAAAACACAGGATATTTCATTATTACAGTTGTTCAATACAGTTTAGTTTGAATACTTTTTTAATGCTGGTTTGTTTTTGTTTTTTTAAATGCTTAGTTTCAGTTTAGTTTTATCAGTTTTAGTTTTTTTGTCCCAGAATTGTAAATGGTTCAGAGAAAGACATCAAAATACACTATAAAACTATTTTATAAGAACAGGGAAACAGTTGTAACTTCTGCAGTCAGCAAGCAAGCTCATCCAGAAGTAAAACTGACATGCCTGAGACAAATTGTAAGGACATGTTTTGTGTTACAGTTTGATTGAAAACTAAAGACATTTTCTCTTTACTTTAATATAATTGTAGTCATTCTTGTAAAGACACTATTCAGTAAGTTATCGTTTTGTAAAGCCACATTTTGATTTTAGTGTCAACAACAAAAAACAAAAATGTTCTATTTTAAATATTACTTTTTAAAACAAGTTTTCATTAACAATAATAACCTTAATAAGAAACACAATGTAGAAACAGATCTTAGGTAAAGTAAGGTAAAACGTAAATCACTTTACCATGCTAATGCAGGTAATACTTTATATTAAAATATAATATATTAATGTATATGTAACTGCTGGATCTTTTCAGTTTAGGCAATACATATTTTTATTATATTTTATTATGTTTTGTTTATATGTATGCTCAATATTTTAATACAAAACAGAGAACAATTTCAGTCCACAGATTCAATGAAATTATATCAAATTTATTTCTATCGCCCTTGACACACAACAAAGTTGATCAATAGTGCTTTACATGCACACAGACAAACGAGATCAAAAGAAGGAGACAAAGAACAAACACTTTAGAAGAGAGGAGAAAAACCAATAGTGAGGCAAAGGTGATGAAGTTTTATAATTACAATAGCACTTAATAATAATGATAAAAGTAAGTTGGAATCAAACGAGTTGAAGGGTTCATGGAGATTACTTTTCGACTTTGGGGAATACTCTACGATATCAGTCGTGTGACTGACAGCCTGTTGGTTGTGATACAGAAGGAAGGCCTTAAAAAAGCTGCAAGGGTCAGATGTACAGTGCGCGTGTCGGGCCTGATGAGCAGTGGCAGAAGAAGCAGACAAACAGAGAGACAGGCCGAGCGCTGCTTGAGGATAATCCTGTCTGATATGCCAAGGACCGAAGAGCTGATTTGCAAATTTCTGTTCCGCATTGAAACGACCCTGAAATGACACAATGGACTGCAAGCGGCCAACAGACAGGCAGAGAGCTCGGACGCTGAAAGGATGTGACTGCTGAGGTGGATGTGTTGAATGCAGATGAAGAACTCCATGACCTAGTCAGCATGGGAAACATATGGAAATAAATACTAACAATAAAAAACAACAACAACAAATGCACACATTGAAGATCGTTTTACTTTATGTATCAAGAGCATATGATTACTAATAAAACATCCCATTTGGTTTGTATAACATCCTTGTTTGCATTTCTAGGTGCAACCCAAGACTGTCATAATATCTGCTGCCTCCTCGAGGTTAAATAAGGACAAGTAAGGTAGCCGTTTTAACTAAAGGAACACATCTGCACCATCTGCTGGTTGAGGAAGGAACTGCAATACGTTAAAAAAATTAATGTAGGCTACCTTTGTTCATTATGTTGTTGCTGTCGGAATAAAGATAAAGTAGGCTACTGAATATTCTAGTCTCCTAATCTTCATGTATGTAAAAACAGCAGCAAACGTTGATAGAATTGTATCGAGAGAGAGGGGAGCAGGGGAGACTGCTGCAGTAATCTGATGATGTTATATAGCCTACAGTTGGCAACATCACTGCTGACTGTGCAGACTCATGTTGACCTATGATACACAGAAAATGACCAAAGGCATTTACACATATTCCTAAAGGCACTCAATTTTTTATTTTATTTAGACCTACTTAAATTATGCGAAATTATTTATTACAGTAACACACATCACAGAATCAATATTTTGCATGTTCCTTTTAAGATCATCCAAATATCAAGCAATTGAACGTCTCAAAACCATGGGGGAAACAAAATATAACAACATTATTTAAAACAGACTTTCAACCACTTAATGTTATATTTTAACTGTCAGCATTTAACACCATATCACATCTTAGTTAACATTCTTAAAAGCAAAATGTGTTATCTTGTGTAAAATAAATACTTAAAAGTACCCATATTTCTAAATGCTGTGACCTGCTTCTGCCTGAGAATATCCTTTAATGCTATATTTAAGACTCTATTGCATTTTGGAAGCCGATACTGTGCTTCTTACATCCATACATTTATCAGACATGTGTTTGATACTTTTCAGATTCAAATGTTATTATAGAATATAAATATATACATCATGTTGTATATGGATTTAGCTTTTTTAACAGTATCTGTAGCCTGTTTATCTCCTCTATTACAGCTGCAATAATGCATCATAATTATAATCTTATCACCTTTCATTCTGAATTGGGAAATAGCACATTATTTAGGCTATTCTCAATATCCTGTTTGTTTCCCACTTTGGGGACTTTGAGTTCGGCTTTCTAAGATAGTTCTTCTGCACTGTAGTAAGTCTGTTTTAATTTGTGTTAATAGGCTAATTTAATGCAAACTCCTTCGACCATATAGTAGTCCTGTAAATGAGGAAAGTGTAGCCTTCACTTTTTCCACGTGTGCACACAGACGCCTCAGTGACACTGAGATGAGCTGTTTATTGAGCCTATTGCACAGCAGTCTGTGCTCCAGGATTTACTGTGCGCCGATTGGCCCGCAAACCCTCGAATGATCCGCTCGGAATTCGCACTGAATGAGTGGGTGAATGAGTCCGTGGATTTTTTTTTTTTTTTTGGGGAAGTCTGAGGATAAAAATGTGGGATGTTTGGTGTTTAAAATGGATGTGAACGGAACGGGAGTGAATAAAAGTGAATCGGTGTGTGAATGTGACTGAATACCGGGGAACAGAAGCCCAAAATCTGAGCTCTGTAAGTCTGAAATATTTTTCATCTTCATGTTGGGTGCTGCCACCCGACGTCTGCCATTGTAGCTTATTGTAAAATCAATCGATTACAAAGCGGTTAACGTTAATCGATAGGCTGTTAGCAGTTTAACAGCTCTGATCTTTATCTTTAAAGTGCATTTTTATCAAATCAGCGACCAATCGCCTGCATGCCCTGCTGTGTTAAAAAAGGAACGGTTTTAGACACACCTAGGACTATATAGGCTGTGTGTGTGTGTGTGTGTGTGTACATGTGTGTTTTTTCTCCTGAATGTAACCATTTGATAATGAGCATGTTGCATTTACGTTCAAGTGTATTGTTCGTGCTGATAAAACGATGCATAGTCAAATGGGGGAAATCCGCCCTGCTTTATCAGCAGCCTCCCGGTTGTCGGATTTCATCATCAATTATTAGTGAAGATGTTGCCCTGCGCTTTGTCTTCCTTACCAATCAGCTTGGTGCTTACAGGAAACAGAGCAACAGGTTAAAAAGCTCCTGTAAATGCCTCCTCTGCACAGTCTGTTAGTGGGCTTCAGGACACACTGACCACCAGTCTCACATCCAGGTGTCAGACTCTTGTCTGTCTGGGTTTCACTGTGCAGGTGGAGGATCCAGGCCACACACAGTAAGGATACTGAGGATGGGGGGTGGAGGCCAGCTGACAGAGGCAGGAGAGGGACGAGCTGCTGGAGTCTACACCTGGGAGGAGGTGCAGAGTCACTGCAACAGGAATGACCAGTGGCTGGTTATCGATAGAAAGGTTTACAACATCTCACAGTGGGCCAAAAGACACCCAGGAGGCTTCAGGATCATCAGCCACTACGCTGGAGAGGATGCCACGGTAACACGATGTCTTTTTATTCCACTGAACACATTTTATGAGGATGTAGATGTTCTGATGTTTATACATGTAAGCAAAGTGGTCAAAATGGTTTTACTTGGGTACTAGTTTGAGGTACACTGCTTACGTGTTTCCTCTCCATACTGTTGAATACTCTCTCTCCACCTCATTGTTCTAAAAATAAGACCCTACTAGAAAATACTATCCTACTCCAATACATTTGTCTGAGAGCTGTGGTCCAAATTAGAAATGTAATATTCAACAGTTCAGAAAATGGGTACAGATCTGGTTCGCTTTAAGCCAGAATTTCACTTTGGTTGTACAATATTTTGCCCTCGTTCCAAAAGCTGTTCAGAATATTTGCTTGTGACCTTCTAAAAAAAAGTTCATTGAGGTGTCTGGTCATGGACCATTAAAGATACACTTTACAAATCCAAACTTCTCAGATGGTGTCTTTCAAGTTTTACAAGCTAAAATAAGTAAAATTACACACTGTTTAAAAAAAAAGTCTAACACATACAGTATTGGTCTGTCCCTTGTTAGAGATCACTCTTTCACTGCTTTACCTGTATTTTTCTGTTCAAGATATTGTAAAGGAAGTGTTCTCTTTTAGAAAACTTGAATGCAGTACAGACTATTAAGATGATATGTGCTTTAGGGAGTTTCCACATGATCCTCCACATCTAGGGGTGGCAATCACAGGGTCCCTCATGACACAACACGACACGGTATACATGTTATGTGACACACAATAACATTATAGTTTAAACTTCTTTTCACCTCTGTACTACCTTACTCCATTGTCTTTTCTTTTTTTAATCCTGTCTTTTCTTAATTAAAATATCACAACACGGATTTGATTATTGTATCACATGAGTCAGGACAGTAATAAAATACTGTATCAATATATTGGTCCAACCCTATCAACAACAACACCTCACAGTGGCCATATTTTGGCAGAACTTGTTCTTCCACATTTGATATGGAAGTACGTTTTTCTGGTAATACCTCTGGGATATAAATGTTTATACAGGGCTTTATTTTCACTCTGCTCTGTTGGTACTCTCACTTATCTGATCCCAATGCATCCTCCTACTTACTGCCTCACTGACAGGATCTCTCCTCTTTGTGCTCCAGGAGGCGTTCACTGCTTTTCATCCTGATGTGAAGTTTGTGCAGAAGTTTCTGAAACCTCTGCAGATCGGAGTGCTGGCGGCGTCAGAGCCGAGCCAGGACCGGGACAAAAATGTGAGCTTCATGTCAGATTGTTAGCACTGTATGAATAAACCTCACAATGTTATTCACGTGGAAGCTTTAGTGACACGTAGAGAAAGACCTGAGGAAAAGAGAAAAGGAGTTAGTCAGGGATGTTTTATTCATGAGTCTTACAGAGTTCGATCATGAACACTCATGTTTCATTAGCCGTTAAATAACTCAAACTGCCTTTACGCCTTTTTGTCCTTTTCTTTACTGCTGCAATTAAATGATCAGTGAAAACATGTTTTTAATGTTTTACATGGCCTTTCTAATTCTTCTTCTCTCCTCAGGTGGCCATCATACAGGATTTCCACAGCTTACGCATGCAGGCAGAGAGCGAGGGCTTGTTCCGGGCTCAGCCTCTGTTCTTCTGTCTCCACCTGGGTCACATCCTGCTGCTGGAGGCCCTCGCCTGGCTCATCATCTGGCTCTGGGGAACCAGCTGGACGCTGACCCTCCTGTGTTCCATCTTGCAGGCGACGCTCAGGTAACTTTCCATTATTGTCCCGAAAGGAAAGGAATTGTGATTAACCTCTGCAGCAAACAGACTTCATACGTTAAACTTTCCCTTTTCTTCTCCAGTCGCAGGCCGGGTGGCTGCAGCACGATTTTGGCCACCTGTCCGTCTTCAAGAAGTCTAGCTGGAACCACATGCTGCAAAAGTTTGTCATTGGACATGTAAAGGTAACGTGTCTTCTCGTGTCTTCATAATTAGTTTCTGAAAAGCGTTCAAATGCTTTGAGTGACTTTTTTTCTTAGGGGGCGTCTGCGAACTGGTGGAACCACCGGCATTTCCAGCATCACGCTAAACCCAACATCTTCAGCAAGGACCCTGATGTCAACATGCTGCACGTCTTTGTGGTTGGAGCAACTCAGCCAGTGGAGGCAAGTAGCACAACAGCCCACCAAACATCCAGTATAATCAAGCGTTAGATTTGTCACTGTGCTTACTCTGCATCACCTTCTGTTACAGTACGGCATTAAGAAGATCAAATACATGCCCTATCATCACCAGCACCAGTACTTCCTCCTGGGTATGTTCCTCGGATTAATCAAAAATGAAATGTGTGACATGAATGAGTAAGAATAACAGTTTTTTTTCTCTCTTCTAGTTGGCCCACCGCTTCTTATTCCTGTCTACTTTCACATTCAGATCATACGCACAATGATTTCCCGCCATGACTGGGGGGTAAGAAGCTGTCTTCTGATGTTCTCTTTGCTGACATGAGTTGGGGGGGAGCGGATTAATGAAGTGCTTGCTTGTGAATTTTTAACAATAACAGAATAATATTTAATCAAATCAACCCTGTCGTCTTTGTGAAGGATCTGGCTTGGTCCATGTCTTTTTACATTCGCTACCTGTGCTGTTACATTCCTCTGTACGGCCTACTGGGCTCTGTGGCGCTCATCAGCTTTGTCAGGTAAAACATTCAAATAATGTTAAATCACTAAACTGTTCTGGAAACATTAATCCACTGTGAAACTCTTGTCCGAGATTCTTTTTTGATGCCTGCACTACTTATTGATACACGGATAACAAAAACAATGCAAAATGTCTTTACTTACGTACTTTAACTTCCAGCTGCCACTCCCGCTGTTCAATGGCCTTCAAATGTTCTGTAATCTTTTCTTTTAAAACCTGTTGTATTTTTTGATTTTTTTTTTCCTATTTTGAATTACAATTAGTATTCTCTTTTAGCTAAACTACACTGCTGCTGTTTGCTATTGGTAGCTCTAAAAAAATGGATAAATAAATGTTGTACGATATTAAACTGCCATCAAACTACACACACACAACCCTTATATAAACTACAGTTCAACACACGCACTGAATGCATCACCAAACCATTTTAAAGCTCATCATTCACTGACATCTGAACTTCCAATAAGGAGCGAGGTGTGAAAGTGAGGGCATTTTTCAGAAAAGGGCCATCTCAAAGTTGTTCAAAAATATTGGATGTTTTATTACTCGTCGATAAATAAACTTAGAGAACGAGTGATACTTCATGCCGATACAGCTTGTTCACACATTTTTGGGTTACTGGTGTGTTTTATGAACGGCAGGTTTTTGGAGAGTCACTGGTTCGTGTGGGTGACTCAGATGAATCACCTGCCGATGGACATCGACCACGAGAAGCACCGAGACTGGCTGACCATGCAGGTAACTGGATCCTCTAAATACTGTCTCTGAAAAAGCACCTGTAGGTGCTGCTGTTGATGCGTCTATCTTTTCACTTAACTGTCTCATCCTCCAATTTTAGTTACAGGCCACCTGCAATATTGAGCAGTCCCTCTTCAATGACTGGTTCAGTGGACACCTCAACTTCCAAATCGAACACCAGTAAGACAATTATTGAACATCAGGATGGAGGGTTCAGGAGGAGCCATTAGCCATTTTGAAATAGATTCAACACCCCTGTAGTGTCTTTTTTTAATTCACTGAAATTATCTAGAAATAAGAAAGCAATGAGGATCTTTTATACATTCATGACGTTCACATCTGCTGTATTTTATGTCAAAACGAATTATAAAGAATAAACATGCAGCACATTATAACTTGAGAAGACGTCTTACTTCGAGTGATATAGTTTACCTCTAAAAGGACGTGTCACATTTATCTGGTTTAACTCAGCTGTTTACAATAGACAGTAAAGAACATGATTTTTCTGATTGATTTTTTCTTCCCTTTTGTCACTGAAGTTTGTTTCCCACAATGCCGCGGCACAACTACCACAGGGTGGCTCCGCTTGTCCACGCTCTGTGTGAGAAACACGGCATCCCTTACCAGGTGAAAACAATGTGGCAGGGCCTCGCTGATGTTATCCGGTAAGTTCTATTATAATGATGATAATATTGTACTAAAGGGAACACATGATGTTTGTAAGGTTTGGCTGCAGCAGCTGTGTTTAGATTACCTGAACAAAGGCTTAGAGTGCAAATAATACAGACAAAACACTTAGTAGCTGATTTTTCTTTTGTCAGGTCACTGAAACACTCAGGAGACCTCTGGCTGGATGCGTATCTCCACAAATGAGTTGGATTTCCTACACTGCACCTTGAAGGAGCGCTGTTTTCTCCTCTTCAGCATCATACACTGATTGTATCTGTTTGGTTTTATAATGTAATTATTGGTGTGAAAGTCATTTCTTAATGTAAGAGTACAATTCAGTCTTTTGGGATTCTGTGCAGTGTTTTTAGCACTCTCAGGATTTCTCTACATCACCTTACAGTGTCTTCAACAACAGTTTGTATCGTGTTATAAATACATTTGTAAAAACGGTGTTTAAAGTGATGCTTTTTTTCTTTTTCTTTATTTCAAATGAAACTCACTTTAAAAGAGTACAACATGACAATTACACGTCATTTGATTTGCATCTGTAAACTTAACCTGCTGCTCTTGTTTTGATCTTACAGAGTACATTAAAGGAATTCTACTGATTGTATTTGTTTTCCACCTCTGGACTAATAAATCCACCGACAAACACAAGACAAATATACAAACAAAACAGATGTGATATCAAAGATTGACCCAGCTTGTTTTTTTTAACTTTTTTAATGTGTGCCCCATGATATTTACAACCCCCCCACAAATATTTGTCAAAACTTTCATTTAAGTATTCGTACATGAACAACACACTCTCATTTGCTTGTTATTACTTGTGTGTGTGTGCGTGTGTGTGCGTGTGTGTGAGAGTGTAGTTTACACATAACATATCATGCTGCTTAAGAACACATTACTGATAGTACCTCACTAATATTGACAATAACTTCATGAAGGATTATGACATTGTCTGTGTGCTGCAAGCTCGCCCAAATCCTGAATATAAGCAACAACTTGTTCTGTAGAATCACTATAGAGCGTGCTCTATTTTGTGTTTTAACTGTACACAGTAATATGAACATTATTGGCTATATAGCAGAAAATGTGTCACAAATTCTGGCACATATTTAAATTGAAAAAGAAAAGATCTACAAATCATTCAGTAGATAGCTGCAATATAGACAATAAGCATAACCATGGACTGTTCTTGTACATATTGGTACGTCCATTACATCCACACATTCACACACACACACAAATACTGTACATTATGCATATGGACATCATTTCATACGACAGAATTTCACGAGGATAGAGAACAAAAGCAACTATAATTACATCATAAAACACTTGTACATACACATTGATTGATACAAAATAAATATACAACTAAAAATGTATACAACATTTCGGAGGTCATCATTAACCGTCGACTGATTGAGGGAGCTGCTGCAGTTAGAGCTGAGAGGAAGAACGAGGGTTTGTCACACTCCATCAGTCTGTGCCTCCAGAGCTGATCCTCTCCTGCCTCCGCTTCATGATCTCCTGCAGCTCAGAGTCTCCACTGGACTTCTGTATGGGGAAAAAAAAGAACATTAACTTTCCTTTTTTTTTTTAAATCACATTTTCTATGGTTGAATACTGAGGATCCACACTTTTAAGGGTGGTGCCCCGAGGAATAATTAGGATTTAATATCTTAAAAAATTAATTACGCTACACAGATATTACAAAGAAGATTCAGAAGGATTTGAGAGTGATAGTGACCCTGAGCAGCCGTCTACAGCTGGACCTTTTATAAACTGCACTAGACTAACATTTTCAAAAAAACAACAGCATCTCAAAAGAAAATGTTCCTTTGAAGGAAATATATACAAAGAACATAAGATAAAACTGAAAATAACAGTGAATACATTGTAAACAATAACCTGCATAGACATCATAAAAGTCCTAACCATATTACATCAGAGCATTGAAAAGAGGAGAATACACAGTGAATGATTCTGTTAATGCTGAGGGAATCAATAAGGATGACACTGCATAATCAATACAAATGGATGCTTAAAAATGGATACATGTTGTAAAATATAATCATGAATGCTTGTTAAGACTTATAAGATAAATAACAGGTCTTCACTTGGCATTGAATGGATAATCAGAAAGAATGGAAACAACACTGTTAAACTGTTTGAGTGTAAAGGTGAAGAGGAGACCAGGACAAACAGAAGCATCTTCTTTATCTTACATACAAAATATTTTTAGAAATATGGGAAAGACCCTTTTTCCTGAGATTTTACTCATCTTTGAAAATACTTCCTACTTCTCAAAACACCTGAAAAACACTTGAATATTGTAATTATGCTCAGTGATGATGTATTAAATGTAATTACGTGTCATAAATTAATTTAAAACAATAATTAGTTCTAATACAGGTAAGTAGTTACCGGAATAGAGTTTATACCATTCTCATACGGATTCATTCAATTTATATTTTGATTTAACAATCTGGTGTAATTGCTTTTTATGTACTTCTTTTGACCAGTGCTGTATGATTAAGTCGAGATGTGTGTTAAGTCTGTGAGTAATAGTGTAATTATCCAGCTGTTGGGAATTGTTTAATCGATTCATCATTTTCCTTTTAACAGTCTTTAATTATAACGTTCACATGCACACCCACACCTTAAACTGTACCTGTAATAGTCTTTGTCCTCACATGCCCAGGTACACACTAGTGCTGTTTAAACATGCGCTCATTACCCATAAACAGCTTTATTTTAAAGTTGGGAAACAGTTATCCTGCAAGCTCTAACAAGTGAGTGAGTGAGTGAGCGAGTGACCTCCAGTTGTGCTTTCTGCACGGTGGCCTGACAGTACACACGGCTTCCTTCCTCTCCACACACGGCCTTCAGCTCTTCTTTGTTGAGAGAGAACAGCTGAGCTCCGGTCAGGATCCCCAAACACTCAACAGTACTGCAAAAAAGAGAGTCCAGAAGAGAGTATTCAAACACCCAATGTTACAAAACATATTACTGGTTTCCTTTATTGAACATACATTCAACTATTGAGTACACTGAGTAGATATTATTTTGAGAATGTTCACCATCTCAGTTTCTAGTGTTTTCTAACCTAAAGTACAGCTGTATTAATCATTGGAAGGTATTTGGTAATAAACCTGAGCAACATTTGCCTGACCCTGATGGAATCACAACATTTTGTGAGTATTTTTCAATAAATCACAAATGTCTAACAAAAAGTAAAGTACCAGAAATCTATTACTGACAGCGCTTTAAAACTGATGAAATAAAAGCCAAATATATAAGCTTCTAATACTTTCAGTGTCAGGGAAAACTTCTATAACCGTCATTTGATTGACTGGATTGATGAGCACCATGGGTGACTTACGGTTTGGAGAAATCCTTCATTTTGAGCCATGTGGTCACCTGCTCCGGGGTTGAGTCAAAGGTGAGCGGTACTTGGCTGCCTGATGGTCGCTCCACACGGAACTTCCTGGCTTGCGGCTGTTTATTAGCAGTGATCTTCATCAATAACTCGCTGTTGACTTCATCCATCACTGCAGCACAGGAACAGGGTGGTACCAGATATCACAACAGGAGCAACAACTTGTAAAAGCAACTTAAATAAATATCTTATCCTTAGTCTGATGTTGTTGACTTGTTTGTGTGCACTCACTTTTGTCTTTGCCTCGTCCCTTGTTGAAGCTGTCTCTATGGTTCAGGGTACCAGGAGGCGACGTCCTGTAGCCTTGCTACACACGCAAACACAAACAGAGCTCATTGGAAACCCAAACACAGCCAGTGTTATTACAAAAACTGGTTTGTCTTTCACTCTGGTTGATACATTTTTGCCCAGGAGCCAAAAGCAAAATATGTGTGTGAAAGTATTTGACACCAGGAAGATAAGATGCATGCAGGAGCTGCTGCAGGGTGTCGTTGAAACTGCATGCTGCATGAATACGTGCAGTGGGTGTCTGTAGGAATTCAGGGTTTCACTGATGGTGTGAACCTATCACTGCACAACAAGTGCAGAGAGTTTAAACACAAAGACGCACTGGTCTAGGACCAGTTTTCTTAGGTCCCATAACACTGTTTGTTTATCTTTGCTCAGAGATATTCTAAAACATTCCTGGAGTCTGTTACATTTTTGGTTATGGTTAAAATAAAATGTATATGCATAATGTTTTTTACTATCATCAACAGCAGACTATTAACAGACTACTCTGATGGTATCATTTATTGTTTTAATCATTAGTCCTCCACACGTTGCAGCACAGCTGGTATCTGATTGTGTCCAGATTATTTTAAGAAATTTAAACAGAAATGTATTCAGACACATCTTAACAAAGTACCTGCACTTGTGCATTTGAAATACGGATTATATTGAAGGCACATTGTAGGTAGAAGGTTAAAATTACATATTGTGGCTGTAATGCATGCTGGTCAAAAGGGTTGGGCTGGGTTTAAAGTCTGCAGAGTATGTTAATATAAAATATTGACCTTAAAACATTTTCTGTAACGAAAATTCAGTGACTGGACATTCTCTGCCATGACATAACATCTATTACAGATTGCTAAAATAGCTGAGTTTAAACAGAACTATCAGAAAACTTTGATGGGTGATAGTTTATTAATGAAATGTTGATGCATTTGATGTATGTGCAGCAGGTCACCTGGCTGAACACGGCATCCGGCTCCTCTATCTTCACAACGTCAAGGATGTTAAAAGGGACATAGCCGGCTTGGCCGCTGCGATTTCGTAGTTTCCACCACTGTTTGTCATCCTCTATCACCTGTGGAGCACATTTCACATTTCACATCTCGCTCCACAGCACTGAGATCTGCAGTTCTACTTCTGAAACCTCTTGTTCGAAATACAACTGAATCTGCTTTAGTGCTTCTGGTCAATTTTACAATTTTAGCACAGCAGACACAGCAAAGTTGAGTTATTGAACTTGACGAAGGCTCGAAGCTATCGGATGCTACATTGCTAAATTTTTTGTCAATAATCACATGAAGGGCAAGCCAATATAACTTTGTGTTCTACCTCCAGGATTTCATCCTGCAGCACTGACAGCTCGTTGGCGTTCCTTGCTACGAAGTGGTAGCGGATTTTGGCATATTTGCGACTCTGGGGCATCCCATTATAAGATCTGTAAAGACAAACGGTATCCTCTCATTCCTGTTTCATATATTTACATGTTTGAAAGAGACAGAAAAGTATGTGAGGAACACTGGTGCTTACCCATTGGATGAGTTTGAAGAATGAGTTCCATAATACTGTAAAAAAAAAAAAAAAAGAGGAAAGTTTAGCCACATTTCTAGTCGTTAGGATCTGAGATAGTTGATATAGACTAGTTGTTAACAAACACAACCCTTACATCTTCAGTTGAGTGTTTTCTGTAATCTGGGCTGGTGGGTGGGCCCGGATGAGCCATGGGTCCCTCTGTTTCCCATGGGGCTGTCCTGAAGAGCTCTGACGCTGGCTCCCAGCCATTACGAAACTTTGGGTAATAAGGAGGAGCGCACTGATCCCTCGGCCACTCTGCTCTGCAAGAGGAGAAAGGGGAACAGGATGGTCAAATCAATCAATCAATCAAACTTTATTTGTATAGCACTTTTCATACAACAAATATATCACAAAGTGCTTTACGTCAACATAAAGCAAACAGCAACAACGTGACTCCCTCCCCCACCCCTATCCCACAATCCAAAAACTAAGTAAACTAGATAAGAACAGGTACTGAGGTAAAGGCCATCATTAATTCTAAATGAGGAAACACAGGAGGTTAAAAATCTAATAAAACTAGATGAAAATGGTCATCTTTACCAGAGCAGCATTCTGAATGGTAACTCACTGCAATCAGTGTATGTAAGCATCAATTAATAGACATGCATCTATTTCTGTACCTAGGTTTGGTCCATCCATCCCCCAGCAGCTCAAAGATGGTCATCTCTTTGGGGGTGAGGTGTCCTCGCAGGAAGTCCACAGCGTCTTTGGAAAGGTGAGGGGAAATGATCGAACGCACCAGTTCAGGACTTCCACAGCTCTGCAGCACCTGTAAATGCATTCAGTACAAATCTGTTCACAAAACATCTGGTTCATAAACGTTTTCTGAGTCTGCATTGATACTGTTAATGTGAATGCATTTCTTAAACACCGTTTAAATGTACTAATCTTTTATCTAAAGTAGATTAAATTTCTCTTAAACAATAAGTTAACGAGATGAACTTGACAAAACGTTGCCATCTCAACATTTTTTCAAGCTTTCAGTTCTCTTGACACACTCAGGCCAATCCTGAAAATGTAATGAGGTTTGAAATTCAGCCCATGTAATAATTGAAGATATTAAACTTTATAATATTTCATCTGTTGGATCTAAAGACACTTTTGGAAAGCACAAAAGCCCAAAATAAGTCAAATGTAGCAGTATCAAGATACAATATTGACAGCAAGATACTGTCCAACAAAAATCTCTTTAAAAATACACTCAAATATGAATGTCTTTACAAACACATGCATCTGAAGCTTTTGTGTGTGGAGAATTATTGTCAGGGATAGAGTGACCTGGAGACATTGCTTTGAATATTACTGCTCCGGCTTTATCTTGACCTTATCAAGAAAAATCCAACATGTCCAGAGGTTGAGGTAGCATGTCAGCGTGGAGCCTAATCCCAGTGTCTCTGTGTTTTCTATCCAGCAGTATCGAAGGTGTGGCTGAGCACTGTGGCTTGAGAAAACCAACATTACATAAGAGCGGCTGCACCTGAGCCACGTCGCTGGGTGTGGTGCCCCAAATCCTAAGAACAATTAGTGGAATGTCTGACTACGACACTGAAGTGATTTTATTCTGTCAATGTAAGGGAGATCAGTGTATTTCTGTCAGATGTGCTTGAAAAACCAGCAGTCAACACTGAGGGTATGTAAGGACAGGCTGTATTTGTAAACCTGACAGATTTATACAGTAAAAATCACCAAGTACTCAGGATGATGACATCACATGGTAACCGCCTTCATTCATATAAACCTGTTTGGGTGAGTCCGAACCATAGACTGTCAATTGGTCTGAACAAATGACTAGCTCTTACCAGCTCCAGGGGACCGAAGAGGAAATGAATCAGCTCAGATGCACTGGGGTTCTGTATGTGTTTCTTCAGTTTGGCCTGCAGGGGGCACAATGACAGACAGACAGACAGACAGACAGTGAGGAAGGCGAGAAAGTTGAGAGACACTGAAAAACACAGAAGGGTTAGGAGCTGTGATATCTCACCAAGAGGTTGAAGGCCAGCTTCAGTTTCTGCAAACTATCAACGAACTCTGCTTCAGAGGGGGGCTTGGCGCGCAGGGTCAGCATGCCCTCTGTAAACAAGCAGAGCAACAATGACCACACGGGGACTGCAGAGTTACCAGACCACACAGAGCACTGGTTTCACTCTCTGGTCTGGAGTCATAGTTATTAACCTGAATTTAATTAGAAACCTAAAATACATCAATGGTTAGTTAATGAACAACTTCACAGATGTTCAGCCCAGCCAGAGAGTAAAAGAGCGTGAGAAATAATGTGCTGCATCAGGGTTTCTCAACTCATGACCTAAAAGGTTCAAATATTCTCACAAACCAAGAAATCAGATTTTTAATATGTGAATTATTGCTTCTTCTTTTTTTAAATGTCAGACTGACTAATTTGTAAACAATCAAACAAAGCACTTGATTGGCCACTCTTTCAATTTTAATAAGTGACAAGGCATTTGATCCTGCACCTCATAGTTGAGAACCTGATTGTCTAGACAAAGATTATATTGTTTCCAGCACATCTGTCTCTGTATCTAGGGGAAACACAAATGTGTGTTACTCTAATATTGTTGTCTCTAAATGATGTGTGGTAAAAGTGTTTCTAAATTGTATGTGTGTGTTTTCCCCTGACCAGGCAGACAGAATCAGTCACATGTATGCAGCACGTGCAGTGAGCTATGAGGAAATAAAAACACAGCATCACACCATTGCCAGTACTTTGCAGAGGAATAATAAGGGGAATCATATAATTATTTACTTTCAGTCCAGTATTTTGCTGATACTTTTGACTCATTTAATCTACATCTCATGCTAAAATATACATCTTTCTGTATTGCAAATATTTCCCAAATAATTTAAAAACACAACAAAACATGGCAACAGAAGTTTACAGATAATGACAAATTCAAACCACTGATTCTGTGAGTGTAACATGACACAAATATGCCAGATCAGTACTTCCAGAGCATGACTCAGGTGTAAGAATATTACCTGAGTCATGCTATAGCTGAGTGATGAGCATTATATTTCTGAAAAAAACTGGCCACTGTTACTGTACCACACATGCATCACTGGAAGAGAGTCCCGGGCCACAGGACACAAAAAAGACACAAACATTGCATTGTGAGCAATATGAGCATATTGTCACTGCATTCGTGCCACCACAGAAGAAGAAGAAAGGGGGACAGACCTGCTGGTCCTTTCTTCTTATTCTTCTTACTCTTGTTGCGATGGTTGAGTTGAGAAAAAGCCTGTGCTGCCTTTTGCAGCCGCGCCACAAAGAGCTCAATGTCATCCAGTGCACAGTTGAGGATTTGCTGAGGAGGGATGGAGGGGGAGACAAATCGTAGTGTTAACATGAAGAAAAGGGCATTATGGGATTCTGGAATAGCCCTGTATTGTATTGACAGGTGTCATACACTCACCACATCTTTTTCAATGTGCTGAGCCAGCTTTTCATGTGACTCGGAGTCATTTTGTGAAGCTCGTCTGTCTATATCAGTCCATAAAAAAGGACATATGAACAGACCAAAAAAAGAGAGACAAGAGTATTGAATAAAAAAAAGGAGCTGTGTTTAAAAGGGGCATTTTTTTGTATGCGTGCACAGCTATTCTCACCATGTGTGCTGGTGGCTGCGACCCTTCCCGTTGCAGCAGGTGTGGGGCCCTGAGGGGAGGAGGGGGGGAGGATGGTTTCTCTGTGACGCTTCATTTTCTCCTGGTTCACCCTGCAGAAAGAGAGGGAGGCATTAAACCCTACAGCACACAACAATGAGTAAGCTTACTTCTTATAACAGGTATAGTCACTTTCTTTGACTTCTATATGATTGCAAGTTTATTTATGTGTGTGTGTGTGTGTGTGTGTGTGTGTGTGTGTGTGTGTGTGTGTCTGTGTGCTCACTTCAGTGTCTGAAGCCTCATTTTCTTCCCATGTCTGTTGTCTCCAACGGCACTGTCTATGTCCGCATGAACCATCTCAGCCTGAAAAAGGGGATATCACACTTTTATGTTTTAGTGGATCTAGTACACAGTTTCACTGGAAGCCACGCCATAGCAGCTTTTGTTGTTGCTTTTGAATCCAAATTGCATGTGGAGGTTTGCACGATAAAATAAACCACAAGCTCCAACCGGAACACAGTGAACAATTAACATCTGTTTGAAGAGTATGTTGTTGTTGGCATGCATGGTGAATTGTTTCTGTTTATAAAATATATCTGAACATTTTAGATTTATAGGCTGACAGATAGAGATTAGATTAGATTTTAAGAGTAAAATCAAATACATTCCTATTTATCAGTCTTTGTCTCTTTGATCATCTTAACCACAAAGCTCAGGAAGTGGATCCCATTAGAAAGGCCAGCAGTGTGAACTTTTTGCACCTTAAAATCTAAAAATAGCCTTTGCTATTTAGCTAAATAGTTTTCCAGTTGTTTCCCTATATGACTTTTGATGCACTCTGTACAAAAAATGCTTTTTCTGGTCCAAAACCACATTAAGTTTTTATTTTCTTTCATCTCGTTGAATGACAGGAGTATCACCATTTTAATGAGCATTAACTCCACTTAAATTTATAGTCTTTCAATAAAAAGCCAGAGTTATGAGATAAATCCAAAGGTCATTATGTTCAGATCTCTTAGATCTTTTATGATCCACATTTTTTACAAGGCATTTCTTTGTATTAGCAGTCGTTCTGAACTACAGAAGGCAATTGTCTTTATGATGAGTTATTGTGTTACACTACTTCAGGGTAAGGGAAAATTTCTCCGTACACACACACACACACACACACACACACACACACACACACACACACACAGCATACTGCGACCAAACATGCTGAAATCTGACCTGGCCCTGTTGCCCTGCAACAACAGTAGCTTGGATTTATAAGCGACACAAACACAAAGCCAACTGATCATGCACAGACAAGAAAGGACGGCAACTGAGCCCAGCCTGTAACAGTCAAACTCAGACTCACCTCCACCTCGTCACAGTGGAAAAAGTGGATGTCTGGCTTGTGCTGCTCATTGTCCTGACACACAATTAGCAGCACAGAGGGGTAACGTGTCTGATTCAGGACCGGCTGGCTCATTTGGATGGTGGGGAGAGGAAAGTTCTCCAACTCCTCCTGATGGAGCACAACAGAGGAACCATAAGAGGTTAAAAGAGAGAAACAACGACACATACTGTATTATATAAGGTATTCTTAATAAGATGAAACACGACTAGAAATAGACTTTGAAATAAATATGAGTAGAACATATCATAATAAAAAGGAATACTTCAACATTTTGTTTCAGCACAGCAGATTAAAAGCTGTCACTAGCAGCCAGTTAGCATAGCCTAGCACTGAGTCTAGAGACAGGAGGCACAACTAGCATGGCTCTATACAGCAATATGAAAATTATCCTCCCAGCACTTCTAAATCTCATTAATCCACATATTGTTTTCCTAACTCATGTTTGACTTGATCATGTTGAGTGCAAATCTTTTGACACAGCTAAGAAAGTTAAGCTAAGCTAACTGGAAGCTGGTTGAGCAGGTTTCTTTGTTTGTGTGCAACAATAAGAAATAAGAGCGTTATAAATCTACTACCCAATCTCTTATGCAAGAAAACAAATGTATTTCCCCACCAAGTATATCTAATATTAATGGATCTGTAGCTTCAGGGTCAAAGATTAATTTCTGCCATTAACGACACACTCCTGGTAAATGATACATCATATATATTTTCAAATAATAACTATTTAAAACTAAAACATAAAGAATTCACTGAGTAAATGTACTACTATACAGGACAAATGCAAGACTTAAGAGAGATGGTTAATTTGGATTCACTGAGGTTGAGATATTCATACTTCAAACTACCCAAAACGTCCAATTATTCAACTTCAATCTTTAAGCTTTTAAAGCCTCTGTTACATGCGTCCTCCAAACATGATGCATGCACTCTTAATGCAATCTTTCAGTTTAAAAAAGCCCAAAATTCTGAATCTATCATGTGAGAATGTGATACTTGTATAACTTTACTAGACAGCACATATATTTACACATGCCAACAATAGGTTTTGCTATACCACAAGTTGTTGACTGTAACTGTAACAATTTTTTCATTAAAAAAAAAAACACAGATGTATAGCTGTACCTGTGTGTCACAGTCCAGGAGTCTGACTGCCTTGTCGGTGACCTGCAGGAGCATCTCCTGGGTCCAGATTTTGTCTTTGGAGTCCAGAAGGACCAGTTTCTTGATGGCATCATCCACCGTGGTGATGGACTCTGTCTTGTCCATAATGAACGTGGATAGATGCTGAGGAGGAAACCGGGAGAAATTTACTCCATGTCCATCGACGAACATAAACTGAGGCAAGGTCGGTGTGCTTTTGAAAGTTGACCAGAGTAATAAGAAATATAGCCCTACATTGTCTCATTTAACTGACTGTAATCAAGTAAAATTGTATCATTTGTAAAGGTTTATTTGTTAGAAATGACACCACCACGTCTGCCTGTTGGCGGAGCCAGAAGCCAGTTACCTTAGCTCATCAATAAGACTGGAAAGCTAGTTTGGGTTCTTTTTACAGCTGAAATAAAGTCTCATGTATCAGCATCTCTAGATCTAAGTTAGAAGTAGCTGTCTCCACTTGCTTTCTAGCAACTGCTCCTAGCTAGGAAATTAAGCCTGTGAGGTAAACACCTTAAAAACATTTTTTTTTATGATTTTGTACATTGTTTAATAAAAAATGTAGACAATGATAAAGTTTTGTTACTATTGGTAAGAAAACCAAGCCAGGCTGCTTCATATGTTAACATCTTAATGCTTAGCAAATCTAGGCTGAGTCCAAGTATCATTTCTCAAAAAGTGAAACTATTTCCTAAATGTGAGCCTTTTTTTACTGTGTTTATATTTAGACGAGTTTTCTTACAGATATCACCTGTAAGAAAACATGAACTGGTTCACTATGCATCAACCTGACAGTGTTATTAATCTCTGTGATTTACTGTCGTTGTCATCTGATAAAAAATTGCATTATAGGCACTTCCACTGATCCACACTGAACCGCTGCCTGCTAGGTTGTTATCTGTGAACTGCCCATGTGACATAATAGAGACATCTGGAGAAATACTATTCACACATACATGGTTCACCCCGCCTTGACCTAAAGCACGACTCCAACCTTAAACACCAGCTACCCACTCCTGCAATCACAGATCTGATTGCTTTATTGTGACAGAGTTCCTGAAGCGAGGTGAAATCAGAGATTAACCAGTGAGCCACTTTTTTTTTTTATCTCAGGGCAAGAGATCAATCCACCATAACAGTAGGGACCTTTACTTTTTATTTTACATTTATAGTAAATGTACTTTTTTATTTTGTCATAGTGATAGTTTATGGTTAGGTGTGTTAAGAAATAGTTCCAAGTAGGTCTTCTGTCCCAGCCACTCGATTTCCAAAATCTATTGCTCAATTTAATACACTTTTAAACCTTGCTCTTTGATCCTTTATCTGTCGAGTCATTTTATATCTTCCATGCCTTTCCACCTCTCAAGTCACAGGGCAGGTGAAGAGGTACCAAATGCAAATAGGGGAAAACATATGAACACAGTACATTAAAGGAGTTAAATAAAACAGGACATAGTACAATGCTAATGTCTGGTATCAAAGTGAGGTTTCCTTAAATATTTAATTTCTGGTCAAGTAAAATAATCTCTAACCTAAATATTGAGTTTAGGTTATAAGTATCAAACACTGATCACACTGAGTCGTTTAATTTCCAGACTCAGTCCTAATACCATCTGATAAATATGCATTTAATCACTTCCCAAACACTAATAACTACAGATATAAAATACAGAAATAGTCTTAATGATATACTTAACTTGAATTATACAGAGAAACGGAGCTTACCTCAACATGATACTGCGACGTCTCATGCATGATATAGTTGGAGTTGGAGTATTTTTTCCTTTGCTCTGTAAATAAGAAGAAGAAAAAAGATTTAAAACTGAGAAATCCCCAAGCTTGCCATTTATTTATGAACAATGTAAACAGCCAGCAGTGACACTGACCTGAAGTCCACATTTTCACGTTTGAACGAATGAAACAAACATAAAGGTGCGAGCTGTAGAGACCAGATGGGCAATAAGGAAGTAAAGAGGACACGTAATGATTTTATGTTGTGTTTCACGGGCTGACACCAGATCTAGGCCAGATACACTGGCAGATATTCACACATTTACTTCAAGAATTAGCAAGACGATTCTACTAAACCCATGATAATTTATTAACACATAAAATAAATCATCAGTGCGGTCATATCTAAAGTTGCTCTTCTTTGCCAGATTCTTATAGTGGAGATTTTTCCATCTTTTAGGATCGTCTTGTGTCCAAAAGTGAAAGGGCAGATAAACTACAAACAGGTCAATCTGAAAAGTTAATTATTAAATCACAAATAAAAAAAAAAAAACTTTATGCTTTCATTTGCCCTTTATCGCATTAATAACTACTACGTTTACTGGCAATCAGGTTTACAGCAGTGTCAAAGATCAATGAAGCAACATTTCCTCATCTGTGGCTCATTGTTGTAAACATGTCAAAGGTAACCTTCTAGTAGGAAAAATAAGTATTTCGATTTAGCCAGAAATGCTATCATTGAAGGATAAAACTATTGAATAGCACAGCCATTGATTTTAAATCAGTTGTTTCAGGTGATTATAGCAGATCTGATTCTGCCATACAACTCCACACAATAACAACAATGTTACAATGTTACAATTCTTACAGCAGACGCTTTTATCCAAAGCGACGTACATCAGAGAGTAAGTACAACAGTAATCCATTCATACACTGCAACCGAAGGTTGCAATGATTCTCAGCTGGGGATCAAACCTCAACCTTCTGGTTGAGAGGCAATGACTCTACCAACTGAGCCACAGTCGCCATAACAATAATGGTTCTGCTGGAAACATGATTTAACTCAGATTGAATATTCTGATTTGAATAGCTTTGAGTGACAAAAAAATAGAATAATTTTAATTTAAAATGAAAATGCTCATTTTAAATCACAACCACGAGTATTATGATAAAACCTGAAAAGACTTCACACAGTGTATTATGTGGACTGGGGGTGCTAAGATTTTTTTTGGGTCAGCTTTTAAATTGATACAGCAAACTACAGTGAAGATGTGCTTGTTGACAGATCCAGCAGAAACAGATCAACATGATTATATAATCCTTTTTTTTCTAACAGATTAATATAATACAAGTCAAACATTCACTCTCTTTTTAGCTGTTTTTGGTCTCTACAAAATCATGAATTTCTCAATATAACCTCTTTGTTTCAAACCTAGTTGTGACGAGTGTCTGTTTGCTGCTGCGCAGTGAATTCATTCATTTATTCTGTTAATAGAAAAAAAGCTGCATCTTAAGACAAAAAAAAAAACATAACTGTAACAAAGTTGTGAGCCCCTGAGTAGATGCTAAAGTTAACTGCATTTTGTTTTAAGTACAAGAAATTGAAAACAGATTTTGATCTTTTGAGTTTAATTGAAACACTGCAGCAACTGGATGAAACATAATGTTTTAAACAGCAGAGTTGTCAGGATTGTGTTTACTGTTGGCTGGGACCATGGCTTTTAAACTGGCCGATGTTGAATGAGTATGCCAGTGGACTCATTGACCTATTTACCAGGTGAATAGTCTGCAGGTAACAATTACGGTTTACTGATAGCATGTTCCCATCAACTCTGATGCCAGGTCTCCTATCAGGTCTCCTTTTCTCTGTTCCCCACCCAATAGAGTCAACATGTTGATGCCACTCCGCTCATCTTTTTCATAAAGACATTCAGCCATATTTCTCTTTATGTGCTTTGCAGTGAATGTGACACAAAGCCTTGCCATTAGTGCGCCACTTAACAAAAACTATGTCAGTGCTATATTTCAATGCGATCTTATTGACATTTTAGTGTGATGTAAACAAACAAAAATGGTTTCTAAGGTGATAACTTTCCACGCAAACAGCTCTCTGTGTCATAATGACGCAACAGTTTGTCTTTCTTGTTCCTGCCATTTCCTCTCTGCTGAGTCCTTCCTGCTCGGCTCTACACAGGTGAACTACAAGCGTCAGGTGTCGTTCTGAAAGTCGAGCTCCCCCCCATGTCTTATTAATGGCTGACTTTTATGCCAATCAATTCACAGTGCCGCGACAGCTTGCAATAAGAGCCACTTAGCAGGCAGATGGGCAGATCCTCAGAACTCTCCAGAGTCAGTGGCCGGCGCTAAACATGGCTGCTTGGCAGATCATCAAACCAGTACAATACTTGTATCAATCAGATAATTCAGCCTCTTAATGACTTCCATTTTTTGAACAAACCTAGTTCTGATATTTACCTTACTTAACAAACAAGAACATTTTTGTTGATATATAGTGTCAGGGAACTGCTTGAATTTGAGTCTCATTTGATGCATTCAAATCCTTATAACACTAAATGAGTCCAAGCAGCTTAACAACACAAACAATATGTGGTTGTGTTAGCACAAGCTCATATCTAGATGTCATCACAGGCCACTCTTTGGATTACCAAATGTCACTGGAAAATTCTGAATCATCACACATTTCAGTTTAATTCATCAAGTGCTCTATCCATTCCTACCTCTCTAAATAATGGTAACATAAGGTTTACTTTGTGCATTTGTTTGATGATGATTACACAAACATGACTTTGTAAATTATGGCCCCTGACAGCTCTAGAAACAGGCACAAACAAGACGAGAGCTACATAGGGAAGGCAGACTTTGAGAAATGAAGAGGTATATTTATCACAGACACAGCTTAATAAGGACACAAACTTCAAAGAAAAACAAGTTTCAGTCTCACAGCCCAAACACATTTGACCTGACAGAGACATGCTCCTCAACAACAAACTCAGAAACTCAAAAGGTTGCTGGTGTAATCAGTCCTGGGATGATGTTTCTGATGTGCTGCTGCCTCTCTGCTGCTGATAACAAATAGATCAGGTAGGAGGAACGTGTGCAACATTTGCATCAGTTGTCTGCTACCCAGCACTGTGTAATGAGTTTTTGCATACAGGAGATTGATCTCCGACTCTTGCTGTTGTTCCACTACATGTTTATTCAGCGAGGAGCAAGCAAACCAAATATCTGTCCCTGTTTTGGATTGAGCACAGTATTGTCCACTCTGGTTGGACAAGACAGACACGCTGCTTTCATCCTGCAGAGAGGAGGTAGTGTTGACCATCTGCCACACAGAATGACACCAGCAAATGGAAAAAAAAAAAACCCCAGAGATATTTCACAGGGATCCCAGGAGTGGGTGTTTCCTGTGGCTATCTGGATGACTTATAGCACAAGACTGTTTCACAGACAACAAGCTGCACAGTCAGGCGGTAAGGGAACATCTTGCATCCCAACAATAGCATCGTCTGTCATTTCAGGCCATTCTATATTTAGAACGGTGAAGCCGTGCATAAGAGCAAGTTGTTCTGTCATACCTCGGTGTACGTTTCTATCTGAGCCTATGATATGCTGCACAATGTCCCTCTATGTTACAGTGAGGAAGGAGGTGCCGGCAGGGACCAGTGAGCTCATGTCTGAGGTAGTACAGGCAGGACCAGAGGGCCAGAGTCCACCTCTTTCAATGCTTCCTTTATTCACCTACATGACATTGGCATCCCCACCCTGTTCCAACCACACATTAAAAACAGGCACACCCTACCAATGCAACATAACACATTTCAGTCATACACACACACACACACACCCTTTCACAAGTATGCCACAGCTAAAATAAAATTGCATGATAAGCTCTAACACAGTCATAACCTATTAGTGATGAAGCCAGGCGATGGATTAAATTATGTACGCATGTAAAAAAAAGCCTGCACACAACCCGAGTACAAAGTGCAGACAAACAACAATGGAAAGATGCATCTGACAACAAATCCAAGCTAGCTGTGCAGGCCTGGCACTGAGCTGTAAAATCATGTTCCCCTCAGGAGCCCAGTCGCCTCGTGTGTCTCTCAGTGTCTGACAGTCAGCAGCCAGAGCTCCACAGGGCCCCTCAGCAGGACCTTGGCCCCCACTTATCACTGTGTGCGTGTGTGTGTTTAGGAGAAGACTGTGATAGGTCAGCAAGGCCGTGCAGCTGCAGCAGCATGCAGCAGAGTGAGAGAGCAGGATTTCCTGACCAGTCATTTGCATTGCAAATTGAAAGATGTATTGATTTGAGTGAATTACAGTACTCGTCCACAGCTTGAGGATTTACAGTTTGGAGCAGGCTCAAAGGATAAGGCCGTCAATATAAGCTTTATTTGGTTCTTAAGTACAGTATATGGAAAATGCTTTTTTTTTTTCGAATTTGGTCACAAATACACAAAAGTTAATTGTAAAACACCAAGAACAAACATTGCTCAAATACGAGCAAACTTTGCATTAAGGTATATTTCAAGATAAATACTCATTTAGGCTGCAGCCGCAAGACGAAGTATGAAGGACTGACTGAAGTTTACTACAGTGCCCTTAGTCACCGTAATGAAGAAACATGTCACAGTGAAATACTAGGCTCATCTTTGAGTTATTTTGGATACTTCTATGGACTACAATAAAAGTTAGCCATCAGGAAAATACTGTATGTCCCTGATTTTGTGACAGTGAGACATGTTTTGAATATTGTCAAACTTTAAACATAGAAATAATAATAGAAAATGAAGAATCTGTATACTGGAAGCAGTACGACTGTACGACCTTTGTAAGCTTTAAGCTGTAAACAGCCAGTATATGACTCATGCTAGATAAATGAGGGTAGATTTAAGAGCAAGTTAAGTCTTGAAAATGGGCCAAGAATAAAAAAACGTCCTCTGTTGTCGCTTACCGTAGAGGGCCTTTGCGCTGATCTTGCTGTCGGATCTGGCCACTCCACTGCAATGACAAGAAGAAGAAACAAGGTTACGCTGCATGCTCTTCATCTTCACCCCCTGCACCTCCGGATGACAGTGTCCCAAACCCTCTGAAACTCCCACACTGTCACTTCTCATGAACGCAAAAAAATATTTGTGATATACAGCGAGCAGACAAGCCAGGACTGGATGAGATTAGCCTGAGATTCTGAGCATATGGACCAGCCAGGGAGGGAGAGAGAGTGGAAAAGGGAGAGATGGGAGGAAGGGGGGGTTGTGTGTGGGAGGCTCGAGCCAGGAACCCAGGCAAAGCAAACAATTCTCAACAGAGCCGCTCTGTGCCCAAGGTCCCTGACCCACAGCACCCTCTGCATACCAGGTAAGTGATTCTCCCTGGGATGAGTGACAGTAAGTCAGCATACACTCAGAAAGGTAAATGTTAGGGGAGTCAGGAATGTGTGTGACACTTACTTGGTTTGCCTCGACTGAGGTCCCAGGACACTCATGATTTCAGGCATCCACCTGAAGAAAGAAACAGAGAGGATACATTTCAGAGAAGGAATCAGGGTGAGTGTTAATGGAAGACAGAGAGGGCTGAGGCGAGGAGGGAGGATTAAAATGCTCTCTACCAAAACAAACACGCATTGTTTATCCATGAGGACCTTTTAAATCCTGTCGCAGCAGTTAGTTTGCATGACCCATACACAGAGGCCACAGTCCTACCCCAAGAGGTCAGCCCAGGTTCAAATCCAACCTGTGGATCCTTTCCTTCATGTCATTCCCCACTCTCTCTCTCTCTCTCTCTCTCTCTCTCTTTGTGGTTTTCGACTCTATTCACTGTCATGTCTCTCTAATACAGGAATAAAAAAAACCAAATATAACTTTATTTATCTTATGATTTTTTTTTTTTTTTTACTCTTTTGTTGAGTTCCTAAATGAAGTTGGAGTTAAAGTGTAAGAAGCTAAAAGTTCTTATTCAAGGTTGTGAATTCAAGTTAAGGGGTAGTCTAAAAAACACAGCCTGCTCCTCTGTTGAGAGCCAGGTGTTGGGCCTGTACTGGTGCTAGTCAGGGGGCTGATCTGGGACAACCGCAGACAGCAGGCTGATATGCTCTGTGTAATTAGATCCACTCTGTTAATGTCTATATCTATATACCTTGCAATTAATTAATTAGCTGTTTTTTAAAGCCATTAACTATTTATTGATAAGAATGGCTTCAAGGATATAAAATGCTGTACGGTATGGTATTGTACAGTTCAGTATGATAATACAGTATGATAAAATACGATAAAGTACATTAATACCATAAACACTTTTTTTTCCAAGAGAAATTTGGCTTGGACTCATTTGTTACACAATTTTAGTCCACAGTAGAACAAAAAATAAATAAATAAAAACAATTAACATGTACACAGAGAAAGACATGTACAGTATGTAAAGGATCTTTATATCTAAACCTGACAGGTTTCCATGAGTGACAGCCAACCTGTCCCACACCTTTCCCTCTGGGCCTGAAGGTGACTGCCTGTCAAGGCATGCACTGACGAGGTTATACAATATACTGTATCTCAGGCTCACAGCAAACACATACTGTATCAGTGCCTGCTCTCACTGTGGACCTTAATGAGCTGTTACACAACATTGGAGTGGGCTTCGTTTAACACAGGAGATAACGAACACCTTTTACCTTGTGCGACTTCATGTATCACTTGAAGTGACTCATTCAGTTGTATTATTTATTTGAGGACGGGTTGGGGATACTGTAAAGTAAGCTACTGACCTCGCATCCCACAATAGCAATAACTCAACAACAATTGTCCATGAAGGCATTCAAAAGCAGTCACTTTCTTGACTCGCCTTACCTCCTATCTTAACTATAGAAGTGCTTTTGCATAATGAGCAGCTCTAAACGCCACTTACGTTCACAATGTAAACAGTCGAACAGGTAACAGCTGCGGTCACTCAAGTTTATCTCCCTGTAGATCATAAACATAATCCCCCTAAACAGATAATCCCGTTGTATCATCTGAAACAAAGCAAGGCCAAATCACAACTCCTCTCCCACCCAGCACTACAGTAACAATAACAATCAGATTGATGTGGAGCAGCACCGTACACTTGTTATAGGATTTAGGCGTAATCTAAAATAGAACTGAGAAATGCAAATGAGCACAGAAACTAATCTGTATATACTTTGGTCAATTCTGCACAAATGGCAGACTTCCTCTTGCTGTTCTTATCTCTCTGGTCATCTTCTCTCTACACTGTTGTTCCCAGCTCTGGCTCTCCGCCAGTTTTCAGGAGGCGAGGTGGTGAAGTCGGAGCAGGATAGGCTGGGTGTCATGTGTTGCCAACCTCATAGCAAGAGGCTCTCCGCACACCTCTCTTCCTCTCAGCCTGAGGTGCTCATTGTTCAATAATGACAACCCCCTTATTCACAGGTAATTACACCAACAATAATGGGAACACAAATAGTAGTGGAGTGTGCAGGAGGCTTATCTTAGCCTCACTCATGACAGCAGGGAGGTCTCGTATGTATTTCTAAGCCTGATTCAAAAGCTAAAAGTCTACTGATAATATCTGGCTCTTTTTTTCCCCTCTCGTCAAAGGAATGAGGTGTGACAAGTGCTGTTTATATTCATGCTGCTTTGCCTGACAACAACATTATTTGAGAGCAATAAGTGTGTTGGCTCAGACTACACAGTCTCATATTTTGAGCTTGTGGTATCAGTCATGTGATCTGTATTGACAACAAAAATGAAGTAGAATGGTCTTTTGTAGCAATGATTTCCTTTTTTGTCAACTTAAAATCTCAAGAATGAAATATGAAATATCCAAATTGCAATATGACACTGCACAAATCACAGACTGTAAACATTATGTCACACAAATCCATTATCAGCGCTATCTGATGTTGTTTAAGAACACTAGAAATGATTGACCCCCCCTCCCTAATAGCTTATGTAATGCTATGTTATGTATGCGTCAAAAAAAGAAAACACATGAGCTTTCTCTGATATGATGGATGTGGACTTTGCTCCATCCTCCTGAATAAGCATTTTCTAAGGAGTTATCTGATTGTATGTATTTCAAGCCATGCAGCTCTCTGGCTGAATCACATTACACTGCTATGACATCTGGTAATGATGTTACAGGTGTATTCTGGACATACAGGTGCTGTGTGTGACTGTGTCAATGTATTCAATGAATCAGTGCAGAGAAGAGAAGAAATACAAGACAAAATCAGGCCCAGATTTCACTCATTTGTTCACATTAAACTTAACTCTTTTTACACACTGAAAAAAAAAAAAACAATCTAACCCTGCTAAAAGGCTTACTCAACAATAAGCAGTCAGGGTTTCTCTTTTTTTGTTATTAAGCAGCATGTTATGAGGTTATTCCTGAACATTTTGGAAACCATATGAAAACACATACCTCTCATGACTGAGCTAAATGTTGTCATTTATATCCAGGATGCATTGGGATTTAAATAGACATGTGCCATTTTTTTGCTCTCTTGCAACTTTAATCAAGCAAAGATTATCTGAGTTACATCATGTAAGTTAAATGAGCTGATTGACTGATTTCCAAAAACTATCAATTTGATCACAAAAAATTCCAAATGTGATGAAAACTAAAATTTCTATAAGGCATTTCCAATCAACCACACCTTCACTATTCAGACATAAGTGTCATTGAGATTGAGAATAAATATCGTTGAAGGCGACAAGGCAACTGCACCATGAAGAAGAAAGTTTAATATGATGGAAAGCTCCAGGACTGTCACTAAGGGAAAGGTGAGATTTGTCAATTGGAATTATTTCTATGCCAATCTGTTTGACGTGAAGACGCTTTTAGCATCATGATCGACAAAAAGAAGACAGAAAATGAGGAAAAGCAAGGAAGTAATAGTTTATTTTACCACTCAAATGAACTCACAGTGCTGTTTTCCGAACGGGATGCTCTGGTGACAAAACTTCGACAATTCAGCGCAATGTAGAGTCAGCCAGCCATCGCAGCCTGCAGACAACCAGGATTACCGGTAAACTCCGATATTTGTAACACTTTCTTCTGAAGTTACAATCCAAGACTGTAAATCTCACAGAGTGCAGGTGTTTGTTGCCGGTTTCCAGACACACGGTCACTGAGGAGGCAACAACGCGGGAGCAGGTGAGTGATAGGTGAGTCTGCAGGTAACTCAAGCTGAAGGGGCGGGGCTTAACGGACACTTCACTGGGGGTGGGTTCAATTTTCAGTTTGTTGTGCGTGCTGTGTTTTTGGATGTGTCCCATCCATCTATTACATTGGCCTGCACTACATGAATCAGATTCTCTTAGTGCCCCAAAGGGAATATAAGCCTGACCCTCGTTAAGTAACGCTTGTTGTACAATGAAAAATAAATGAATCTTAAACCTTTAGAGGTAACAACAACCAGCTCGAATTGTCCTATTGTAACCTCTAGGGTGCTTTGATACTCTAAATCCAGAGAGAAAATTAGTTTTTCCTGTCTGTGCCCATTATACATAAAACTATATGTCTCTACCTTAATTTACAACCAATATAGGTGTTATTTTTGCAGACAGTATACTTGATTGAGTACTGTAATTATTTATTTTTAGATAAGTCAAAATATTTGCCAAACATAATTCTGTGTTCTTTCTGTATTAATTCTGTGACCCACCTATTTATCAAAGGACATTCAAGATGATCACAATCAAAGGTTCACCCCCTGCTTAAAAGCCAGAGTCACCCAATTTTAATTTATTTGCTTTAAAAAAGCTGATTACAGAAATTCTGTTTATGATTTGCAAATGCCATAATGAGTGCATGGACCTTTTTACATTCTACATGTAGGCTGTAGTGAAAATGTTTCATTTGCACAAGTTTCATTTAGTGCAGAAAACCAGGAACTGGTCTGAGCTAGTTGGAATCAGTGAATGAAAGAGGAGCAACAGTGTGGAACACTGCCCAGGTTTCAATGTCACTGCCGGCTAAGAATGACCATTCTTTGTCCAGCTGCAAAGTGCTGTACCTGCAAAAAGAAATAAGGCACTTTATCTGGGTTATTATTTTATTACTCAGTTTGTACTCAAATGATCATGCTATAAATAAAAAAAATACTGAGTAAAAGATTATTGAGAAGGGCTTATTGAAAAGCTTGTACACTGGCTTGACCGACCCCTGTTTGTTGGTTCTGTCCGGCTGTTGCTCAAGTACAGGCACTCAAAATGTGGTTTGTTATGACAGTGGTTACTTTGGAAACCTTGCCATTTGGTTTGATCATTAACTTAAGCTGTCAGTGCTGACAAATCACCTGTTTAAAGAATGAGGGTCAGGAAGTGATTCAAAGTAACAAAAAAAAAAAAAAAAAAAAAAGGTTATGATTTGTATACCTGAATGTACAGAGTGCACAGAGTCAATGTTGATCTCACATATAACATGTAGCCTTAAATATTTAAGCTGCTAAACAGAAACACAACTTCTACAATTTGAATATTTATAGGTGCCGTTTGAAGTCGTATAACATGACAAATTAATTATAGAACGCCTGAAATACATGATATAAAAATCGACAGGAGGCAGGTTTTTAGAAGTATATTAAATTGTCTCCACACTCAAGTTGACAAGAGTAATTGAACCATTAAAGCCCGAAAATAATTATCTTTGTCTTCAGATCACTTATGTCACACCATTCAAACCTTTATCAAAACAATTCTGCCCTCTGCTGGGGAAAAGATGAAAAGAATACACACCACAAATGTGGTATGTTCACCATATATATTTCACTTTTACCAGCATTGACCTTCAAAAAATATTTAAAAAAATACAGAATAATGTATGGAAGTGTGAGATAAAAGACAAACTAAGAAGTGTGTATGACAAAGGAGCATTACTCCCCTCCCAGCACAGCTGACACTTTAAAGAAATATTCCCAATTTGTGGTATAATATAGAATTAGCTCTAATAAAAAAAATCTAAACAATCAGCATTCACTTAAAAATATTTAAACTGATTGAAAAACGAATTTCTTCATATTCTTGTATCAAATGAGTGCAAACAGGTAAGTTTACATAGTGCCAAACTGTGAAGAGTCGGCCTCCTCGTGATGATGAGACACATAAAGATAAAGAAGAGAAAAATCTGTTTTACTCTACAATAAACTAAACCTGAACAAACATGAAGCACATCAAACACAAAAAAAAGTTAGTCGCTGAAAACTATTTTGTTGGAGTAAAAAGCAGTCTTGACTCTTTCTCCACTTTATTTTACAGTGTTTTCAACCCTTCAGCCTCCAGAACAGACGTTGAACATGTTTCAGATTATTGTTCTGAGGTCTTGCGGAGGGAAATTTGTAAATGTGACATCATCGTAAAAGGTACACTGTATCCTTGAATGAATGCCACCCATATCAATTATTCAAATGAGTCCTAAAGAGAACAAGGGCTTTTTTCATTCATTAACAAAAGTGTGTGAACAAAAGGAAAGCTCAGTTCAGTCCGGCATTCAGAAACATGCGTAAGAGAGGCTAATGAAGTCAACATATCTTGTCAATCAAAATAAATGGAGCCTAAAATGTAGGCCAAATGTCTTCATGTGATATTAAAATGTTTCGTCATCTCGTCAATGTTTAACACCGGAGATTGCATCAAACCAACTATCATTTGTGCCAACGTGTTGCCAAAGCAAAAGGAGAATGTTTAAGCTCTTTGTTATAATCCAATAAAAGCATCCTTATCAACCATGGTTTAGGTTTCATATCAAACTGTAGCCTTTAATAAAAATATAAACTGGTCATTGCCGTATGAGAGTCACATGTAATACACGATCTGCAGACATGGGTCAAAGTTTATTCTATTAGAAAAATCAATCCAAAACTAAGAATATTGTCATTTGTAATATTTATATGGACTCGATTTAAAGGTTGTCCTTCCACTAAAAGACTATCAGGACACTTTTAAGCCTCAATGAAGTCATTCCACTTGTGATGTTTCAGTTTATTAGAAAAGCTTTGAGAGGCCCTTTTGGTCCTAAGCAACTGATAAGTGTTCCTGTTAAGAAGATTTTGATATAGGCCTATTGGTATTAGTCCATGTAAGCAAGACATTACTTTTCCTATTTAGACAATGTCTTGAGGTGTTATCTCTTTTTGTGAGAAAAAATATATACTTTCTTTCATTCCACCAAAAGCTTACAAAATGCAGTGAGCTAAACTTCTACTACTCAACCATAACCTGCTCAGAAAGTGTTAAAGAAATTGTTCATATTATACAAAGTATTTTTACATGCTCTTCCCTCGCTGACTGACTCCCCTAATACTTTTGAAATACTTTTTTGTCCAACTCTTCCCTCCCAATTTACTGTAGTCAGAGGTTTGCTGGCTATTTGCAGTTTAAACGATGAATAATGTAGTTGGTGTTGGCTGCTACCACCTCACTTTAAGAAAAGGAGTTATCTATTAGTGATGTGCCATTTGCAAATGACTCAGCTCTTGGTACTGTTTGAGAGTGACCCCCCCCCCCCTGAAATTTTGTTATTATTGAATACGTAACACAATTAGGGATTCTCTCTTCTTCCCACTGCTCTGCCACATCGTAACCACACACTGACTGAATACTGTATCAAAGTGTGTGCAATGTGACCAACCAGATGTGAGCGGAGGAGCTCAAGGAGCAAACAGCAGGTTAGGATGCCAAACATCATCATTAGTGTTATTCTGGATATACTGTAGGCCTATAAATAAATCAGTCACTGGTAAAAAAAAACAAAAAAACTAAATTAGCCTAATTTGAGAAATACCAAAATGTCACCAATCAACCAATCACACAGCCGTTTAGTGGCCAGCTGTTATTGCTGAGTTAAGCAAAATGATCTAGACCACCAATAAGAGCCTGACCTCCCATCACTTGTTATGAATAGCAGCACAAGGAACAATCTCCTTTTTCTTACAGTTGCTGTGAATGATTTAACTAGCTGTGGAAAAAGTGTAGTGTGTTCATGAACCATAGCAACTTTCTTTTTTAACTTCACTTGGGCCTGCCTGTTGTTCTTCTTCTTTTCAGTTTGAAGTTGGTTGGCAAACAGCCTATCGGTGCATTACCGCCACCTGCTGAACTGGAGTGTGGATCAGAATTGTGGCTCAGGAAAACAATAGTTATATACAAAAAAGCCCAACTGTTGATTGACTCTACCTGCTTTTGGTTAAATGTTGTTCAGGTCTAACCATAGACTATAATACTAAAGGTCTAACCAAAGAAACCAATGAAGATACGTATCTGATTGGCTGTCAGATTAGAGCGTGAATCGTGCGAATCGAAGGTGAGTAGGGGAGATTTTTTTCTTCGAGAGTTCCTGTAATGGTAAGTGTAATTCTGCCCTCTGCAGGTGTGATTCTGCTGCAGATGTTAATACAGGCCACTTGAATGGAGATGGAGACATTTTATGACCACTTTACCAACAGGTTGGAACTGCCTTTCTCAGGAAAATAGAGTTTTGAATCGGGGGATTTGTCCCGTCTGGTAGCTAGTTATTTTATCAGAGAGAAATGTCACTTTAAGTTACACAACTTTTGTTACATTTTACAGCTAAAACATGTGTTAAACTGGTGCAAACATACTTAAACGTTCACATATTCACTAGCTAAGTCGGAGTTTTAAAAACCTCTGGCTCATTGAGTTTCTGGCCTGAAGCTAGCTGTGGAGCCAGTGGCGGTTCTAGGCCACTTTTACTGAGGGGGCCACACTGGGGCCAGTTGTTTTGTCAGAGGGGAACATTAAACCCAGGTGAAAAATAGACAAAGATGATTGCTTTAAAAATATACAAATATTATGCCAAATAATAGCACTCATTATTAAATACCACAAAATAAAATACCATGATTTATGTTTGTTTCAGTAACACAATTTAATACTAGATTGTGAGTCCGGTTGTTGAGTCAAATACTGTGTATGTGGCCACAGGGGGGAGGGGACCAAGCTCAGTGTTACAGGGGCACTGGCCCCTGTTGGCCCCTGCCACCGAATGTGTGGAGCAGCGACAAAGCAGGAGAATGTGCTCGGGAGTCGGTGACTGGTGAATGTAAATAAATGACAATGTTTCTCCATGTCTGTTGAGTTCATAAATAGACTAAAACGTGAGCTAACATGTACACCAAAACTTATTTGAAGGTGATAATTTATATTTGAATTGCCCCCCAGGGACAAATAAAGTTTTTTGAATTGAATTGAATTGAATTGAATTGAATTTGTGCTTCCCTTTTTAGCTTGTTCAGCTGGCTCCAAGAGGTTAAAACATCCATTCACTTTTGAATTATGGAAAACAACTGGAACATGGATCCCTGGGTAAGTATCGTGTTAGAGCTGGTGTACTATAACACACTAGGCTACAGTGCAAATTCATTTTAAGGTGAAGACTAATATTTCCCTCTGATATATTGGGACATAATCCTTCATGTATTTAGGCAAAATATTTTCACACTTGAGGACTTCAGCATTGTACCCACAGACTTATTTCTGTCAACTTGTGAGAGAAGGATATCGTCACTCTTACTCACTATTAACCTACACCTCACAATAACTAAAACCTATACCTAATCCTTGAATAATGAATACTTAGCCTTCAGTGGACATTGGATGCCAATAGACGCTAAGTCCCAATAATATGACTTTGCTCCCAGAGTTTAAAGCCGCACAACAGACAGGACAAGTGGGCTACTCGCTCACACACATATCCATACACATGCAATTACAGAGCTACATGAGATAAGAAATATAGAAAACCAAAATGAACTGCTTTGGCATGGCCAGCTGTTTCATTGTCCCCTGCAGCCTCTATCTGTTTCTCTTTCTTGCTTGTCCTCTGAAACAATCTGCATAGTGTGGCTGAAAGAACGGAGGCGTTGTTTGGGTTGAATGGAGGAAAAGCAGAGGGATGGAGGGGTGGAGAGGGAGATGCTCCAGCTGTGGGAGAACAAGACAACACAACAACATCTCACATGTGGGTGAGAGGGGGAGGGGGGGTCGTTGGGCGTCAAGGCTGCGGGGGCTGCACACAGTGGCATTGTTATAAGGGGGGTGGGTTGCAGCTGATAAGGTTTTGAGAAATGGATCATTCCCTCAAATCCTCCCCTTGGGAAGCCTTGACACTAAACACGCCTGTTACTGTATGGTTTTTTAAGCTGGCAGGAAACACAAGTTGTTAAAACATACAGATCAAAGTTTCACAAATGTTGTTTTATGCTGCTGGATCAGGAAGAGAGAAAAGAGTTATGTGCATGGACAATCGGTTAGCTTAAACTGATCTTGACAGCACATTATGTCACAGTGCTGTAGTGCGTCGTGTTTCATTGAGTTAAAAGTCCAGTATTTCTCAAATCTGAAATCCAGTCTGCAGATCTACAGACACAGCCTCCATCTAAAGAGCTTCTGATTGTTCTAAAACAAACTCCAAATGAGCATTCAAATAGCTAAGAAAAGTAAGGAAGAACCTCCATGGAGGAGGGATCCCTTATAGGCAGTGAGTCATTTAAAGGATTTTATTCCATGTTTTCAAAAAATAAGCAGTTATACAGCAGGACTATTTTTTTTTAATTTTTACTACAGGCCTATAATAAGCTTTTTAAATGAATGGAATTGAAATAATAATATCAAGCCAACAATCTAACATAAGAAAAATCGTGTAACTTTTACTTGTTTTCATTTTTTAATGGATGATATAGCCTATAGCCAATTAATTTTCCGATTAATTGTTTCATAAAATATCAAATAGTAGGAAAGAAAGGCCCATCACGAGTTGTCAGATCTCACAGACGTCTTCAAAAATGCTTGATGTGCTCTTACAATGTTTAAAAAGTATGTTTAATTTAGTATGACGAAGAAAAGCAAAGTTCCTTGTATATGAACGGAATGAAACCAGAGTTTTTACATTGTTGCTTGAAAAGTGACTACAATTATGAATAAATGATCAATGTTCATTTTTGAATTGATTAACTCTCAATCGACTTATTTTTTCTGCAGGATGTCTGCTCTTCACATGACGGAATGAAGAATTTAGAAAAAATTAAATGTGACATTAATCTCAAACTAGTTGTTGAGTATCATCCAAACATATGTCCTCACATGGACACTTTTCTTTTTCTTTTTTTTTGGGGTGGTTGCGGGATCTTTGCAGCAGCGTGTTGCACATCCTTCACCTGCAGCAGCTCCTCTCCTCCAACTCTCCGCTCACATCCTGCCTGAGAGGGAGAGGAGGAGGAAGGCAGCACACAAGGCGACCACAAGTCAAGAGAGACAACTTTTACGCATTCTTTTCGAGTGGCAAAAACAACATTTTCCTCTATATTCTCGCATTTTCCATCAACTGGATGGTGTGTTTCGCGAAAGTGAACTTAAGTTTATTATGACGCTCGTGGAAGCTGAGGTGAGGGTGCGCGTGAGAGGAAACCCTTGCACGTTGTTCTCGTTTGGATGTTTATTGGCCCCTTAATCAAAAGTTAAAGCCAACATCGTAAAGCCTATAGCTTCATCATCGGGACGGGACGTGAACGTAGTGCCGAGGTAGATACGTTTTCCGCCCGAGGGAATGGATTGATGTCCATTGACAAGAAGAAGTCACTGAGAGAAGCATCTGGATTCCGTGATGCACATGTGAAAGTTTCCCCGATCCGAATTGGTTTCGTTCGGACAAGGGGAGACTTTCATGGATTTTTCATGTGGGACCCGCTAGGATGGACGTGGTAGATGAAACCGAAGCGTTACAGAGGTTTTTTGAAGGTAAGATGTCATCAGAGTTACGGCTCAACTTTAAAACGGTTCATGAAAATTAGTTGGACGTAACTTTAAAACTATGACTTTTAACTTACAAGTCTATTAATTATTTAAACAAATCTAAATGTGTTTTGTTATGTATACTATAACATGTATTTATATTGTCTCATAAATGCTGTTTAAATTAGAGGCCTATTGTGATGCAGCCCACATGACAGGTGGTCAACATCATGATATTAACAGCTTATAAGACTTCTGGTCTTCAGTTGAATTGTCCCCTAACACTAACTTTCCTCACTTTTTAATTTTAAACTTCAATATTGAAAATGAAACCCAGGAGGGTTAATGGGTGCAGGGAGCAAAAGTGCTGCTGATGGGTAACAGATCAAGCTAAACGGGGAATCCTCAGAAAAGAAAAAAAAAAAAAACCGAAGTGGAGGAGGTTGGGGTTGAGGGTTGTAAGGCTGCAGGAATTTAAGTCAAGATAAATGGTGTGTTTTGCAAGGGGGCACAATGTGTGTGTTAGAGAGAGACATGATGTGTTAGAGACAGCAATGTGTGATTTTAGTGATGTAGGTGTATGTTGGCTACAACCAAAATCAGTTTCAAAAGTTTACATTTATTTTATGCTTGTTAAAAGGAAACATTTAGGATTTTTTGTCTACAAACTTTTGACATTTTTTTTTGTAGAGAAAAATGATTTATTTTTAAGTATGAGGACATCTGAGTAGCTTTTCACCTCCAAGCTGTATTGCACTTGTTTTTTATGTCCTGATTTGAGAATATAAGGATGTAGCTAACTCAACCTGTCCATCATATAACTGCTGTTATGTTCATTTTCCTCACACACACACACATTTGTCTCATTTAAAGCAAGAGTTTGTACTTCTTCTCATCACTCCTTGATCTACAGCATGCCAAATACTTTTGTGTTTTTAAAGAAACTATGTCAAATGTCGCTACAGATGTCAAGTGCACATAAAAACACAATGCTGCTTTATGTGTCACACGTTATCTGTAGAGAGACTTAACACTTGATTATAGTGTTCACAAAGCATTGACTTTAATATACACAGCCATCAATGACTGTCAGAGGCTCCTTTTCCATTCTGACAGGAATTTAGTGTGTTTACATTCTTGCTTTGGGAGTTAGAGAGATGTTCTTACTTTGGCTTTATTTCAGCCACTTTTGCTTGGACTAAAACGTCAACTTGTCCATGAGAGGTTTACAGTAGGTGCTGCCTTAAATGCATGTTTTCTTTCTAACTTGTTCTTTTTATAAAATCTTGATTTAAAAACTCCTACTTTCATCTCTCATATCACAGTTAAGGCAATCGGCGCTGAATTAAGATAAATGAGTAAATGTAAAATTAAAAAGCTGCTGATTTTATTTACAAGATGATTAGTCAATAAGTGTCTATGATTAACCCCTCCTTTACCTTCACACACACTCACACAGAAGCACACACACAAATAGCACTATAATGGATTTTGGCACTGGTAGTGGTTTAATCGGATTAGTGAAATATGTATACATTCACACTAATGCACAGTGTACATTCCTGGCATAGACGTGGCGGCTGTTAAAACACAATGAGGTGAGACTGGTGTTTCTCCTCAGTCTTCTCTCCATCTCTCAGACTCCATTAGAGTGAGAGTGAGCAGACCGTGTGAAGAGGTGAGATTGTGCAGACTCAGGGTGGAGAGACTGAGCTGTTGAGAGAAACTCAGCTAACCCCCCCCCCTAAAAAAAAAAACTTGACCTTCTCGTCTCTGACTCACTTTGACAACAAACATTCACTCAAACACTCAGAGCCATGTTGGAACCTACAAAGGATCATGACATTTTATTACTTTTGTGTTGTGTTTTTGTCCAAATAGTTCCCTAAATCAACCAAACGTAATACAACAGCATGTTCTTGGACAACATGGAATTGAAGCATTGGTCAAAATGAAAAATGAAATCACTTACTTTAAGTGGTAATGCAGACACACAGTTTTGGCACTTTGATAAATGTGGATCCAGCAGACACTAGACTGATATGAACAAAGCTTACAGGCACAGTAGTGGCTTTGTAGGCTTTGATTGATACTTCTTCATTGAAACTACGCCGTAGCCTCCAATGCTTTAAGAACACCGAAAGGCTATTGGTGAAATACTGACACAATAAACAGGGCTGCAATCAATGGTTAATTGTATTCAAATCAAAGCTATTGAAGGCAATGTATTATAATAAACCACAAAAAAACAGAATCCTGATCTTATATCCCACCACTTTATCAACGTTTTGTCAAAAGAGGCACCAAAGGAACAGCTAATCAACCTCGGAAAGACAAAGAAACCTCTTGTTTGCACATGTTCTTTGTCATCTTTGTCAATTTTAACAGCAAGTTAAATGTTCGCTTAGGTGAGCAGAAGAGGCGTAAGAGAGTAAGTTCCACCTGCTAGATCGCTTCTGTGCATTTTTTTTGCTCCAGAAGACACCAGCAGTGCAATATGTCAGCGCCCGTCGCATGCGGTATTTTTACTCACCTTTGTACAATGGAAAGCTATGGAGATGCAAAGTCTATATTTATAAACAATCAATGATCCAAAGTTTTGGAAGAGGTATTCACTGCACTAGTGGCAACAGTAGAAATCTCTAGAAAACACTAAAGTCACTATTAATTCTATGGGACATTATTGTGTCTCAATTGAAGACAGTCCACACAATAGTTATCAAAATAGTCAAGGGTGAAGAGGGAATCTGAGTTCACTGATTGACAAGCAGCCTCTTATTACAAAGCTGCTGAGCCAGCAGTCAAAATGGACAATACCTTACATACAGTCAACCTTAGATTAGGGCTGTCATTGTTATTGTATAAGACTTGGTTGTAGGGATTTTCAATATTTGGAAGCTAGAGTGTGGTTAAAAACCCTTCAGTTTGAAATAAAACTTGTTTGAGTGGAAGATGAGTTACTTAAATTTGATCTGCTCGAAAATAAACTTTCCAAGATAGTTAATCACATTCTTACACCATATTTCCTTGAAAGGACTATCATCATCATCACCACCCTATGATACCATTTCAAAATTCCTCTTAAGTCCCACTTCACTCCCACTGTAGTGAATCATGGCTTTCATCCATCTTGAAAAACCCTCAGTGAAACAGGTTGGACGCTTCATCTGATTTACAGGTTCAGCGGTGAACTGCAGTTACAGGAATGTATTGTTTTTGAGCGGCCAGGCTTACAGCGCTTAGCAGGTTCTATTTTTCATTGTTGTGCCTCACTCCCATCACTGACGTCTGCCAACTGAGTAATCCTCAGCCAATCAATGTTGTTTGTGGTTGAACTAGACTTTGTGAGATTCATATACTTTTTTCTCTTCATGACATAATAAAGTAAAGCGGTTATAGAAGTAAGACGTAGTATGCAGCGTCAGAGTGTTATGGGGATTTGTCTGCATCCTGCGTTCATTGTGAGCATCCTGAGGAGTTCATTAGAATAGCTCTGTGAAATTTTACTAGAATTTTCTTCAACTGGTTTACATGATCATTTTCATTTACGCCATTTTTAGACAAACAACAGTTTCCCCCTTCTCCTCAAGTTTCTCTATATTCTGATTTATAATATTCTTTTGTCTTTTTCTTCCCTCGTCTCTTTCCCCTTTTTGAATTTTCTCTCTCTCTATGCTGCAAATCTGTCTACAACTTCTCCAAAGTTTTTTTTTTTTTTTTTTTTTTTGTATCTTGCTTTGTGTCCAGGACCCAGCCTTGTCACTCCTGTAATCTCCTGAGCCAGGTCCGCCGGTGCGACCAGTGCTTGTGTGCGACAAGTTCTGTGTGTGGTAGCCTGGTACAGCCTTTTCTCATGACTGGGGAATAATCCTTATTATAACTCCTTTCTCGATCCTTTCTCCCACACACACTAACACAGTATGCACGCACACACACACACACACACACACACACACACACACACACACACACACACACACACACACATTCGTTACCCTAGTCTGCAATTCTCAGGTCTCTAGAAGAAAGCCTTTCTGCCGGAGTAGAGAAACATGTGAAAAATAGAGAGGAATTTGTCATCTCATCTTCTGTTTCAGGTGTTTTCATCTCAAGGACGTCACCATGCTTTGGCTACGTGCAGGTACTCTGCCGCTCTGTCTGCTCTGCTCCTCTTTAGATTTAATAGTCCTTTCCTGATAGGAGTCTTTCTTCTGTGTTCACCTGTTGATTGATGTCCGTGTTGCAGTGATGCGCTTCACTTTTATGCTTTCTTAAAACGAATAATAACCCTATCTTTACGCAAATGAAAAATCTGTAGAACTCTCGGGTTACTTGTCAGAAATGCCTAACCCTTTCTAGTATATATATTATACATTTTACTTGATTTACTGTTTGTGGCTGTACATGTTGGTGTGTTTAAATGTAAACTGTAGTCGTAGGCTGTGTAGGATCTGGAACAGCTGAGAGCACAAGTGAATTAAATTCTAGGACGAAAGGCATCTGTTGATTTAGTGTAGACATTGGCTTGTTACTTATGATGTAAGTTTTGATGTGTTGCAAGTTTCTTAAAGTATTTCTAATTATTTAATTTGATGTTAAATGTCCTAGAAATGGAATTTACTATGTGTATAATCTCCTTGTGTGTTTTTTGGGGTTGTGCAACAGAGTTAATTCCAGTCAAACTGTCTGATAATCACATGGAGCTCCTCTCTGAAAGTGTTTCATTATTAACACAAACATGTTTGTGCATACAAATCTCACCTGGAAGGAACAAAATAAAGTATCACAGTGACGTTTTTATAGATTTAGGATTTAGTTTCTGTTTTAAGTAACCTCAAAGTAACTCTTCTTCCAGGACGTAGTCTTAATAATAGTTTATGCAATTTTGAAGTCGAAAATTACATTACACACTATTGTTGGATTTACAAAAAAACACACAAAGCAAAGGAAAGCTGTCCATTAAATTGACTCATATAAGTCTAACCATGTTTAATGGGCAATCACACACTCAGTCTTCTGTGTTCTTTTTAGATTATTACTCTGCTGACAAACCAGGCATTGAGATGGTGGCATAAGACACAAAGTTATACACACACATACAAACAAACACATACACACGCATATGTTAACACACACAAACACACACACACACACACACACACACACACACACACACACACTCCCCTCTCAGCCCCTAATCTCTGAAAAGGCTCGTCTGTATCGAAGTTGGACTGACAATCATTTCACTGTTCCTTGTTGAACACAGCTGGACAGAGACAAACATTGAAGCAGAGAAATGTACACATCCATCTCACAGCAATTTACTATTTTAAACTGATTCAGTGATAGGCCACAGTTAGTCTATGTATCTGTTATTCAGGAACAGTAACTTTCCTTTGATCAGCATGTGAAATATTGTAGTGTCTTGACTGTGAAGGTGTGTTAGACATTGACTTTCAGTTTTAGTTTTCCACCAGATCCAGTTAGATTTTGTACAGTGTAAGAGTTTGTGATATTGTTCTTTGTTATCGTTTTTTTTTTCTGTAGTGTTTAGCAGTAAAACATAATTTAGATATGAGCAGCCGTACTTCTTATTCATTCAGGACAATGTAGAAATGGGATAAAATTAAAATGTTTGTGCTTCAACGTCAGAAACTAAATGAGCCAAATGTTAAGAGCAAGATGGAAGAATTTTAAGAGCGGGGGAGTTGGTAAAGTCCAAAATAGAGCTTAAAAAGGTTTAATATTGGACTTTGTTCAGTCAGGTAGGTTACTACAAATAATCTATCTTTATTTTAGATTTCTTTTCTTTTTGCTGCGCCCCAAGTGGCCAAGGAAAATTAAGTTAAAGCTTCTGTGGGAAATTTTTTGTTGGTGATGAAACTGATTGAAATGAATACAGAGCCTCTGTTTACCCTACAAAAAAGACAAGACCACTAATGAGGATTTGAGGATTTCTACATGGTTTTTATACACCAGGTAGGTGTCGCACAAAGTGGGTTACAGCACGCTGCGGAAATGGCTTTGTTTACATTTTCCTTCAAAAAAAGATTTTGACTGTTAAAAGACCAGAAAATACTGCTTAACATGCAGAGGGCAAGAATATCAAAGACAGGGAGCCGGTGGCCAAATGGTTGGTTTGGGCGGCCCATGTACAGAAGCTGTAGCAATCCAAGCGGTAGGTCAAATCTGACCTGTGGCTCCTTTCCTGCATGTCATTCTCCACTCTCTCTCCCTAATTTCTGACATTCTCCACTATCAACAAATGGATCAACAAAATCAATACAAACCACATTTTCCCAACAGTTGCTTTAACTCATTTGTATCACTGTTTAAACATCTGTTATTTCCAGTATGCTCATGTCAAGCTTGATCAATGTGTTAGTATTTGCAAAAGTCTTACATCACCAATCTACCATATGGCGCAACCTAATAGATGTTACTTCTCTCGCCCTCTTGGACACAAAGACGTCTGGAATCAATTTCTCTCATCACTTGTTCATGTGTTTTTTTTTTTTTTTCCATTTCCATCCTTGGACATCATACTTGTATTCTGTCTTTCTTGCCCCACAGCCCTCCTCAACCTCCATCTATCCACCCTCCCCTCTTTATTTTTCGTTATCAGGCCTGCCAGCTTAAATTTACTGCCTCTTTGGGTGGGGTGCACATCTGGAACTTATTTCAGGGGAACCATCCTGCTTGTCTCCCATCTCGCTGGCACGTATTAGGAGACATTAACCATCTGGTTCTATCCAGCAAGAAAAGTCCATCTTTGTAAACACGCTTGTTTTCTCAATATGGTAAAAGGAGAATTACTCTAAACAGAATCATTGGTGCTGTTCTTGATTTGACTGGTTGGAGACAAGTTGGTTTTGTTTTGGGGTGTAATGATTAATGGTTGTGAGATGTTAATGTTTACGGTCAGCCCTGCTTTTTGGTTGGACTATACACATTTTTTACAAGACAATATGTTCTTTCAAATCATTTGTGTCAAACTGAGAGGTAACTGTGACAAGATAACTCATAATAAACATTTCTGTTTGGTTTCTGATGAAGAATAAAGCACAAATAGACGACCAAAAATGCGGGAAAAGGAGATTTTTTTTCCAATGCTAACACAAAAATTCCTCGCATTCCCAACTGAGTAGCTGCTTAATCTATCAGAGAAAAGTGTGTGTCTGTGCGTGTGTGCTTGTTTGAGCGTGTGAGAGACAGAAAGAGAGAAAAAAAAGAAAAGGAGAAGGCTGGGGTTGCCTGCCCACCCGCTCTATACCAGGTCCTTACCCCCGCTTCACCCCCTCCATCCTGCTCTCCCTCTCCTCTCCCCTCTGACACTGTTTACAGCATTTAGGGACAACAAGTGAAGGAAAAGGATCACCGTCTCTCATGTACCAGTTACATGCTAATTGTGCAATAGGACAAGCTGGTTTATATAAAGTGGTTTACTCTTTTCTGAATATATGCATACTCAATGGTGTTTTAAAGATTAAGAGGGGTCATGTGTTTGGGATTTGTGAGGCTTTGGCTATCAAAGGGTGAAAATGACCCTGGGGTGAAGTAAAGGGATCATTAGGCAATAATGAATGATGCTTATCGTATATCTATATTTAATTATATTAATAAAAAGAAACCTGATTTTATATTTAGTTTATCTAAATGACAAAGCTTCGTTGCCAAAAATAGTAACCAACAACTGCAGCGATTCCATTCTATTTGTGTCACCATTACGAGGCGTTGAGTTACCAGTATGTGATCCGTAATGTTGGCGAACACATATTCAGACTGTTGGTCATTCATGTAATCTTAGTCTTTAAATATTAAAGCAAATTTGATTCTGTTTAAAAAAGAAAGAGTGTGAAATTATGCGATTAAAAGTAATGATATGTTGTTAGAAAGTTATTTGAAGTTCGTAGTAGAGCCCGACTAGTTAATCATCCAGCCGATAAAATCAGTACAAGAACTTTTCGCAAGTCAACAAGCATTTAATTTGAGTATCATTGTATTACACTAGTAGTTCTCTTTCTGGCTGTCACCAGGAGAATGTGCTGTATGGATTACAACCAGCATCATCACTCTCCAGAGTGATGCCAAACATGCACAGTTACTTTCCCGTTGAGCGACCATTTTGTCTTCATTATATATCTTATCCACAAGAGTCTGATAACTGCATTTTAGGGATCAACGCAATAAATGTGTATATCTATATCTATCTATCTCTACAGATTGAACATAGATCAAATAAAGATATCGATATCGGCCCGAAAAATACCATATCAGTCAGGCTCTGGTTTGTAGAAAAAACTTTAAGTAGAACGCTGCGTTGGCAAAATGCTTTAGACTAACTTCCAGTGAATTGTTACAACATAAGCTTTTGTTGGAGCCAGAGCTGTTGTGGCAGTGTGCGGAGTTGCTGAAAGATTCCTCTTGCTAATCCTGATGCTCTCCATCTTCTCTCTGTGCTCCCCTCCCTCCCTTCTCCACAGGTCATGATATTACCAGCTCTCTGGAGCCAGCCAACATCGACACCAGTATCCTGGAAGAGTACATCAGCAAGGAGGACGATAGCACTGACATGTCAGTAGGGACTCCAAACCAACCCAACAACGTCAAAACAACATGAACCAAGCCAATCAGATCATGTCGTTACAAAGGAATTTGTTTTTCCTGATAACGCTAATCCCCCTTTTTCTTCTTCTTCTTCATTCTCCCAGCTGTTTCTCAGAGGTCCACAGCGCCCCGGGACCAAATTACTCATCTCCCCAGGCAGGAGTTTCCTCAGCTGGGGGGTTGGTGTGTGGTGTGAGCCCCCCTATTCCACTGCGCCAAGGAGCCCCTCTGCCTGGGCCCCAGAACTGTCAGAACGCCTACCAGCAAGGTCCATCCCTGGGCCTCCGACACAACTACTCCTGCCTGGGCCAGCAGCAGCAGCAGCAGCAGCAGCAGCAGCAGCAGCAGCAGCAGGTTCACGTCAAGCCCGAGCACAGGGGCCACTACGCTCCAGGGTGAGCATAAGACCTCAGAGGCTGATGGAGAAAGGTGCAAAGAAGAACACATATGAGGACATTTTATGAATTTTACGGCAAGCTGAGACATCTGTAATGAAAGTAATGTGTCTAATTGCCTCCGTCAAACGCTCCGTAGGGATTGCAAACAATAGCAGTGATAAAGGGTACCCCTGTCTTATACCCTGGCCAAGGTGAAAATGAGAAGATCTCTTGCCATTTGTAAGGACAGCAGACAACTGGTTAATATTTTGCAACTTCACCCTGCTAATAATTGCTTCACTTAGGCCCCGTATCTCCAGAAGGGAGATGCTGACCCCATCAAAAGCCTTCTCTGCGTCCAGACTAACAACAGTCTAATTTGTCAAATTGGGAAAAACCCTCCTCATATTATTGCACGAGTTTCTGCCATTTACAAATCCTGTTAGATCACTGTTTATAATGGCAGGCAGGACTGTTTCTAAAGTCAAAGCAAGAGAGCAATTTAAGAACTTTGTTTAATAAGCTTATAGGCCTGTGGGATGCACAGTTGTCGTCAAGCTTCACTTTTTTAAGACGAAGACTGACATTGGCCTCTGTAGGTGATTTGGGAAGAAAGACAGTCCTCATTGCTGTCCAAAATGTAATAATCTGCAAGATACCCTAAATGACCTGATACTGGTGCTAAATACTGACTTTAAAAAACTGATGCTATTCTCTAGAGCCAAAGTAATAGATCAAAATAATGTAGACACTATTTTAAAAAATAGCCTTGAAAAACAACAACAAAGAAGAGCCAATTTTGGCATGGGACTTCTTTAAAGGATTTTTTTATTTTTATTTGAAGGTCAAGAAGGACTGTTTTTGTGAACATAACCTCTATTGCCAATCTATCTTTTAGGACGCTACCCGAGTCCCCCCCAGACTCCAGCTCAGAGCCGTACTCTCCTCAGCAGGTGAATGGTGAGTTAAACATCTCCTTCTTTTCCCTTCAGAAGTTTGCTTTGAAGAATGTGAAAGAAAGCACACAAAAAGAGGTCATCTAAGAGAAAAGATGCAGACTCAAACATCGAGTCGGAGGACGCCGCTGAAGTCAATATTCATAAATCATCAGTTCATTGTTATTGAACACCGCAGCGAGACCAGAGAGTAAAATCAACCTCATATGCAAACCAATCAATATATTGAATTCAAGGTGTGTCTGTCACTCATTCATCAGAATCTAGATTTCGACTGAATATGATTGTTTGAAGCTCATAACATTTTTTTTTTAAGTGTGTTTTGAAGTTTCTTTTGGCTTATTTAAAATAAAAGTTTCACAAAAACTTTGCCGCTCACACACCTGTGTTTGTCCTGCCTATCAGTAAAAACTTTTGAAGTTATCTTGTGGTTTTTCTTTGTCAAACATTGGAAAATACCTTTAGCTGAAGTTTGCGGAAGTGTAATAACAAGCAGTCTGACATGCTGAAGTGCAGTTTTATTTGTTTCCCGATCCCCAACTTGTCTTTCAGACCCTCACATGATCAGGACCATGACACCAGAGAACATGTGTCACATGACTCCAACGCCACCCCTTCCACCACATGGGCACTATCCCAACATGCATCGTGACATGTACCTGAAGCCTGAGCCCATGATATCCCAGTATCCTATTGGTCCGGCCACAAGCGGGGGTGGAGACATGCAGCAGACGCAAATGCTCCATCAGCTGCTGCAGCATCCTCAAGGGCAGGAGTGAGTCATAAATATGCTCAATTTAAATGTATTCATGAAGCTCTTTTATACACACAAAACACAAAAAATTAAATGTTAAAATCTGTAATAATCAATCAGTTCATATAGCAAGATCAAATAAACACTAGGGATAAGTTTGTGTGAAAAAAATGAGAAAACTGTATGTGTATGAAACGAAAGAAAAGATGGGAAAGAGTAGTGATGTGTTCAAGTTGTGACTGTGTTTACATTTCCTCCCTCAGCGGCATCCCTGTCCACCAGGCCAAGAAGAGGAAGCACTCCGACTCTCCCAACAGCACCCTCAATTCCCAAATCCTCACAGGTATCATCAAGCAAGAACCAGGTAGGCAGGCATCTTTTTCTCTTCCTCGCCTCCTCTACCTCACGCTCACCAGCTCTCATCTCCCCTTTGTCTGTCACATAGATAAAAGACTTTCACCGAAAATATTCTTAACATTCCTTTATCAAAGCTTTGAGCGCTGTTATTTGGTTTTTGCAGCAGGTTTGATGCAGGATGCAGACAACTCCTACCTGGACCCGAACTATCAGTGCATCAAGTGGCAGCCTCACCAGCAGAACAAGTGGACACAACTATATGACGCAAACTGCAAAGAGCTGTGGGTGGACTTTACTTTGGCCTATCAGTAAATCATGTGGCTGTTCTCTTGTGGTTGAAAGCACTCTACGGAGAGCTAAAAATGAAAGAAAGTCATAATTGGTTAGATAAATAATTCAAAGTGTACAGTGGGAGTGGCAGAGAAATAGCAAGGCTGCAGTGGTCTACGAATTCCTCAGAGGTGAGCTGAGCGGGGGAGTGAACGAGGGCACGGTTTCGGCTTAGAAAGATAACCTGAGGAGCTGTTAAAGGGAAAAATGAGTGTACACCTACTTGTGCCAAAAATATAAAGAAGTATAGCTAGGGAGGGAAATTAAATTGGACTCTCAAGACCTTTTCAGATATGTTGTCAAAGCCACCTGGTTGTTCATCCATGAAAAGCAGAAGATTTATTTGTTTTTATATAGATTTATTACACCTCGCAGAAGGTCTCAATCTTCTATCGTATTAAAGTTGTAGCGCTCACACGAAGGGGTCTATTCAGGGTTCTTAAGCAATGACAAACATTGATTGTTACCATTACAGAAATAATAGAGGTACGAGGCTTACTGTTTCCAGCTCCTCATGTATGAGAATACAAAGTCCATTTTATTACCAGATTATAAATATGATGTTCTTCATCCATATCTGCATCTCTACTTGGACCTTTAGACATGTGGAAGCTCCTTTTAAAAGCACATTATGAAGAGTCTCCCTTTGATGATAAGAATTGCTCAATTGACCTTTAATTATACTTATAATGAATACGAACGTCTTATTCACGTTTTTTCATATGTCACAATCTCTTTCGCTGTCTTTAGTCCGATGCCAACCTACCGCGTTGATGCAGACAAGGGCTTCAACTTCTCCTTGGCTGACGACGCCTTTGTTTGCCAGAAGAAGAACCACTTCCAGGTGACCGTCTACGTAGGCATGCTGGGAGATCCCAAGTACATAAAGACAAATGAAGGCCTGCAGACCATTGACTGCTTCTATCTCAAACTCAACGGAGTAAAGGTGAGCAAGGGCACGAGCGTAAAAACATGACATCAACCGGAGCGTTCTGAGCTCTGCACTTGATTAAATGTCGATTTTATTTCTCTCTGTGTTGCCAGGTGGAGGCCATGAATCAGTCCATCAGTGTGGAGCAGTCACAGTCTGACCGCAGCAAGAGGCCCTTTAAGCCAGTGCTGTGAGTATGAACTCTTAAAAGGATAAGTTCACTTTAAAAAATAAAACCAGGAGCATTAAAGCAAATTTAGCTCGCTGTTATGATTTCGTCTGTTCATACTTGCCCACCATATGCACTTCAAATAAATCTGTGATGTTACAGCTCTTCTTAGCAGTCTTTGTTCAGACGTTTTTTAGACGCTTCACCTTTGCCAGTTTAAAACATTTATTGAGTTTCTTATATCTTATTGTTAAAAGTTCCCTGATTTTGTTTCCTTGTTGAGCTTTTATGGTCATTTTATCACACTGAAATGTACGAAGAATAAAAGTGACTATTTTAATATCAAGACTAAACTGAAGTGGCGCCGGTGGACAAGTGGTTAGTTCGCACCGCATGCACAGAGGTACATTGGTCCTAAAAGCAAGCAGCCCAAATGTTTGAATCCAGGCTGTGGCTCCTTTCCCACATGTCATCCCCCCATCTCTCTCTACCCTGATTTCCAGCTCCAGCCACTGTCCTATCTCTCCAATAAAGGCATAAAAAGCCCAAAATGAAAATTCTAAAAAAAGAAAAAAAAAGCAAGATGAAGGAATAATTATGGTAATAACTAACAAAATCCAAACAAGTATTAGCTTTACCAAAAAAGAGGGAAAAAAAACACAAGACTCCAAATTATAGCAGGAATAAACAGACAAACATTGCTTCTTGGATATACAGTATACATGCGCACGATGTATTTTTATGATTTAATTTCTTCCAGCGTCACCCTGCCATCAGAGCAGGTCACTAAGGTCACAGTGGGACGGCTCCACTTCAGCGAGACCACAGCAAACAACATGAGGAAGAAGGGCAAACCAAACCCAGACCAGAGGTCAGAAACATGCCATCACATGTAAACATGCCATTAACTTTAATGCAAACAAAAGTCCAGCAGTCACAGCTGCTCCTGATGCGTTTGTCCGTTCAGGTATTTCATGCTGGTGGTGGCGCTGCATGCTCAGTCCCACAGTCAGACCTACACTGTGGCGGCTCACGTGTCTGAGAGGATCATCGTCAGGGTAACGTCTGGCCATGTCTGTCTGCCTCCTACAACAATCATATCCTGTGTGAATGTGACACCTTTCCCTCAGCAGTCTGTTCGAACCTTCCTGTATTTCAAAATCACTGTTTAGATTTCCTCGTCCTCTCCAACACCTGTCTTTCTATCCCGTCTATCTGTCTCTTTGCTCCACTGCACACTACAGCTACACTCCAAAACATAGAGTTTAATAGAGGACAAACTATGAAACAGGAATTTCTCCTCCTGTGACCATTGATAGCATTGGGAAAGTATGGAGTTACTATTTTTAAGGGTATTGATTTAAGAAGGAATGTTTACTTATTTTTAGCCACTGTGCTAACATTACGTAAATTATTTTTTTAATGAATTCACTGAAAAACTGTTTAACTATATAATGTAAGTCAACAAATTTGCATTTTATCCTTAGGTTAAGAGATTCAGCCCACATTTTTGAAAATATGTCAATTTGCTTTCATGCCTCATATTTATACCATAAACATGTTGAAACAACTAGCAGCTAAGCAAAGCATAAAGTGTTCTGCCTAAAACGTTTATCTAGAACTATTGTGTAACAAGAGCTACGGCTGTTTTAAGTGACGTTATGTCCAGACTACTTTTTAAATCGGAGGCAGCAGTGAGCGCTTACTGGATCGTTTGCTGGGTGCCTGGCAACCTCACCGATGACAAGACTCTAGAGAGCGAATTTACATATTTCCAAATTGAAATAATTTTGATTGTGCACATCATATCTTCAAGAAATATCTGAACCATTATAGTCTGTGCACCGTCTTCTCTGTCTCTCCGTTACAGGCATCAAACCCGGGCCAGTTTGAAAGTGACAACGAAGTGCTGTGGCAGCGTGGCCAACTGCCAGACTCGGTTTACCACCACGGGAGAGTCGGCATCAACACGGACCGGCCGGACGAGGCTCTGGTCGTCCATGGAAACGTGAAGGTCATGGGCTCCCTGGTGCACCCGTCGGACATCAGGGCCAAAGAAAATGTCCAAGAGGTCAGAACGTCACCCAGTGTGTATCTGCGTGTTTTTGCATGCTTGTTGCCCAACTGTCAGTGTGTGTCATCGTGTGCCTCATGTTCTTGTCATCATGAATCACGTCATCCAAATGCTCTTGCGCAGCACAGTTGACTGGACACTTTCCATTTCAGTTTTTTTGCCTTCTCATTGTATTTGATACCAAGCGTTTCGCCTGCAACATGAGCAATGTGTTTTCATATCATCTGCATGCATGTCATTGTCACTCTGTCTGTGTGTAGGTGGACACCACAGACAATTTGAAACGGATTTCTCAGATGAGGCTGGTCCATTATCATTACAAGCCTGAATTTGCTGCCTCGGTGGGAATAGAGAATACTGCAGAGACCGGTAACTTCATCAATAACAATATCCATCAGCTCAAGTCTTTGTTCACTCTATATCATGTGATCATCTTTATGTCTTAATGAACGTTTTGTCCTTTGCTGTATGTGCATTTTTGTTTCAAGTGTGTCCTAAATCAGTGTATGCTGTATTTTTCACTGCAGCACTTTTTATATCCCTCCTGCAGGAGTGATCGCTCAAGAGGTTCAACAGATCTTACCTGAAGCAGTGAAGGAGGGGGGTGACGTGGTGTTTGCCAACGGAGAAACTATTCCAAACCTGTTAGTTGTCAACAAGGTACTAAACACACTTCAACAAAAAGCCCAAACACACTTCGCCTCAATAACAGAACGAAACTAAAAGCCCTCTCCTTAACATGAAAGGATCGCATCTTCATGGAGAACGTGGGCGCTGTGAAGGAGCTTTGTAAGCTCACAGATAACCTGGAGACTCGGATAGATGAACTGGAGCGCTGGAGCCGCAAACTGGCAAAGCTGCGGCGTCTCGACAGCATGAAGAGCACAGTGAGCGGAGGCACTGTCAGGTGAGAGAAGTGAGCGGAAACAGACGGAGTTTTCGAAGCAGGAATCTTTTCATTAAATTCTCATTGGTATACAAAAGAATTGATAGATCAGTTAATTTCTTTTCCCCCTCCCTGTAGCCAATCAGGGAGTTATTTCAGCAGAACAGGGAGTGGCCCACTCAAGAAGAACACAACAAAACCTGGAAGCAAGGTCCGTGGTGACAAAGATGCATTTAAAAACAGTTTTTAATTGTTTAACAATCAAAGGATGATGATTTTCAAGTATTGTACAAATGCATTTATGTGTTTTTGGTTTTTTTCCCCACCTCCTGCAGAATTCGCCTCCAGATCAAGGCTGCATCAGCCAGAGGTTCATGCAGGCAGCCATCCTGGCACTGGTTGTTGTCATGGCCTTCAGGTTTGACTGAGCTAAATGTATTTGGGCAGGGATTGGAGGGTACACAAAACAATCAGCTTCATCTCTGTCCAGCAGAGGCATGATAACAATGCATTGTGTTTTCATTTTGTCCCACGACAGTGTCATTTCTATGTCGGTCCTTTATGTGTTGACCCTTCACCACAGAGGAGACGTGTCAGAGAGGGATGGGTATGTGGTCCTGAGGGAGACTGAAACTTACAAATCTAATTTCTCCATTTCTCCATTACTGTCTTTTAACATGATCTGTTCCTACTCTCTGTAGCTATTTTCCTTCCTGTATTCTTTACATCTCTTGGATGCCAATCTTCACTGCCACTGTAACTTTCTGTCCACCTGTCTGCCCATGGTATGCTTACTGCACCTGCCTTTCTCATTACTTGTTTCACACTCTTGTTCTGTCTTTCGGTCCTTTCTTTGATTGCTTAGTTGGTTGTTTCTTTTTCTGTTTATAAAGGGAGCTCATGGGTAATGAGAATGTAAATCAGAATACCTAAAACATTATTGGTTGTTAGTGTGTCATCAGTTTTTTACTAAAGCATATTCTTGGCCTGCAGGTCGAGAGCTGCTCTGGGATCCTCACGCAAGAGTCAGTTTACTCCGCTGACCACCACCCCTGCTCCAGGTGAGTGGAGATCCGAAATAAGTGACTGAGCAGCTATCTAAGTTAGGCGCACAATTAACGGTTGATTTACAGATAAGTTGCTGAGATCTGGTTTTCTCACACTTTCAGCCTGCTGTTCACCCACAGCCATCAACAACCAATCAGCTACAGTGTTGTCACTGGTTAACAACCAATCCACACCAGGTAAGAAAGCAAATATGGCTGAAACAAACAGAAAGTTTTCCTGTTTCATTCATGCGTCTTCAATGCAGGTCATTTTTCCTCCTTCTTTTAGATGTAGGCAGTCTAGTTCCTACACCGAGCACCATTAATAAAAAGGCCAAGTCCAGATTAATGGACAAAGAGGCCCGCAGTAGAAACCGCCTGAGTCACACCTCAGCACCTTTGTACTTTGCCAAGTCAAAAAGACCAGCACCTACAGACCTTGACGGTGGGGGAACTGCCAACCGTCTGCCCGTGGGTCAGCTGCCAGTTTCACGCAGACAACGCAGCCTGCACACAAAGGGTAAAAATACACAAACACATCCCAGACGCTGGGCTTTCTCCACACATATAATATGCAGTATGCAAACACAGTAAAGCCATTTGTTTGACAACTGCAAATAACGCTTATCTACATATTGTACTTTGGAATTCAATGGGTAAAATGCTCATAGTGTAGCTTCTCTTTTTTTTCAGGAGGAAGGTCAGCTCCCTCTCTGAGTAGTCTACAAATCGTGGAGACAAACCAAGTGATCACAACACAACGTTGTGCAACTCCTGAAAGCTGCAGGTATTTCCTCTAAAGTTCCTCTAGCCTTAAGTTGACATTGTAGAGGTGGGTGACGGTGTTGTTAAAGAGGAAAATAAAGAATCTTATTAAGGACGTTGTATCACTTCTAATAAGTCATTAAAACGTATCAGTGATAAATTACACCTTGTATAGAAGCATCTGAATATATCTGTCTCTCCCTTATTCACATGTGTCTTTTATATTGTTTCTTGTCTGTATGATTCCTCCCTGACACAATTACAGTTTGAGTTAACATCAGAATCTGAGCTACAGAATCAAAATCTGAAATACTTTATTCATCCCAGTGAGATAATATCCCTTGTATAAAGACTATAAGTACAAGATAGAAGATTTCAGCTTGGGGAATAGAAGATATAAGGAAGAAAGCTGTAGAATATATTATTTTTATGTAGAATATGAAATACAGTAGTGTATAGAAAGAAATATGAATAAATAAGTTACATAGCAATATGTGCTGTACAAAATATGAAATATCAACAGATTTGTGTTTCCAACAAAGATGAAATGCTAAGAAATGGGTTATTATGTGATGTAAATATAAATGTCAGAATTGTTTAAAAAATAGTTAAATGTTTTAAATAAACTGTTTAAGGCAGTATAAGTGTAATGTATTGTACGGTTTATTACACAGTCATGCTTCATACTAATCCAGTTTTTTCACTTTGTCTGTTTTAGCTACACAGTATCCGTCCATGGAAAGAGAAATTCTTCCATCTCACAAATCACTTTGCACATGACGTGAGTATAAAATAACCGCACCATCTATATATAAATACATGCTAGCAGTTCCCAATGTTCACACAGTGGACATTTTCCTCTTAAGTCACACTCAGGTTGTGAAGCTCAAAGTAGTAAAAATGGTGAATGGACTGTACTTTACAGTACATGTCACATTCATACACTGATGGTGGAGGATGCTTTGTAAAGGGCCCATTAGTATCAGCCCATCATGCAAAAACTGATAATGTTGCAATGCATTGTTTCAGAAATGCCAATCACATAAAAGAAGTGAATCTAACTAGTTGTTACCATTTTACTGCTTCTTCATTCATCAGCAACTGAAAAGACAATAGAGAGTTAAAATCTGGAGCACGACAGGCCTTATGTCTATAAGTTCTATAGGTCTGTAGTTCAAACAACACATGAGGTATTCTTTTTCTACAGCTGATGTTAGTACTCAGTGTTGCAAGATACAGAAGCGTTCATTCCTTGCTAATTGTGATGTGAGTCAGCAAATCTAACTGTTAGCTAAGAACTGTCTGAATTGTTAGCTGTTGTGAATTTACTGTTGATACCTAATGAAAAAGTATTATGTCAATTTACCTCAAAATTTAAACATGTTCAAATAATGTCAAATAAATAAAATATTTTGGTTTCCAGTTTTACTGACAACAGCTCAGGGAAGCATTCAATCATATCCTAGCAATTATTACCATCAGCTAGCTAACATTACTGATAGAGTTAGCTGTTGTCCATCCAGAGCTAATGAGTTATAAAATATGTTTTTTTTTTATATATGGACTTATGCCCCTTCAGATTTGCCACCACTTTTGTATCTAAAGTTGCGATTCAATCGAGAAGCATTGAAGTGAAAACCATTTGTCAGATATCCTTCATTTATACAACTGACAAAGTGAAACATATCCAAAACATTATGATGAGTATGATGATCATTTGTGCTGCTGACCCTGAGCATGAGGTCAGATGAAATTGGTATATGAGTTACTAAAGAAAATTCTTAGGCCAAAATAATATAATTTGGCAATTATTATATTAAATAAAACATGGAGTTTTTAAGAAATGATGATGACATTGTTGAAAAATAACAGAGGGTGAAGAGCATTTTGATTTATTGCAGGTCTAAGAACAATGTGTGGGTAAGACAATGTGGTGCGACCTTGGGACGATTATGCCCCAACCACACAGAGACAGAGCTCTACAGAGGACAGAGTACATCATCAAAGGTACATAAAGACATGCTTAACCAGGGCGATTCATATCATCAATACCTGTGTCCTTCGTTAGATTTTTATACCATTATGAGAACTTGAAACAAGTATTATTAGAGCTTACATATACTCATCAAATAATTTGCACTTTTTAGGGAACTCATCATCTGTGGTCTGTACCCGTGCTGTCTTTCCAGGACGTCGCCTATCACTTCCGTGTCTCCCTGTCTGTGAGTAAAATTGGCTTTCAAAATAAAAGGGGTTTCTAGACACTGTACTGTAGCTCTGTGCTTCCTTTGTGTGGTCTGATTCATTAGTTGTACACTTGGTTAATGGCTGTTCATTATGTCTTTTGTCTCCCCATGTTTTTCATTAACAGAGTGAAGTGAGCTGTGCCGCTGAAGGAGAAAACTCATCCTCTGACTACCATCTTCTTTTTCAAAGCAACTGTGCGTGAAAAAAGAAGAGGACATGTCCCAGTGTCTTTACATGCTCACATTTTCCTTTATGGTTCCATTTGTACGTTGTTGGGATGGGATTGGTTTTTGGTCTCCTTATTGTACATTATTTTAAAGATATCCATACAGAACCCACTATATTACACCTTCCCCATCGTTATCCCATCTACATGTACATGCATTAAGACATCTCTTTTTGCTGTGATCACTGGAATATAAAACACTGTTCTTTTTTTTTCTTTTGTCACTGAAAATGTTTTCGATCACTTTAACCTTGTTGTTTCATTGTTAACTACTCTTGTGTAAGTTATGCCTTGAGTTTCTTGCTCATTTATTCAATGGTCACGATGTCATTTGTACTTACATTAAGCCATAATTATTTTTTAGCCAAATTCAAGTTTCCTAATGAGTTACAAGCTAAGATACTGTGGAAAACTCTATGCACATTTGCATATTTTTTTATAAAATGAATTTTAAAGTACACCGAAACCAACAAATAAACACTGATTAGTATTTTTTTACACTGGAAAGAAGATGGTTGACTTCTGCTGAAGGCCTCAGTGAATGGTTGCATCTTACACTGAAAAGATACCTCAGTAGTGCACGCTGGCAAATCCTGAGTCTCTACAGCAGAGCATAGTGTAGTATTAAGATGGGCATATACATTTGAAGACCACTGAGTCCTTTTCATTAAAGGTGATTCCCTTGATCAAATGTGCTATGACTGGAAATAACTCTGGAACATTAAAAGTAGAAACACTGAAAGCTTTAAGCATCTGATCGTAGAAATGCAACAAGTCCAACACTGACAACATTTCAAGAAACACTGGAATAGCTTAAACTGTATTTCACTAACTGTGCAGAACACTGGGGAGGCAGAAATGGCAGATTACACTTTGTGCGCATGTTCAATCCATTCTTGTAAATGGGACATCTCAGCTCAGCGGCAACTCGAATGCTTCTTCAGCTTTGAAAATGTCATTTTAATATCTGGTTCATAAAGCTGAAAAAAAGAATTGAAACTCTAGAAGTAAAATGGACTTCATACACTGGCCTTATTCGTGACTTTATCTGGATATTTTTTTTTCCTGTGCCTATACAATTAAGAATATAACATTAATAAAAAAGAATAACAATTTAAAGATAACTGATTTGTATAGTGTTTTATCTTCCATTATCCTTTCTTGTTTTGAGGCATTATTGTGTTACGCTCTATTCTTTTGTAAAATTGGTTGAAATGTTTGTTTGAATCCATATCCCTTATGTGTCTGTATTCAAAAAGAAAAAAAAACACACAATAGTGTATGTCAAATGTTAAATCAATATTACATAGGAAAAACAGCCATCAGACAAAAGTTTATGGAAGTTAGCAGAATATTAAGACTGTAAAATGCTTTGACTATTATAATTATGACTTCAGTGGGTAGGTAGCGGGTACTATTTTAGCTTATTTATAATGCACCAGATAGCATAATGAAACCACTGTAGCACTTTTGCACTGTCTTTATGAAACGCTGTTGCTCTATTCAGTGCAGCAGACTGTTTTCATATACTCTGGTAGAACTGCATTACATTTAACTGTAAAGCTTCATTGTGTTACTACCAGTGCTCCTTTTTATCTGATATGTTTGACGATATTGTTTTTAAAGTGTATTTGTTTGTTTGTTCTTGTAGGCTACCATCAATAATATATCAACGTTTATCTAATGGAGCCCAGAAATGATGAATTAGAATATAAACATGTAAACATATACACACACATACACGCGCGTGCACACACACTAGCACTATTTCTTTAAACAAAAATGCCATAACACTAAAAGAACGTTGAATATATTCTAATATCATTACTTTTTGTAGCCCATGTATCATAACATTTGTAAACCATTTTGTCAAAAAAATATGCTGTAATATTATGAAGCATGTAGTAAATACATTTTTGATTGAATTTTCGGTTGTCTCTGATTTTTTAAATGCTTTATGTCAGGGGTGGGCAACTGGCGGCAACTGGCGGCCACATGCGGCCCCCATCAACCCTCAATGTGGCCCTCAGGTCAATTAATTGGAAACATGGAAGAAAACTTGACAAAATCTGCCATGAATTCATGAAAACCAGAAATATGTCCATAATAATATTTGATCACTGGTATATGTTGAGTTAAATTTGAGACATAATTGACAGTAATAATTTTTGTATCCTACAATTTGGCCTTCTGGCAGTGAGAATTAAATGAATGTGGCCCTTGCTGTGACCAAAGTTGCCCATCCCTGCTTTATGTGATAAATAAATCAGCGCAAATTTTCCATTTTGTCCGTTAGAGGGCAGCAAAACACTTTCTTTTCTGTCTCATAAATTGATACCCTAAATTTAGCCTCTCAGATAGCTTATCCTTCACATTTGCATAACAACAAACTTTAAATGTCAAATGTTTGTGGGAAAAAAAACCAGAATGTATTGTTGTTGATTACACACGGTCTATGGAAAAGAAAAACGCCGCTGTAGAAAAACGGCGAGACATTTACAAAGCCCGAGGGAGAGAAGCCTGCGAGGCAAGTTGAGGACAAACTATACGTCAGTTTAACGTCATACGTCAGCTGTACGTCACGATGAACCAGGAAGCGTTAGACAGTACGTGGCCTTTTCAGCTTGGACCATCTAAACAGGAGCTCCACTTCATTACAAAATGGTAGTATTACTTATCTTTATCTTGTTTATATGAGTTGAAATGTGTAAATTAAAATTATGTACAACGATGTATGGCTTATATGTCTACGTTATCACCTAACAATGCGTTTTCTGCGTGAAGTTATAATGTATTTAGCTGCAGACTAGCAGAGGATCGCTAGCTTTCCATTGCAAAATGTTTAGTTAGGCGGTCTATTACAAGTAAATCAGTGTTTCTTGCACTTTTCTTTAATGAAATAACGCGTTAAACTACAGGTAGATCATCGTGGAGGTGATGTAGCTTTCTAACCTGCTTGTAATCTACACTATTCATGTTCTGGCTGCAGGAACTCGAAGCTATGACCAGATACACCAGCCCGGTGAACCCGGCGGTGTTCCCTCACCTCACAGTCGTCCTGCTGGCCATCGGCATGTTCTTCACTGCCTGGTTCTTCGTGTATCCTTTCACCACTTGTTTCACTTCACAATGTTTGTGGTAGACATAAAAGAAGGTAACATAACCAGAGACTTATTAGGCCAATGCGTAGTAGCAACCTGCTGTTAAGGATCATATCAGAGGCTTTTCTCATGTTTTTACCCAGCCACTAAAACATGATAGTGTTACAAAAATGTGCTATTGCTGCTAATTGCTTAAATTAACATAAAAAAAACTATAAACCAGGGGGTCTCCAACCTTTTTTCATCTGAGAGCTACTTTCAAAAAAAGTGGCCAAGGGCTACTTGGATTTATTTACATATCTCAGCTGAATGAAGCTGCTGTTTGTACATGTGTGAAATTGCTTAGCAATAATCTGAAATTCACATGAATGTCCAAGAAAACATTATTACTTCACACTTGTTTTTATGGGCCAAATATATGAATAGTGGTAAGAGGTGCATTTACCGTCGTCAGATTTTTATTTTTTATTTTTAACAGTCGGTCAACCTGTAGGTGAGCTTCTGGAAACCTGCCTGTGAGCTACCAGTAGCTCCCGAGCTACCTGTTGGAGACCCCTGCTATAAACAAACCATACCACATGTGTTTTTGTTTTCAGAAGCCTTCAATGAACTAACTGGTTTCAACGTATTTCACAGTTCCATGGTCTGGTTACGATGTAGGAGCCCATCACAACATGCAGCCTTTTGACTTTTACTTGTATAAAAACACACTGCCATTGCATTCACTTTCCACGCAGTACTCCCATGTAAAGTGGAAGCGTCTTTATGCTGTACTGTTAGAGAAATACACTCTCACAGTCACATACAGGTGATCCAGAAATGTATGTCTTAACACTATGAAACACATCCTCACACTTCTCTGAGAAGGGATTTTTAGATATGAGATTGAAACCTACATTTTACATAGTTATGCAGTATGTGCTTATTATCATAAATGTAACTATTCATAAGGCACAATCGTTGACACATGTCGAACAAAGAAAACACAAGTTAATTTAAGATCGAAGATTGGAACCAAGACAAAGACTAAATCTTAGTCTTGTATAGGTTTGAATCATGATCTGACTGTGGAAAACATCGGGACACTTTTGAAGTGCATGCTGAACAAATGTTTGTCAAGTTTAACTCAAAGAATTGGTCATCTTTATTTTGATCACCCCATGGAGATTTCTGTAAATGTGAATAAAGATTACAGGATGACAGCACTCAAAGTAAAATATGATTAGGGAAATTAGGGCTGGGAATCTTTGGGTGTCTCACAATTTGATTCAGAATCTATTTTCAATTAAAAAAAAAAAAGATTCTGGATCCATGGATTCAAAGTCTATTTTTGAATTGGTACATACTTCACGATCTACTCCAGTCATCTGTGAGACTGCAAAATGACGCAGCAAGAAATTCAGCCATTCTACTGAGTTAGAGAGCTAGCCTTAGCACTGAGCAGGGAGTGACTGATGAGCCAAAAAAATTAATTGATTTTTGGAAGTTAAGATAAGAATCTCGATTTTTACATAAATCGATTTTTTTCCCATCTCTACTTAAAATTGAAGTATATATATCAGGAGGTATTTCAGCTCCAAACACAACTCCACGCTTGGTTGTTCTATTTTACGAGCTCATCCTTAACCCTCCCCCAGCTACGAGGTGACATCAACAAAATATACCCGGGATGTCTACAAAGAGTTACTGATCTCCCTTGTGGCATCACTTTTCATGGGCTTCGGTGTGCTGTTCTTACTACTTTGGGTTGGGATCTACGTATGAAGGTATGTTTAAGGTGTTATTAATGTCTAGTTGTGTTTGATTTTTCAATAACTGAAAGAGTTTTGTAGTTAACTTCTCTCTCTTGTTTCCTGCAGTTCGTGGTGACTGATTTGAAGAGTAACACATTCCAGAGGAGCAACACCAAACCCGACACAGACTGGATTTAATTGGACTGCACTGACAATAATATGCGATTATGTGGACTTTGGTTTTCTCGTCACAAGTAAAGGGGATTTGTAAAACTTCTGGTGTGTTTTATTGTGAACCAATGTTGGAAATTATGAATGGATCTCAACATCTTTAAAAAAAAAAATCAGTAATATAAATGTTGACAGTCTAGAAGTTCACTGTAATTTAACCTGTCAAGTGGTCGGGATAAGAAGGTTACTTTGAACCACTGAAGACTATTTATGGTGCGTTTTACTAGTGGCGCCTAAAAGCTCAATCCCTGATTAATCTCGGCGTTAAAAATAGAGCAGTCTGTTTCACCTTGTGCCCAGGATAATACTCTCCACGCTAGTGATGAGAGATTACACGGGGATTAGACATGGATTATTTAATAAAAACAACAGGAAGACCATTCAAAGATCCCTGCTCAAAGACAACTGGGTACATATGAAAATTGGCTTATTAAAAGTATGTTAACCATGTAAACAGCTCAAACTAACCTTACAAGGCAAAACAACCCAACAGGTTTCCTCCCTAGTTGAGAATAACACACTTTCATTAAAAAAGAACTATAACAATACGTTTTTTTTTTTTTACAAAAGGTACAGCATAACAGTCACAATCAAACTAACTGCATCTTCAACATTGTTTCATTATGTCTGCAACACAAACGGATTAACCAAGGCCACAGAGATAAGAGCCAATCCTGATTAATACAATACTGTCACGTTAGACTTACCTGCCAATGTAAACCATTTGACTGGCTCAATGCCAGACTATCCAGAGGCAGTAGACAAAAATAATGGATGACACTTTGTCTCAGCCCCTTGACCTGTTAGTGAGTTCCATCAGATTTCTAAGTGAGCACTTTGCTTGTGCCATATGTTCATGGGTATGATGCATTTCTTCTTAATATAAAAACAGTCCAAAATGTCCTACAGCTGATGGTGATCTCAAAAAGTCCCTCTTCACTGTCGAGCTCTTGCGAAGGCCTCTCGCAGCCACAGAGAGTCCTCGTACAGCCGTGGGTCTCCCATATACTCTGCTGTGCGTTTGTATAAGTAGTAATACAAAACAGCCACTGTCAACAGAAAGAAGTAAAGTTACTCAATGGCCACAGCGGCTGCAGAGATGGATAAGTGAATGAATCCGCTAATTACCTGTTCTCTGGAAAACAAAAAGAGCTTGAAGACCGTCAGTCCAAATAAAACGGTTTGAGTCGAGCCACCTAAGGTTCTAAAAAATAAAAGAAGAAAAAAATCTGTTATAGATTTGAAGTGATGAAACTTGTGCACAGTTTTTTTTTTTAACATGGATGATTTCACTATTAGTGTGTGTATAATGGTGTGAAGGAGCATACCAACACCCAGCTGTGGAAGCAGATGCTGAGGGTCAGGTACAGAGCCGAAAACATCAGCAGAACCCTGAATCTCTCCACTAGCAGGGACACCAGGCCGACCTGGAACACGTAGGTGTTGAACATCATCAGCAGGATGATGATCACGTTGAACAAGATGGCAATGTCCTGGATGCTGCAGACGCACATTTGACTGGTTAATCATGGAGTTTGCTGTGTGTCATTAGAATTCTTATAATTGCAGCAGTATAGTGTGAACAAAGTACATTGTTTTAAGGTTAATCAACAAATAAAAATAAATCCTGTATGGCGCCTGACAACTCAAAATAACTATGGAGCTCTGATAAAATAAAAAAATGTTCATTCCTTGACCAGAACATTTTGAGCTGTTTATTTAAAAGGATATACAGAAAAGACCTAGCTTCTTGATAAAAACTTCAGTCACAGGGAGGCGTTTCATTAGTGTTATTATGAATACAGTGATGGAAAATGAAATGTTGGTCTAACAGTTAAATTATTTCTTACATGCAAGAGCCCCTGGAGCTCTACAAATGATCTGAAAGAAGGGAAACCAGGGGGTTTCTCTTATTATTACATTTCTTATAGAAGGGGAGAGCATATTCATTTTCAATTTAGTCCTCACTAGTGACACCATACAACTAAGTTAAAGGACTTTGGAAGTAAATCTCTGTCCTAAGCAACTGTACAACAAAGAATCTTGTACATCTGCTTTAAATGTTTGCTGCCATTTCATTAAAACTAAGAGTTTCTTTGGAAATCATAAAAATATTTGGATGTAGTCCACCTCTCCATGTTGACACTTTATCATCATCAGTATCTTGTACTGGTTAATCAATTTATATAATATTTATAATAATTGTAAAATACACTAGAATATGTACACATACACATGTAAAATAAATACTTGATAATGATGTGAGGGGAAGCAAGCAAGCCTGCATGGTTCAATAAAATCAACCTTTGTTTTCTTTTTATTCTACTTGAGAAACTTAATGTAACTTAATTAAGCAGGAATCTATTTTCAGTTCATCTTCTACTAACTGACTGATATACCAACTAATGATTTGGGAACGTAGTCCAGTGACTTACATGAAAAGCACTAGTTGGATGACAGGCGCTGCCCTCAGGAGTTCACTGAAGGAGTTGACAAAGAGGTCATAGGCCAAAAGTGTCAGCTGGATGAGCAGCACCAGAGAGTAGTTACCAGACTGCAGCATCTTCAGGGGCTGGTTCTGCAAACTACCAAACCTAAGAGTCTATCCTCCTCCACACTCCCGCTGGGTTCTTTGCATGGACAATAAGCAGGTACCTGTTGGTGAAGTCTTTTTGTTCTTGATTCAATCCCTACATAGTTCAGTACATCCTTTAAAAAAAAAAAAAAAAACACACTGCAGATGTCTGGGAACAGATAAACTGACTCAATAATTTCCAATTGACATAGTCAGAAACTGATAGCTTTCCATCAAAGTGATCAGATTGTCTTCACTCGGGCTTGTTTCTCGGTTCAAAATCATGCTGCTTGTTGTCCACTGAGAAAAAAAATATCTTGTTGATGTTTGCAGGAAATCCAAGACATCCGATCAGTTGTTAAACATCCCTACAGAGGTGCATGTTGACATCTTGGGAGAGTCTCAAAGTGTGGATTCCCTGTGAGGACGGAGAGAAAACGATGTAAAGCAACACTGTTGTACAATTAAGGGGGATGGGTGCAAAGTAGTTTGTTTTCCCCTCCGAAGCGTAATCAAAGATTTAGCCACCATTTCAATTACAGAAACATTTTGAATGTTGGAGTTTCTGTTTCAGTAAACAGCAGTAATCCTAAACATGTAACCACAAAGGGTCAACTTATAGTCAGTCTATTACAGAGGCAAGCATGGTGAGGTCAAGACAGGGATTATAGATTAATTTCGCCTACACGGCCACCTCCTCTTGTTTTGTTGTTATGGTTAAACACTCCCCGGCTTTCGTTTTACGCATCCAACCTACCCATGACGATTCAGCCCTGGCTAATAAAACACTTCCAAGACGGATTGTAGATTGACTACAACTGACTGTATTTCCAACAATCCTGTTTTTCCACAACAAAACACTCGTATGGCACTGACCCAGCTCAGATGTTTAACCTCGAGGAACTCCCTGCAGACACATGCTTTCTAGTTAACCATCAAAACATTGCACAAGTAACATTTTCAAATCTAACTTTCTAACTTTAACCGATACCGACCTTATCAGGGGAAAAAACACAGCAATTCACGCTATGCAGAGGGAAGAATAGCTGAACGAAATGATTTAAATCCCATTTCTTATCCCCCGAAATGCGAACCGTTCGGAGAGTCCACTGCGGCTTTTCCGCGGTAACGTATGCATTTCCTTGAATTCCATGGTAACGCTTCTACTTACCGTAATACCAGACATATACGTTCTCTGAATATTACAAAAACAAAATCAACAACTAAAATAGTACAGAGGAAAACACCACATTTCGGTGCTGTGTTGGTTAAAAAAAAAATGTATTCGTTTTAAGTAGAAAGGGTTGAATAGAAAAGTAGGTAAATGTTTTTTGGGCAGAGAGAAATGAGGTGGGCTTGTGGGCTTCATCAATCATTACGGTAAACGTCGACAGGACGAGGTCACACTGCCACCCAGCGGTGTGAATCAGTACATTCCTAAACTGAAACACTGTGAGGTGTTCAAAGGTAGTGGACACCTGCGTCCAGCACTACACTCCCAGGTGAGTAGGAAAAGTTCCGACAACTTCGTTTATTTTGATATCAGATATTGTAATATTAGTCATGCATATAGCGTTTATGTTCACCTTCGCTCCGTTATGATACATTTACAACCGAATAGCTGCTGTGCTGCGTCCTTTTCTCCTTTATTAATAATTAAAATGTGGACAAGGTAACATGATTATCTCTGTTTTTGGGTTCTCTAGGTAGCTACATCGTATGCAAGGTATTTCAGTCGTACAATATTTTAGTGCTGGGTTTCAGTCAAACTTATTGGTACAGTCAAAAACACTTAATCTGCGTTTCACAACCACACTGTCTGTTTACTTTGCTGTTTTGTCATTGGGGCTGTTACAGTGTTTTCAGCGCAGCATATGTTTCAAACTAACCCAAATAGTCACAGTGAGAATGGTGTCATGGGGAACTTATGCACAGAAAGTGTTTAACCTCTTAAATTTGAATGACAATTTTGTAGCCTACAGCAAGTAACACAGTCTTTAGTAATGTCTGGTCACTTTCGCTGAGGCTTACTTTGCTTGTATTGGTGTGTACGTTTATCCGACCTTTGGCTTTGCTGTTTGCTTATTGGGAGACTGGCGTGACTTTAAGAATTCCTTAACATATGGTGTTTACACTGGTGTGTCTCTTATCTGTCTCTAGTGCTACAAGGAAGATTTAAAGGATTCATAAATTTACAGTGAGATGCTTACCTGTCCATTATCAGTACAAACTTCATTTTGTTGTGCTTTTTATTTTTAAAAACACATTTGAGTCTTTATGCTGATGTTCTCTTTTGATATTTTACCTAAAGTCAGCTTATGTGTGAGGCTTCAGTCTGTCATAAATCACTGTTTTATGAATGATCAGAGAGATACTAAGGCAAATTTTTTTCCCCAGTAGCTTTCTAGAGCGAAATTACTTTGCAATTGTGGTATTTCTGGCAATGCAAACAACTGCAAATGTTTGATTTGCATCTCCTCTCCCCTGGCTATCCACCCTCCCCTTCAAGTACACAGTAACTCTCTCACATGACGCCATCCTGTTTTTTTTATCTGCCCAACATCCTGGTGTGCAGTCATGGACACTACCAGTAGCAGCATCCTGTTTTTTTTTTTTTTTTATAACTTTTCCTTATCTAAATAAACATTGAGAATAATTGTTTATCTTGCAGGATGCTAAGACTAGATGTCGTGTCTTCTCTAGAAATTTATATATCTAGGATGTGATTATGTAAAATAAGATGCCATCATCTAGGAAACCTAAAACTTTTATACAATCTTAAGTGCAAACATGTCTGACAGCTGATCACAGTAGCTGTAGATAGTGTGTTTAGTCACAGTTTAGTTTGTTCTGTACTTTATGTTTGACAAGGGAGGTCCTGTAGGGCCAGCTTCCCACAATATATTGCAGCACAGGAGAACATCATATTTCCTTATTGATTCTAAGGAAAGTAAAAGTGAATGTCTTTGCTTTTGCCTGAGACTGGTGGTATCTAATAAAAATGCGTAAACAAAAAAGCAAACACAAGAGACCTTTCATTCGTCACTGAATAACGACAATTTCTTGTTGTTCATTCAGCTCATCGACATTTATCGTTTTCAGTTATACTAATGAATTGTTCAACATTTGAAATGGGAAATGCAGTAAAACAATAATGTCCACCATAACCTCCATGGTGATGTCTTTTAACATGTTACTTTACAAAGACAAACAGGACATCCTCTCATTTAAGAAGGAGTATTTAGTAAACAGTTCCCTTTCCCCCGAGGATTTAAAAAAATCTGAATGGTTGCAAATTCTCAGCAGAATAACTTACTGCTACTGCTGAATTTTGGTGAATTGTTTGAGCTATTTTACAAACAGAACTGGTTAAAATAAGGCCAACAAATATCTGACCTCAGCAAAATGAGCATGACACAAATGAGCATTTTTCGTTCTTTATTGTCCTTTTTTTTCCGTCGAGTATCAGTATGAACTGAATAGCATCAGGTTTTTGATTGGCTTAACCACACATGATCACTTCTTCGTCAAACGATTAATCAATGTATTGCCTAATCACCTCTACTCTACTTCTCATGTTTCTCTGGAAAAAAAAAAGAAGCTAAGAAATGAACAATTACCCAGACCTGTCTCTGTCTCAGCAGTCATGTCTCACTGGCTAAATGACGGTGAGGTGCTGGTGGCGCAGGGCTCTGGTGAGACAGTACCAGTGAGCCCCAGAACGCGAGGCCTTCCACCTGGAAGCCCCAAGCCAGGACGGGGACGCAATCCATTATCTTCACCCAGCGCCAGAGAGACAGTGCCAGGAAGCCCGCAGGTTGAGACCATGGGCAAGGCCAAAGAGCTCTTTGTGCTGTGCGATAAAGAGGGGAAAGGGTTCATCACGAAGCGGGACATGCAGGTGAGCACCCAATATTGTAATAACAATAAAAATGACAAAAGTAAAGAAAACGGCAGGTTCTGAATTATCCAATTTGTTTTGATCAGAGGCTACAAGGGGAGTTGCCGCTGTCCCCTGAACAGCTGGAGACAGTGTTTGAGAGTCTGGACAGACAAAGCAATGGATTCCTGACTCCAGTTGAGTTCAACACAGGACTTGGTGAGTTAAGTTTTTTTCCGAGACCACTAAAGCCCTGTGATGTCTTTGAGGACAGCTTGTGTTCATTAACAAATGTCATGCTCCCTGTCTGTGGTGCAGGAGGGTTGATGGGACTGGAGGACACGACTGAGCTGGATCAAGAAGAACAAGAACTTCATACAGAGCAGGTTGACTGGAGTCAGGACCCTGCTGCAGTCAGATTTGTCAACATACTGATGGAGCTTGGTGCCGAAAGACTCCTCAGAGAGTAAGATCGTGCGCACGGACTCAGTCCCAACAAGGCTGTAGTATAAAGATCTCCCCACAACCATATTCAAAAGTATCACCAGTTTCTAGGTATACCTAGCTAAGGTACTTGTTGAATACTCAAGAATAGAAAATACATAGGCAAAGAAATACATGATGCATTACCTCCACATTTAAAAACTGTCAAAAAGACAAAACTGGAATAGTTCTTGGGGGTAAAAAAATCCACATGACATTAAAGCATTCTCTGCCACTATAAACATTTCATATATACAAGTCTTATCCATACTTATGGGTGATAAATCTAAATCTGTATCCCGTCTCCTAAATTGAATCATTGGTTTGCATATCTTAAAGAATCTTTTTTTTGTGGATGTCATGATAAAGATGCATGATATATGCAGCATCTCTTTTAATGCGTTCAAACAAACCTTGTCTAAAACTCCAATGAAACTCCTGATATTTGCAGCATGAGCTACATGTGTGAATGCAAACAGGCTGCCCCTTCCGCGTTGTTGTTTTTACATCACGTCTTGCCTCAGGAGACCCTCCGCTCCCCTCCCTTCAGTCTCATGCTGTAAGGTGCATAGATGAACAACCAGGTCAGGAGGATTTCAGGAGCAGTCCTCCTAAAATTCTCTCAGAATTTTCAGGAGTGCATACGTGAAAACGGCTTTAGTTATGCGGTGCTGTCCTCAGTCACTTTATAAGTTGTATGTCTTGCTGTTTGTTGTGTGTCAGTCAGCAGGACCTTTGTTCTCTGTGGTGTGACCTCCAGAGAGAAAGACCAGAGCTTCTGAGTGTCCTGGAAGATGTCTTGATCCACGCTGTGTCCCATTTACAGGACTCCGTCAGAGAGAGAGACAGTCTTGAACAAGCTTTACGCAGGTCCACAATTCCCTCTCCATTCCTCTGCAATCTTAACACGATACATACATGTGACTTTCCATATTCAACGGTGAGTAATCAGATTGTGTTTTCTCCTAATTATCCCCCTCTTAGGCGGGAGAGTGAACATGATCAGGTTGTTCGTTCCATATATGAAGAAATGGAAACCCAAATCCAAGAGCATAGAGAGAAACTGCTGGTTCAGGTATAGATGCATGCAGCATTTGTCCATTTAACAAAAGTGAACTTCATAATAGCATACTGTATTTTTTTTTGTGTGTGAAATCAAGGACAGTGTCAGACACAAGCAGAAAGGGCATCAACTTGAAGAGGAGCTGAAGATAAAAGACCAAGAGCTGGAGATTACAGTATCGAAACAGAGAGAGGTGAGAGTTTATATAGTGACAGTGTTAAAACTAAAGAGTTAGTTTATGTGTGAATCAACAGGAGTTCTCTTTGTTCTTAGCTGGAGACCAAAATCAGGCAGCTGGGCTGTGAACGGGAAAACATTAAGCAGCAAAACCAGCAGCTGCGGAACCTCAACATGCAGCTTCAGGAGCAGGTGGAGAGCAGCAGAGAGCAGCTGCAGAACGCTCTGGGTCAGCTCAGCCTGCTGCAGCTGAATGAGGCCCAGGAACAAGTGGACCGACAGAGGTGAGCTTGTGACAGCACAAGAAGCTGCCTGAGTGTCCGGAGTATGGGATCAGAAGTTTACATCACGAATCCACATCCATTGTTGGTGACAATATTACAAATAAGCATAATTTTCCATGTCAGACATGTTTAAAAAAAGGCAAAACTCTATATTCAAATGACTCCTAGCACTGCAGGTGATCTGATAATATTTCTGAGAATACAAGGAGCTGCTGGGGGGGGGACAAGATGTGCAGAATTCTGTGTTTGTTATCCAGTAAAAGACCACACCATCATTTTATACTGCAAGTCTTAGTGCTCAATTTATGCTAACTTCCAATTTTCATAGTTAGCTTTGTGGCTAAATTCAGAAGTAAAAGATTCCAGCATTCTGTAATTTTTTTTGCCATTAATTCTTCTGTGAAAGAAAAAATACAGATCTGAGTCACTTATCTAGAAAAGAAATCTGATTTGTCACCTTCCTTCTCGAGTCTGAACTGAGCCTGTTTGTTTTTCTGTTTTTTTGTTTAGGGTAAAAAAAAATTCTCCACACGTGTCTTTTAACAGACAGTCTTTTTTTTCTTCATTGTAGAAGTGTGATGAAGGTGTCAACAAACATGCAGAAAGAGAAGGGCAGTCTCTTAAGACAACTGGAGATATTGAGGTCAGTCCAAACTTGTTTCTCTGCAACATGTGTAAAAGAAAAGAGTACCTGTGAACCAATGACATTTCCACTTATGTTCATTTTGAACCACTTCTGGAAACTCATCTGTGACTCAATGCTTTTCTGTGTGTGTGTCAGGGATATGAACAAAAGGCTGCGAGACGACAAAGATGCCCAGCACACTCAGAAGAGGGTCAGTTCCAGATACAATGGCCTTCCTGCTTTTCCATTAACTTATTACCTCAGTGAAGACCTTTGCCCATCCTGGACTCAGCAGATTTATCCAACATAAGCTAAGTCCAGGAATAGCGTCATGCTTTATTATTTATATGGGCAGCTGTTACTCATTGGTTATGGATTGTGTTAATCGACAACACTGTGGGATTTATACATGTCAGCAATGTTTCTCTCTTGTAGACGGCTAATGTGTGAACAGTTTTGTTGAAAAGACATTTATTCTGTCCTGTGTCAACTTGAAGGAAATAGTCTTTAATATATTTATAATGATACTGTTTACAGCACTATTAAGAGGGACTACAGTGGGTCAGTATTAACCATCTAATAAAATCAATCATCAAAATTCTTTAAGGAGTGACCATCTTTATTCCACTCTCAAGAAAAAACAAATGCCCGGTAAAGGGTTGCACTTTTACTGGACATTTGAACTTCTGAAAAACCCTTTCAATCAAGGTTTCTAAAAAAAAAAACCTCACTAGAAATACAATAAACATCTTTCAATGAACTATTCATTCTTGTATGTTTGTCTTGCACTATGATTTACAATCAAATAGATGCATTTCAGTGGCTGAAGACCTGGAAAGGGTTCGATCTGTGGCCCCTTTCCCACATACAATTCCCCACTCTCTCTCCCCCCAATTTCTGATTCTATCCACTGTCCACTTGTCGCTTCAAATAAAGGAATAAAAAGCCCAAAAATTCAAAATAAAAGCATTTCTGATAAATAATTATTTGAAAAATCTTTGCAGCAGAATAAATGTCCCTTTAAGCTTCAGTTTTTGCTTTTTTGAAAGTACATACAAAATATCTTAGTGTGCATCATTTTATCATTTAGAATGAAAAGGGAACATAACATATTTAAACAAAAAAAAAATGTACATGTTACTTATTTCTCCCATAAAACCTTTCAGAGTCCAATCGTAAGACCACCTTTACTGAAGAAAGGCTCAATAATAGGTAACTACTTGCTGCAAGACAATCTGCTGAAAAGGTTGGTATGACTAACAACAGCATCTTCTGTCACATTCATCAACTCTGCAGAAGCTCCGGGCAGACTGACACAGACAGAAACTAATTTTTGTCTATTCATTAATTGTGAAGACAGCTGAGCTCATCCGATGAGTTGGAGCAGGACAAAGACGAAGGGGTGACAAATTCATCTAAGAGACACCAACCGTCATGTATAGTCAGGGGTGACAGTGTTGAACAGATGCAAACTCAGGTAGGGAACAAATGAATTTTATAGATACACACACAAAAAAAGATCTAAATGATTAAGATGGTACCCTGAGGTTTTTGTATGCTTTAGAGCAATAATGGAGTACAGATCTGTACAATGTGCATCCTCTTGAAAGCAAAGGAAAAACATCTTACACCACAAAGTTGAGTTTGGTGCCTTTACCTGAATTCTAGAGCAAAATGATCAGTCCTCAGCGAGTGTTCAAGCTGGTTTTCCTGGGAAACTCGGGGGTGGGTAAGACCTCCTTCATCCAGCACTACTGCAAAGGACACCTCCAGAGTGAAATGAGAGCTACTGTAGGTGAGCTTTTTTTTTTTTGCTTTCGCTGTTTCTCATGATTAACAAGCTTCTCTTTGTATACTGTAGGTACAAAACCATCCATTTCTGTTGTCTCTAGGTATAGATTTCCAGATGAAGACTCTGACTCTGGGCTCTACCTCCATTACCCTGCAGCTCTGGGACACTGCAGGACAGGAGAGGTCAGATATAATGTAGCATATTACAGATAAGTGACCTCGTGTGGCCCGCTGTGCAAAAGAAAACATAATTAAGGACCATTCTGGATATCTTTTTTTTTTGTTTGTTTCTGTCTTCACAAATGTGTGTCAGGTTTCGCAGCATCACTGAGCAGTACTACAGAAAGGCTGACGGCATCCTGGCCATGTATGATATCACTGAGTCTGCCTCCTTCACCGCTATCAGAGGATGGATAGACTCTGTGAAGGTGAGCTCTCCTGATGGGTGCATGGGAAAGAAAACATGCAAAACTGTTTTGTCCTCATTTGAATACACATACAGGGAATGTACTATACTTCCCATGAACCTTACAGACACTAAACTCAGGAATAAATCTCAACTTTCAATCTTCCTTTTGTGTCAGGTTGATTTTAGCAGATTTGTATGTAGATAATTAAATAGCTTCCTTCATAAAAGATGTATTTTGCTTCAGTTTTCAACACTGAAATGTGTGTTTTCTACCCTGACGCGTGTCTGTAACAGGAGAAGATGTGTGATGGAGCTATACTGATGCTGCTGGCCAACAAGGTGGACCTATCAGAAACTAGAAAAGTGTCGACAGTGGAGGGACAGAGACTAGCAGAGGTGAATATTCGAGGCACATTTGAATATTCAAAAAATGTTTGCAGTGATTTGCTCGTAAGGTTAACACAAAGTAAGGAACTTAGACTTTAAATCAAATAGGATAAATTAACTAATTTCTTTTTGTTGGTTTTTACAGCAGCATCAAGCTTTTTTTTACGAGTGTAGCGCAAAAACTGGATGTAACATGGAGGAGCTGATGACATCACTGGCTGGGTATGGAGTCTTATTTCTTCAGCGTTTGTTACTCACTGCTACACGTTTGTATCTTCTGTGTTGGCAGATTGATTGTATCGTTAGTTTGACTCTTACTCTTACTTTACATTCGTTTAGCATTTTTAAGTTATGCAGTCTAATACAGCAGCAATGCAAAAAGTCCTACATTTATTTTAAATTTAAAGAGACATGCTATCTACACACCTTCCCCGAGCCTCTGATATCTTAAGAAAGCTTGTTTTTTTCTGGCTAACAGTTTTTAAAAGTTTCTTCAGATCAAAGAGTTAATAAACAATGACAAAAGTTTTCAGCAAGAATGAGAAATGATCGCCTTGTTTGCTTGATTCATGACTTAAATGGATAATCAGTTGTTGGCAGTTTTTTCAAGTCGTTATTAATCAATTGGTTTCAGTCCTTTTGGTTTATTTGATAGAGTTTTCAAAAGTTTTAAGATTGAACCATCAGCAGCATCAATCATGTTAACTGCAGACTCATTTTTTACTCCTCAAAGTATTTTAGTTTCTTCTGCACAATAATTTGTGATCATTTTCTTATTTTAGGATGCTAGTTTCCCAGCATGATCGACAGTGTGAGGATGCACTTTTACTGACAAAAGACCCTGTTCAAAGAAGCTGCTGCACATAAAAAAAAAAGGAAAGGAAACTCCCTGTGAGCACCATGGCCCTTTGGTTGTACATGTGTTTGTTGGGACTGTTGGACAAAGTTTTGAGGAATGTTGCTGAACACAAAAGATTTCTACCCAGGTCCTGAGGTCTCATACCTTTTATTTTAAATCAAATTTTATATGAAAATGTTTACAAGGCAGTATCTGTAATTTGCCAATTCTGTATTAACTCAATATTTCAATAAAATATATTTTTGAGGACTCCTTGCAGTCAATTTCCATGAAGAAGCTACACAATTTGTTTTAGTTCCACAACAGCTCATATGCGTGAGAAAACCAGCTGGGGGCAGCCATGTCCTCTTCACAGCCTGTGCAGGGGTGAAGCTGCCAAAAGAGGACAGGCGCATGAGTGGGAGGCTCGGGTCTGTGAGTGTCAACTGAGAACTTGCACTGTTGCAGTTAACCTTCAAAGACAGCAGTGCTTTGACACTGGGGTCGGCCGGATCTGGGAAGACGTTACCCCGATAATCTACATCCTTCAGGGCCGACCATCTAAAATCAGGTAGGAGTATTTCAGTCTCAGCGGAAAGGGAGAGCAGATTTTCCATGACACAAAGAGTTAAAAATAACTCTGATTCTCACCATTGGGAGATTTAGTTTTCAGTCACATTAACACATGAAGAGTTCTTTCTTACTGCTGTACAACAGCATTCATTATTTATGTGTTAAATAGTTATATATATTTTTTTGATATTTATCAGTTCATTTGTTTGTCTTTAAGTCAACATTATGTTGTGTTAAAGTAAGTGTTCACTGTTCAAATCAGCATCTCTCATAAAACTTGGTCACAACTTTTCTTCAGAAAGCAGTATGGAGGGTTCAGTTTGGGTTAGGACTTATTCACGAGGTTCCAGGTTAAAGTGAGAAGATCAGGTTAAGTTACTGAGATGGGGGACATATATTTCTGTCTGCTGGATGACATGTGACACAAGTTGTTAAGTATGTTTTCCCCATAACATATTTGATTTCACCTTTGAGCGCCTCCTTTTGCTCTGTGATACTAACTTTTTAATGCAGTTTGAAAAACAAGTTATCAGAACAGCACATGTATACTGTGTGGCTTGTGTCAGAACTCCACCCTTTAAATCACCTTTTCACACCAAACGTGGAACTAAAGCAGACTGAAAGAAGAAATTCCTTCATTTGTATCCCAACAGACTAGTCTCAATCAGATATCACACTAATAGGCTTAAGTTTTCTGTGAGTATGAAGATAGCGGTGATAATACTCTCATGAAAGCAGTGTTGGAAGGTATGACCTGCTCCCGGAGAAGCTCATGTTAATTTGCTCGATTCAGCTGTTTTTTTTTTTTTACGACTTTCTCAAGCGTTTTTTTATTTTTGCCTCCCTGAGGTTAAATCAACGAGGAGTGAATTCATGTGTTCATTTCTCTTTTCAGGATGGAAGCTCAAGGAGAAAAAAAGCAAACCTGTGGGACAATTTGTCTGAAATATCTACTTTTTCTCTTTAATATTCTTTTTTGGGTAAGTGTACAAATAATCATTACATTTTCTCTGCATCTAGGACAACAGAACATTCTGTATAGGGCACTGTGATAAGTTTAAATACCATAGATCCTAACTTTTATCTTTATAAACTTTTAACAGCTCTCCAATCACTTGGCAGCTTGTACAATCTGTCACCTCTAAAGTTAAATATGGGAGAAAAACAACTTATTTCTAACACATTTATATTTCACCACAAGGTTTCTGTTAGCTACATGTTATTATACAGCGTGTTTTAAAAAGAGGGAATGAAACGTAAAGTGGTACAATATACCTTCATCAAAGCTACCGTTTTAGTTTTCTAAACGTGTGTTGTCTTAATGTAAAAGTTCTTAGACATGTCTAATTTAAGGCCTTTAGGCTGACAGTGAAAAAAACAAGGCGTTGTCTCATTCGCATCTGTCTGTGTCATAACTGAAAAAAACGAAGGTGGTGCATTCTTTATGGGAGCATGTGGTTTAAATTGGGCTGATAACGTCTTCTTTCAGCTGGCAGGAGGGGCTGTGCTGGCAGTGGGAGTGTGGACTCTGATGGAGAAGAGTGACTACATCAGTTTACTCGACTCCAGCTTCTACTCCGCCTCAGCGTATATCCTCATAGCCGCTGGGGTCATCGTGATACTGACCGGGATCATCGGCTGCTGTGCCACTCTGAAAGAGATGAAGAGTCTTTTGATTGTGGTGAGGCGGCTCAGTCCCAAACAAACAGCGTCCTGTTAGTGAGACTTCAACTTTTCATTTCAAAACAACTAAAGCTTTCACCCCAAGTTTACGATGTGTAATCCGAAACAGAGAAGGACACTTTCATGTTCCTGTTCACACACACACAACCTGAAAGTTAATCCTCAGTGACCTTTTGTCCTGTCTGAGGGTCAGCTCATTTTGTCAGACAGGAACGACAGAACAGACAGAGTCATGCAGAGTGTTTCTTTAAGAGATTAGATTTAGTGTGCTACTCATGGCAGAGGAATGAGGGGCATCACAAGCGGCCGCAGACAGACAGACAGACAGACAGACAGACAGACACATGTGTGTAGTAGAGTAGTGAAAGGGTGTAATACAGAAGCAAAACCGTCCTGGCTCAGTGACATCATGTCTATTTCTATGTTCAGCACCTCCTCTTAAACGACTAACTTCTTTTACCACAGTCACATCACACATTGACAGATACTGTCAATGCTAAAATCTTAAATTCACATTTAATGTTATATTATAGAACAGAAATAAATGACAACCCCACCTGAAACCTGCTGGAATTTATATTTTTCATCATCAATTTATTATTCCTGTTTCTCTTTTCCAGTATTTGATCTTGTTGCTAAGCATTTTCCTTTTGGAGATCATTGCTGGCGTGCTGGCTTTTATTAAGTACCAAGAGGTTAGTGCTTTTCTTCAGTTTTTGTGTTTGTAAGTAACAGTTCTAAAAAATACTAATACTAAGACTAATACATCCTGATAAAGTACATGAAGCTTAACACCAGCTGATTACTTTATACATTTGTTTACCATGTAGTTTAAATCTCACTGCAGCTATCTGACTTTTTCTGTATTAAATGTGTTTCTGTTGTTTAAATAAAAAAAATATATCCCTTAACTTTATTTTAAACTCCATTCCTTAGTTTTCATCTTTCAAATTGTCTTGCCCTGCATGAAATAACTCTTGGTTGCTGCATTCTGTTATGAAATCTTCTCTGCATGCCTCTCCGAGCATGTTCTTCATTATTCCTGTTTTTCTTCATCCTTCTCACTCATCTTCTTCTCCCTCCTTTCTCTCGCTGCAGTGTTTCCCTCTCTGCTACCAGGTAATCTGCTGCCACCTGTTTCCATTTAATATCAAACTGTTTCTCCAACAGGCTGATATGAAATGGTCTATTTCACCTCTTTGTTAGGAGAGTGATTAAACTATTTAGTTTTCTTTCTTTTTGTTTAAGAAGTGTTCATGTGGAGCAGAGAACGGGGTCAGAGGAGCTTTGCTCATATCTTCTGAGTTATGTGCAGTGCAGGCATTGCACAGGTACATAAGAATGTTACAAGGGGAGGGAGAAACTTGACCACAGAGTATTTTTACTGATGGGAGGGGATTTGAAGGTGACAGATTGTTTTCCTACACTATCACTGAAGTGCTTCTCCATCCTCACAGCTGGACGAGGAGCTCAGACAGAACCTGAAGGTGACCATGCAGCAGAAATACCAGCGGCCTGGCGAGGAGAGTGTCACGCAGGCTGTGGATAAACTTCAGCAGGAGGTGTGGAAGTGAGACTAATGTGAGACTGTTTCAACCACAAGCCTTTAAATACAACAGCCACACTATGCATTTAAACTTGAAGAAGTCAGTGTCAAATGTCAGGTTGATCAAATCATTTTACATTGTAATGACGCTTCTTTGTTTCTCCCTGCACTGGATCCTGCGCTCAGTTTAAATGTTGTGGCAGTCACAACTCCTCAGACTGGATGGGCAGTGTGTGGATCCAGGCTGTAGAAAATGAGCGACTTGTCCCTGACAGCTGCTGTAAAACTCCCAGTGACCTCTGCGGCCTCAGGGACCATCCTTCCAACATCTACAAGGTGGAGGTAGGCAGGGCTGTCCATTTGGTTGTTGATTAATTTTATAAGAAATATGAACTATGACAGGATTTGTAGTTATTTCCCTTTCTGTTGCTCTCAGGGAGGCTGCATTGTGAAACTAGAGGAGTTCATCCTGAGTCAGCTGTATATCCTGGGTGCAGTGGGAATTGGGATTGCGTTTCTACAGGTAAAGCACTACCCACTGAGCAAAATACAGATGAATAAGAACATCCCTTTTAATGTGTAAAATTCCAGAGGCTGATCTGCGAGTGATAATTTTATGTATTCAATGTGTAAGTAATACAATCCTTGTGTCTTATTTCTTTCAGCTTGTTGGGATGATGTTTACTTGCTGCCTTTATCGAAGTTTGAAAGAAGATCCATACTGATTTTGGAAATATTTAATACCACAAAAGTAACATCAATAGTTGTAAAATTGGATTGAATACTTTGATGCCCCAAAAATTACATGGATCCAAATACTGTGACGTTGCCAATTTAAAAATTACCACCATGTTGAAAACACACAAGCAAAAGCAATATTTTATTGCTGCTGGGCAGCACTTTTCTTCTTCTGCTGGATCCCATTGCATGTTTAGAGTATCTTCCCTTTTATGTCAATATATTGTTATATTTTTGTGAATATTGTAACCAAAGAGACATTTTAAAGAGCAGACAAATATAAGCATGCTTTGATGATATCTTTTACCAGTTTGACTTCTTTATCTGTGTTTTTTTTTTTTATGTATGTTTACAAAATGCATATTTCTAAAATGGATAATATTGTAACTCTTAATGTTGAAAAGTTCAAATAAAAATGTCTGGCATTAATTATTTCAATTTCATTTTACGTACAAACTTTTATTCTGAAATCTGTAAGCGGATGTTGTTGTTGTCAGCTGACTGTTCTTCCTCCCCCCGCGTATGATTTCTGTATGAATCCTCATAATTGCGTTATTATTCGTTAAAGATAAAGCTGAACTCTTTGATTTAGAGGGAACACAAAGACAAAGGAAATGTCTGCGAAACCAACTTGTTTGATTGTGGCGAGTGCTTCAGCTCAAGGTAGGTGCTTCACCTTTTACCCATCGATGTTACATCGGTTCATAATAAACAACACATGGACAGAGCTCAGTGTTGACTTTACTCTACCAGTTCAATCTCACTTGGTTCCCTTTATCTGTTAGCCTGGTATCTTTTCACGTAAACATAACTTGCTGACTTTAGCTGGCCTATTACAATCCAGCTGGGATAACACCCCGCTTTCTGCCTCAGACCAGAGACACCACCAGACACGGAAATAACCTTTTTTTTTTTTTTTCTTCTTCTTTTTTATAAACTGATGTGTTTTATTCCTTTAGGGGTGTCAGCAAAATCCTTCCATCAGTCCTTCAACCTTTGCTCCTCAGCGTTTAATCTCCAGACCGCCACACCTGGGGTAAGCATATTTCTATTTGAAAAACAAGCCATCACATAATAAATATTACTATCTCTGAATTTCAGCACTTAATAAAATAAGTGCAAATACAATCAAAGTCACAAGTTTGCCCAGATATGAGATGTTAAAAATATTCTCTGTGTAAACTGCAGGCCGGCAGACAGTCAGTGTAGAGCTTAAATAATGAAGTGATAATCTATTAAATAACATTCAGACTATTTTAATAATCAATGAATACTTTTAATCTTACTAATAATACTTTTAATAATTTTTTTGAATAATTTTCATAGAAGAAAAGGAAAAACATTTAGATTCCGGATTCTACAACCTTTCTGGTTTCGCCTCCTTAACAATAAACTGGATATATATTTGGGATGTGGTCAAAATAGTACATTAACATATTATCTCTGGCTGTGGTGTGTATATTTATATATATTTCATTTGTTTTGCAGGGCAAACCAATAGATTTTGTTGGAGTCGATGAAAGCACTGCCAGATGGGTGCAGGACTTCAACGTTAAACCGTACGCAACACCAGCCAAACTGGAATCTATAGATGGTGAGAATACTCATGCATGTCATGATTTATTTTTTGCTGGCTGTTTATATTTGTGCTGTTGTAGCTGTTTTTGATCTCTGATGAGTAAAGAAGCTGTGACTCTTTTTTTTTTTTTAACAGGTGCAAGGTACCAGTCACTGCTCATCCCGGACTGCCCTGGAGCACTGAATGACCTGGCGCACAGCGGCTCTTTGCACCGCATTCTCACACACTTCATCACTCACCAAAGTCAGTCTGAAGCTGTATTTAAAAGTAGCCATATTTGATCTTTTTTTTTTTTTTAGAGACTTACAGGTTGCACTTTTGTCTGCGCAGAGCCGGTTTGTGCAGTGGGACAGGGAGTGTCGGGACTTTGTTGTGCTACTGAAGGACAGAGTTGGATCTTCAGCGGCTACAGCCTCACCGGGGTCAGTCTTCTTTAAGTAGCCAGTTGATCCAGATATTTTTGACGTGTTCATTATATCTAATAACAGAATGTGTTTTTTAATTCAAGCCGTCAGTGTTTGAACTGGTGCGGAGGCCTGACTTTGCAAACCTGCCGTTGGTTGTGGAGGACTTTGTGAGAGACAGTGGAGGATCATACACAGGTGAGCTGACCTGCAGGGCACAGATTCATGTTCAGACAGCGTTTCTAAAACCTTCTCATGTGTATCTCTCTGTTTTACAGCAAGCCCAGAAGATGCTGTCCACGTAGTAATAGACAGACACCTCATCACTGGACAGAATACGCAGTCGACCTCACTTGCTGTAAATAATCTGATCCTGCTCTGTGGTGCCAAGTAAAAAAAAAAAAAAAAACAGAATAAACATAACATCAGGATCAACTGCTGAGTCATTCCAAGTTTATATTCATACAATTAAAAACATTCTGGAAGATTTGCGTCAGAACAGATGTTTGGCAAAACTGTAAACACAACCTGAAACCTGGTCAATTATAAAAGGAATACAATTAATAAAAACACACTATCAAATGTGCCGATTTGAAAATTAAAAAAAAGAAAAATTTAGCATCAGGGATGGATGTAGCTTTGAGAAAGACCAGAAAAGGATGCATTTTCACAGAAAGCAAAAACCAGATTCTTCAAGTGCAGAAATGGTTCGTAGTAAATAAAAAGAGCGGAAAATTTGGAATGAAGGAGAGAAATGAAGAGAGGCTGCCCATGTTTGTAGCAGGTGAACTCTGAAGGCCTAAGAGCAACAGCATAACCCTTCTGTTGAACTGTCATATACATATTGATGATCATGCACCCTCTGTTGTTGAATTGAGATGTATTGCTCTCTGACTGGACTGTACAAGTTGATCTCCTTCAGTTGGTTTCATCCATGTGTGTAAAAAAAAAAAACAACCTTAAATGCCATTTATCCACTTCTAATACCATTTGAATCTACAAATCCCAGATTTGTTCAAATTGATTTTTTAAACCTTTAAAAAAGTTGAGAACAAGTCACTCACTCACAAAAGAAACAGTACACCAGCATACAGATCTTGATTTTTTTTTTTTTTTTTGCAGCAACATGTTTAGGGGGAACAACCCCCCCCCTGTATGTCTCACAGTCTTCATTGGACTCTCATAGGAGATCATAGAAATAGTCCAGTCCTTGTCCCAGTTCCCACAAGGAGATCCCTGTTCCCAGCTCAGTTGCTAAAGAGATCCGCATGTGGAGTGACTGTAAAACAATGTGAATAATGTTAATCTCTTCACGTAGCAGTGCTTCTATTGAAAACATCACTTCACCTCATCAAACACAAATTAAAGCTTGAACAAGACTTGCCTTTAATGAGGGGTAGTACACCACGTGTTTGTCAGCATTGCTGAAATGACAAGTCACAGATATTGTTTTAAAAAGATGCTGCTAAAAGTTTAAGGTTTTATTACTTTGTGGACTTTCAAAGTGTTATTCATCAGTACCTCTTGTAACTGAGGTAATGCTCGCCAGAATATTCATCCCAAAGGTGTTTAGGCCGGTATTCTCGCAAAATCTCGATGTACCTGTATGAAAACAGAGACAAGCTTGAGACAGAGTGAAAGGCCCTGAAACTAATTTCCTCAATCAGCTTTTTACTTCACATCATTTTTTGTGTGCTGTATAACACAGAGCATTTTCGTTCAAAGTTTGGAAAAGGTTTGCTTATGATTTCTGTAAGCTACACATTCACATGTGTTTGTATTTTTCTTAAGACTCTTTTTATTGTTTCAACAGGGGTGGTCCTTAATTAGAAAAAGAAGTCCCTTGCTTTGGAGAAGCGATCTGGTAGCTGTTAGGTTCTTGCCAGAGCACTGTCAATCAAATCTGTTCAACCCACACAGTGACATTTATTTTATTCACTGTTAGTTCTATATTCAGAAATTGGGGCTACAGACTAAAAGAGTGTGAAACCCATGGAGGTGTAGAGTTAAGACAGGAGTGAGTTACAAGACCTCAGTTGCCTGCTCCTCAAATATGCTTGAGGCTAGGAGCTCGAGATTATATGAACCAAAAAAAACACACCTGAATCTCTAACCAAACTGTCGGAGTAAGCTGCAATGTGGGTATTGATGGCACCAAGTTTGGACTGGCCATTGGGTAATAAAATGAGGATGATTCTGTTTCTGTGACATAGATTGAATCTTAAACTACCATTGTAAAAGTTCCAAACGTATATGTGACTTTAATGGCTAGAATATCAGATCTTCAGCATTATTCCTCACTATGTTACCTTCCCCCAGAATAGGCTCCGTTCCCTGGCTTGCAAAATCAAGGCCATATAAATTGAGTCCAAGCAGAATCTTCTGCCTCCACTGAGTGTCGGGTGCAAGCTGGAGGACACATTCTCTCACCCAGGGCAGAGGTGAGCTCGGGCCCGCTCTATTTAAAAAAAGAAGAAAAAAAGTAGATAACTCAAAAACATTACCTCAATAAAAGCTGTTAATCCACTATGAGTCCATGTACATCACATGTCTCTGACACTTACCTGGAACCACTAGAGTAGTCGTACGTCATGAGGCTGAATCCATCTACTACAGGGGCCAACTGCTCAAACTCCTCCTTGCCAAACATTCCCGGCTGACCTGCACTGATTTTTATGGAGTAGAAAAAAATGGAGAGAAGTCAGCAACTGTTTCTGTGATTTTTTTTTTTTTTAGGCATCTATTGTTGCTGAAAGTCACCTTGTCACTGCAGGTGGAATGACTAGAATGCAGTCCAATCTTTTTGCCTTTAATGTCTCACACACGTGTTTCACCATGTGCACCAGCTCTCTGTAAGGAGGAAATGTTCACGTTTGATTTGTGTCTCGTAAATCACACCATAATGTCGATACTTGTTGTAAAATCAGACATGTCAACAGAATCACTCACTTTCTTTTGTTACCTCCCAGCTGACTCCACAGCTCCAAGGTGAAGCCATCGAAACTTTCAGTCTGCAAAACCAGAGCTTCATTAACCCGACACAGGGGAAAAAAAACATCACTGTCGCTGCAGCTAAACACAACACTTCATTACCTTCGCAACATCCACCAGCTCACTTCCAAGCTCCTCAATTTCATCTTCGCTCCCCAGCACACTCATGTAGTCCTGGTAAGACCAGCCGTCAAATAACAGCCGTGGCACTAAGGTTGGAAAAAAATCTGACTTAAATATAAAACCACACTAAAAAGAGCCTAATCTGAAATGACACGCTCTGACCAAAATGACCGAACAGAGTTCAACTGTATGAAGGGAAGGAGGGACTTCTACTTACCCATCCTGACTTTTTTGTTAGACTTGCGTACAGCTTTGGCCCAGCCTAAGAAGACAAAGAAAATCCCTTTATGTAGATACGTTTGTTTGGTGTGAGGTTTTAATAACCGACTAAAATGATGGGAGTAAAAAGTGTCCTCTACCTGGGTCATGATCATGGAGTCCTGTAACGTCAAAGGTTTCAGGGCCCCGTCGGCGGACCTGAAGCCACACTGGAGACACTGAAGTCAGTTTAGAGCCAAATGTTTTGGCAATGTCATAGCCGTGGGAATTCCACTGGAGAAAGAAGAAAAAAAAGACACTAAATGTGGAGACTTAGTGAGAAAAAAACCCTTACTTCACTTAAGGATCAGAAGTATCAATCATTTTCATCATTGATTCATCCGTCAATCATTTCCCCGTTATAAAACAGTTACTTGTTTTGCGTATAAAACTTATTGAAACAGTGAAAAATACGAAATTCCAAGAAGCAGACGTGATAGTTCTAGTCGCTGGTTTTGGCCACTAATCATGCCTCACACGCTGAACCTTCTGATCATACAAGGAAGAGGCGTACCAATCTGTAGATCAGCCGGTATTATCTGATTCATCGGGTTCATCATTGGTCTGTGTCTCCTGTTAAGTGCTGATGTGAGATTTATTTATTTTTGATGACATTGAACATCCACTCAATGAAAAATATATTGATTTTGTGTGCCTCACAGTGTTACACATGTTGACTTCTTTTACTGTGTAGAACATTGAATGAACAGATGTTTGTGTTTTCTGCTGGAAAATGATGAATGAATAATGCTTGTTATAAACTTCGATTCTATCAAAGTTTCAGTTTTTCAGTAACAATTGTCGAACATAAGTGCGAAAGTGAAGAGTTATTTCAAAGAGGGAATAGCGTATCAAACTTTGGAGCACTTCGTATGGCTACCACAAATATTGACTCACGCAGCAGTTCAGCTTAACTTCCTGTTACGGTTTTTCAGTGAGGACTTTAGATTTTAGTTCTCCATCTTATAAAAAATATATATCTTGGGGAGTAACACACTCCATCCAAGTAGCAATACTAAAGCAAAAAGTGCATTAAGACGGACTTGGAAAATAACACAACCTGTCCTTGTATGCTGTGATAATTAGTGTTGTCAACTTTGAAAAGCAAGCAGGCGAATGTAGATGTCGCTGGGCTGGATTTCAGACTTACAGGAGTGACATATCCAAGAACTTGTCCTTGAAATGTTTTTTTGACGTGGGCACTGTGTCTCTTTTCCTCCTTCACAATGTCTTTCCAGTTAGGGTCTGACACAACAAGGCCTCTCTCCAACACAGACAGCTCAGGTGTTGAAGCCTGAAAAAAAAAAAGAAAGAAAGAAAGAGTTCAGTCAGTGACAGACAAACATCATCATGAAAAGGGACACATGAAAGGTGAGGATTTTTTTATTTTTTTTACTGATTCTGGCCATTTCACGTGAGACAACAAACATGCAAATAGGTGACAGCCTTGCAAACCTGACACCTCACACCTGTTTAAAAAGGTACAAGACTCTTCAGTGACTCACCTCGGCCTCTGCTTTATTGAACTTCTTCGCATCAGTTTTTGAAAGTGTGGCACTGACCAACCAGCAGCAGGAGATGGCGTGCAGCAGGAATAATGTCGTTCTCATTTCCAAAAAAAAAAAAAGTGCAGTGAAAAGGAATCAAGAAGCAGTTCAATACTAACACTGGGTTAGCTCGGATCTGCTGCTGGTTTGCAGCGCAAGTGTTTCCTTCCTGGACAAGATACTGAAAGATAAAAAACACAGCATATCCTCCCGCGGTTTTGTATTCACACTGAAAATCGTGCACAAATGGGCCCGTTCACACCGATATGACACACAGCCTGAATTAATAATAAACAGTATGGTTTCTGACTGTCGAGCGGTGGATCCCACTTTGATTGACAACTAAGCTCAACGTGTTTCAGGAGGGTCAACTCAGCTGATTCAACTTCCGCTCTGTTCGTTCAAAATAAAATGAGTACGGAGGCATTTCTTTGCCTCTTCATCCCTTTCCGAGCAGGCTGCACGGAGAGACTTAAGACTGTAAATAATAAAAGGCGCGGAGGAGAGAAAACGAAG